GAAGTCTCTTTGTTCTAGCGGAATCAATGTGCATCGTGGATATTGTCATCACGATCTCATTATTTAATTGATTAAATTTTAAAAGTTCGACTAAATAAAGAGTATATTGTGTTAATAGATAAATCCTTTAGATTGTTTTTGCATTACATTTATTATTCATTTTCCTCGTAACTTAGTTTGGTATTTTTATTTTTTTCTGCTGACTATCAGGAATAATTTTTAATAAAATTTTATTTCATTCTCAATAATTTTTTTTATTATTAATATTGTGTAAATATGTTTTTATTTTCATTTAAAATTTTTTGATAAAATGAATTTAAAAATTAAACCGTTGAGAAATTAAAATATTTTAATTTAAAACCTAAAGCTTGAAGTTATAAATTTTTCGTAAAAGAACAGCGCGATTTGTAACTCAACTGTTTTGTTATGAAAAAAAAATAATTTCATTTGTTATATATAACTTTAAAAATACATATTTATCATTTGTCGATCGTATCCATCTGGTCCTATCAATTGCCAATTTAATATCCATAACCCAAGACTAGAATTTCTGCAGATATAGTGAACCTCAAAAAGCAATTTTAAAAAACAATAAAATTAAAGTAAAATTTTGTAATAATCTCAAAGTTTTAAAGTTTTAAAGTCTGAAAATGAATTTTAAAATTACACGGATTGGAAAAACGTACACAGCGAGGTAAATCCTTGGACTTTAACAAAAGGTTAAAGGTTAAATGTCAAACTGTCAATCAATAAAATATAAATAAAGCTAATATCCATTAACGAGTTTACAAAGCTTCCGATTGTTACTCCAGATGATTTAGCCGAGTTTCAGTGCAACGTTTCACCAGACGATCTATATCGTCAGATAATGGTCTACCCCGTTCAGCAAACTGACTCAACATCAAATCGATCGTATTCAAATGAAGCTTTCGCTTACTGTCAAACTCAATCGCCCTCGATTTTTTTAGCCCCGCAACAGCAACATCACCAGCAATTCATTTACAGTCACTACAATTCCGCACCTCGCACATCATCAACTCCGCAATACATCGGTCATGCCCGCAAGCCTGGAGCCTTAACTATTCGTGAGCAAGGTTAGTTTTTCTAAATCACTTAAAATGACAAATAAACCCGTAGTGATAAATAAATAAAGCTTTATAAATTTTACAACTGATATTTTAGATCCATACCGAGGGATAAAAAATCAAGCTGTAAATACTAAAACAATTAGAATAAAAGAAATATCTGGTCCTGTTCCGCCACTAGCCTATGCCTCGCCACCATTGGTTCTTTATGACCCAGTTCAAAATCAGATTTCATCTACCCTAGCTCCAGTGTATTTTAGTCAATCACCCTGCTTCAATCACATTCCGTACTCCAATGACTACACCAATTACAATCACGTCATGTCCCAGCCCTACTATAAGGCTGCCGATGTTCAAAATTATCTGATACCCGATCCGAAGCCTCTCAATCAATTCCCCGCTATTCCGCATAATTATTATGCAGCAAATGTGCAGAAGTCTCATTTTCCTGCCGTTTACTCGAGTGCTGAAGCTCAACCCAAGATTGCGGGACAAGTTTTTGCTCCTTCTAGTCTGAATTTAAGTCAAAGTTCGAGCCAAATTTCAAATCCAGGTGGAAAATTGACGCAGATTCTATCAACTCCCAATGAAAGTAAATATTCCGAGAAAGAGTACCAACATCGGCTTCCTTACACAGAAACGCTCGTAGAAACTAAAACAGTCTCAAAACTTCCTAAGGCTTTAAAAACTTTGACCAATGAAGAAAAATATATTGATGAGTATTCAAATTTTGATTTTACAGTAGAAGCTGAAAAAATGGTGTCGGCTTTGTGCAACACTTCTGTGCAAGAAGACAGAGAGGAGGATGAAAAAGATAAAGATCAAGAGAAAAATAAATTATCAAATGAAGATGAGAATGAGAGTGAGAAAAAAATTTATAAGCCTTGGTATCTGGAAGATTATGAGGAAGATAGAACAAAATCCATCGGCACGCAGACTCTCGATCCAACAGAAGAGCCTACTTACCGGGAATCGCTTCGTAAAACAGTGAACTGGGGGTGTAATCAAGCGGAAACAATTCTGAAGAGCTCGGAAAGTTCGCGGGAAAAATGGCTCGCTAGTTTATCAGCAGCCACCAAAACGGCGCTCGCTAAATCTTCAACATGCTTTCCTGTCTTTTCTGGCGACAAAGTATTTTCGCAGGACTTGATAAACTCACTTCTGCGCATCAGCAACGGCTGGCTGATCCTCGATCATTATTTAAACAAGCAGCATCACGCGAACTTGAATTTAAATGACAAGTATGACAGTGATTTGCTCAAGTCTTTTAAAAACTGGGAAATGTTTACGAGGGAGCTTCTGGATAATGTTATCAAGACTTTTACTAAGCTAGACGCGAGTTCTAAAAATGAAAGCCTCCCTACGAATTCCAGTATAGATTCATTTCCTGGAGACGTTTCTCTATATATAACTCAGGGGCTTTTTGGAGATACCTCGGCTCAAAATAGTAGTACAAACACAAGGGTAAAATCTGGTCGGTCTTTATTTAGTAACAGTTTTGCTGATAATGAACAGAAAGAAAAGTCTTCGAATGTAAATTATGCCCGAGAGAGTAAACTACGAACAAGGTGGACAATAACAGAACAAACTCACTCGAATGACATTAATTTAAACTGCCTTCAAAATTATGAAAACTCCGACTGGAATTTGTTCCCCAAAGATATACCGAAGCAAATAACGTCGGTAAACAACGAAGTTCAGCAAAAGCTGAGCTACAATTTTTTAATAACCCCCCAACAAACTTCTGAGGTTCCTGCGCAATATTTTCAATTCAAGCAGATGTACGAAAGTCAACCTTGCGTCCAATCGAATTCAACAAATGAAAACCGGACTTTTTGGAACTCTTGCGCATCTCCATCCCCAATTAGCAATTCGCTTCCTTACAGTGCAAGTTTGAACAACAGGATGACGGTGTTGAGTTCAGTTGAAACTAAGCATACAGAAGTCAAGAATTTAAATGAAGGCGAGACGATTAATTTATCTACTCTGTTCGCGAGTATAAGGAACAAGCGTGTCAATTCAGACAAGTCTGAGAGCTCGACTAGTTGGTGGAAATCCTCAAATGCCATTTCGTCAAAATTTCGTGAAGAAGCCACGAAGAATTCAAAAAATTCCGACGCTGCGGCGCTGAAAAATGACATCAATCGGCAATTGCGCACTCTGAAAAATATGAGGACTATACAATCTGCGCCGTGGACAGCTAATCATCTGCTAAATGACTCTCCGAAGAGTAAGCAAGACAATAGCGAAGATTTGAAAGTTTACATGAAACCTGGTAGCTACAATGTGCCACGGAAGAAGTTTCAAAGTCATCGTAATCGAAAGGATACTTCCAAGTCAAACGGGACTCAATCTAAGTCGACGGAAGATTTTGGTAGCAAGGCAGTTAATTCATCTTCTTCGTCGACCTGCTCACAGGATATTTCTAAAGACGTCGCTTGGAAAGCCGCTTGCGCTTCTGCAGAACTTTTACTAGACGCTTTGATTGTTAGAAACAGCTACAAAATTGAAGAAACTGCACCGGTTCCTGAAGAAAACAAAAATGGTGATGATGAAAATGTAAAAGTTGATGGTGAGTTTGAAGACTGTGATAAAGCTGAAGGGAAGGAATTGCAGAAGGATCTAGTTGATGAATGTAAAAAAATTTGTGAAGAAAAATGTAAAGTGATTGATGATAGATCTAAAGATGTTTCACCAGGACATCACAAGACTAATGTCAAAACGGATTCTTGGTTGATTCGAACTCTCAGTAATGCAAATGAATCAAAACATGTTGAATCGAAAAAATCTGGCTCAGTTGAAGAAAGCGACAGCGTTGTTTTGTGGAAAAAAGACTACAAAGGAGAAAATTCTGTTTCTGTGGAAACGAGCCACACTATTTCTGTGATGGCTTTGGTAGATGTCGTAGGCAAGGCTACCTACTCAGAAACTGTAAGAAGATTCTCTTCTAGCAAACCATGCGCTCAGGTTCCTCTAAATACGAAGGAAGATGAGAAAAACAGCGTTTGTAAGAGTTCGAATGGTGGATCGGGTGTGAGTGATGGGAAGAAGGAGCCGGATGTTAAGAAGACTTCGGTTGCGAAACAGGAAGCTCTGAAAGCAAGGTGCGATAAAGTTAAGAATAAGAAAAAAATAAATAAAAAACAGAGTGGCAATAAGAGTTGGTCCATCTGGTATAATTCTCGGAGAAATAAACAAACGTGTAATACGCATGGATTATTTTTCATCTATGCATTATATTAGTTTCATTGATTTAGAATATTAGTTTATTCATTTTTTATGTTGATTTATTGTTTATTTTTAGGATAGAGTGTCGGAAGTCTGCTGAAAGCCGTAAGAAGTCTGGTTTTTTACCCAAGAATAGATGGGTGCAAATTAAAAAGTCGTGTTTACCTTAACATAGATAAATTTTTGATTATTATTTTTATTTAAAGTGTTATCAGGTTTGTTGTTTATTTATTTTATTTATTTATTTATTATTTTTATTATGAAAGATTAAAATTTTTATTTGTATTTTTATTTTCAAGGTGAAAATTAAGAAAAAATATTTGGATTAGTTGTTTGGAAGAAATTTGCAATGGACAATTATTTTTTGTTGTTTTGAATGGTTTAAAAATACAAACTGGATTGCAGTTTGAGAAAAAATAATTTTATCATTATGAAAAATTGTTGACGAATGTTGTCAATAATTTGTTTAGAATGTATCAATTATATTTATTATTAATGCAGCCAATTGTTCGTAGAAAATTTCTATGAAATGAGATAATATTTAGGTAGAAGAAAATATTTAATTTACATGAGAAAAATAAATTTATCTCGTAAAAATAAAAATAAGTTATTAAAGAATAAAATAATATTTTCATTTCAATTATTTTTATTGCTCTTATTAATAAAATAGATAAAAATTTAAACTATCTACAATTTCCAATCCCAGGGAATGCATAGAACACCGTCACTCATTACCGAGTAGTAATGTGTCACCCAGAGCATAACACCCTCTAGAACAGGTCCTAGGATTGATTTGTGACTGAGTAGACGCTCACAGCAAGCGATCATCAGATCTGGAGTGATGCTGTCGTCTTTGTTTAGCGCCAATAAACCAAGTTCTTTTATTGTTCTGTTGTGAATCTCACGCTCGACGTGTTTTATTCTAAAGTCATTTCATCAATTTTAAATCAAATAAATTTAACCAATTACTTCAATAAGTTATTAATGTGTTAAGTGAAAAAGTATCATACTTATCATAATGATTTAATCTTTTTGTAGCTTCATCTAAATTATCAGTTATAAAATTTACAAGAAGAAAACCAGGGCATGAGGATGGCACGATAAATTGTCCAGTGGGTGAAAGCATTAAAGGTCCAGCTTCACTAATTTTTTTTTTTTTATATTATTTTATAAATATCAAAAATTAAACTTCTAGTAAAATTAAAAATTTGATAAGAAAAAAATTTTTAAGCTTACGCTTCAATGACAATTTCATGGAAAGACAAACTAGAAGGCCAAGAACTTGGATAGCTAGATCTCCCTCTATAATCCGAGAGCGTTGTCGTCAGCTGTCTCAACTGGGACTCATACTGACCAACCATTACTTTCGGCATGAACTTCCTGCACATATAGAGCACTCTGAGCCTTACCATTACTCTGTAATAATTTTCACTTTAGTACGCACCGTCGTCCAATTTTTATATCCAGCAAGACTCGCGAGACCGCTTTCTCAAAGGCTGGTAGTCGGACTAACACCGGGTCGTACTTTTTGACATTTTTTATCAGCTAAAAATAAAAATTTTAAGTCAGACGTCAAGAACTTTACCTGAAAACAAAAGAATTTATTAAATTCACATTGGACTAACATCTAGCCAGTTGTGTCGAACTTCTCCAGAATTCAACATAACACTCCCTTCTAAGCTTATCCCCGTTCCGTTGGCAAAAACAAGAGTACGGTTTTTCAATACGTCCATTTGCTCTGGGTGATGTCGCGATAGAGCTTGGAATGCCAGCAAACATCCACGATAATGAGCAATATTCCATCCGCAGTCCCAGATGATTTCTTTTAGACCTAAATCTTGGCACAACATTTTTTCTAACTTTTCAACTTCTTCTCTCACCGGTCGACAAGCTTCCAATTTTATGTGAGCTTCATTCACATGTTTTTCCACGTATGCCCTTAAATTAAAAATTACTGTATAATTATACAATTATTCACTTAATATAAAATAATAGTCGCCTATTTCAAAAAATTTTTCTAATTATCAATCTAGATAAAATAAAAAATTACTTAAAAGTGTCAGGCTCCACATTGATTTTCTTTTTCATCAAAATCGACATATAAAACGGATCGTCCTCGTACTGAGAGAAATTAATCCCATCTCGTTCAACCCTTGGATCATGGTGATACGGAAATTTACTTTTGTCAACCACCGGCTCCTTAATTTTGTCCAGAAAAGTCGTCGACAAATTGCATGTTTTTAAAATAGACAAAATAGCTTTTTTGACATCTCGCTCATTCAACTGAATTTTAACCAGCGTAAATTTACCGGCTTTAAGATCTTTCTCGTCTTTGGATCGCAAGTAGAAGGGTAGCGTTGTGGGTTTTATAGGCCTCCTCTGCTGGAGAGATTCTAACAATGAACTCAATTGCTTCAATGAATTTTCATTTACAGTCTGCAATTAAGCTTTAATAAATTAGTTCAAATACCAATTAAACACTTAAATCTAAACATATATGCTAAATATTATTATTATATTTAAAAATTAATTTACCCTCTGGGTAGGAAATTGACCGAATAAATCCGGATGAACAGTAAAATAAAATGGTCTGAGAGCCGTTGAAATTTCTCCGGTACTCAAAGCTCTGATGGCTTCTTTTCTGTGCAAACTAATCAACAAAATTAATCATAATTCAATTGATCAATTGAATAATTAAATAGTAAACTATTAAAAATATTTATACAAATTAGACTTACCATTTTCTAAGTGTACAAAACATTTTATGATAAATATGTTTTTTAAAATTTCATTGAGAATCCCAAAGCAAAGACACTCTTTGTCTCACTGAAAAACACAGTCCACTTGTTTATAAACAGGTGTTATTTTATGATGAATGGACAGTTCTCTTGTTTGGAGTTTAAACAAGTACGGGAATTAAAAACAATAATCAAACAAAGGTAAAATAATGATAATAATTTTAATTAAACATGTAATTGAGAGCTAGTATGAAACGCAAATCACAATGGATTATCGTACCACTTGCTCTTGAATTTATTTTTAGATATACTAATAACTATTTTGATAGTGTGCTCGTATATGTACAAAGAAATTGATTGAAACATAAAATCAAGTGATTATTAACGTCATCATCAGAGTAACGTACGATGATTTAATTTTTTTAAAATTAAAATCAATCAGGCTTACTTGTGAATATTAATGCCTACTTCAATACTGCTAGTAGGTAGAATGTTATAAGTATTTTACTTATAGATAACCGTTTTATAATTACATTATTAATTTTTTGGCTACAAATAACCTACACTACTAAACAAAATAAATTAAATGTCATAATATAGAGATTTTACTGCTCCCTCGCGGAAGTATTTTAAGTAAAATCACATGTTCATCAGCTGATTTCAGTCATCTGTACCATGGAGGATGAAAGGATGGAATCCGAACTCAAACGGGAGTATGAAGATTGGAGACCATTCTATTTTTCATGTTAAATTTATTCACATGTCCATGACTAAAAAATTTGAAATTAAATAATTCTGAAACTGAGTTACAAATTTTCCAAGCAATTTTTGCAGAATGATATTGTTCGCCCTGATAGCCAGCGCTTTCTCAGTAAGCGTTGACTTCCAGCAGTTACGGTTAATTTATACATCAAGTTGGCGGTAATTCTTCACTCAACAACAGTTGTAAGCAAATTGACGGAAATCTATGGCCGCAACTTGAATACAAGTTAGCAATCAAACTTGTAGTTAAATTTCCTTTCAACTTTACTACAATTTGACGGAAATACTTGTACAGCAAGTTTTGACGTCTATATTTGGAGAGTAAGTTATAGGTAACTAATAGGTAATCGCTCGCTTTGCCAACTCTTTCCGTCAAGTTTGCTTCAAATTGCGGACGTAGATTGACAGTAAGTTATAGGTAAGGTGGCTATCAGGGATCGAGATCATTTTTCTCTACATATGATTTATAATCTGAATTGTTATCGGCAGATAGAAATATAGAAGTCTCTCCATTCAACTGTTCCGTTACGGTAGATGGCGCGAACGTAGACGTCATCTGTCAGTTCGGCACAATAAAAATGTTAAAATGTTAATTTAAAAATTTGAAAATTTTTTGCAGCCATAAAATTTCAAAAATGAAATTGACTTTAGACCTTAATTTTTCAGAGACTGAATTTTCAAGAGTCATCAAAAATTTAAATCATGAAGAGTTAACAATTTTCACGAAAAATATGAACAACTTTTTATGATTTTCATTTTACTTTATAATGTCAAAAAAATATGACGACCCGCGTTTTGTTCTGTCTGCTTTAAACGCAATGGGATGCATTTATGTCAATGCGAAGGATTTACAAGACTTCATGAAAGGTAATTGATTTTAATATTTTTATAAGTTATTAGTTGATATTTTGTTCAAGTTTAATTTCTTTGATTTGTAATTAAAGATTTTTGTTTAATATTCTTTTTTATCTATTACTTTCCGTAATTAATTTTAGACCTTAAGAATTATAGAAAAAAGAAGGAAATAGCTCACAAAGCATGGAAACAAAGAGTAATAAGAAAATTTATTGCTTACAACCGAAAGGACATGGAGAATCGTATGAATGAATTACGAAGTAAGCAAACTGTTCATCCAACGTTAGGTGATGCTGTCGATAGTGATAGTGGTGACGAATCTTCTCAGCATCCAAGACAATTTTTGCATGTGGCTGAAGTATATCATCGAGACCAGAGTTTTGATGTTGAGAAATCGCCTGCTGGAAAACGGATTCAAAAATCGCCATTCCGCACTGAAGAGAAAAGTTTAATGAAAACTCCTGAAGTGACCCGAAAAAACAAATCAATCCAACCCAACCTCACAGACCCAAGCTCCTCTTCAAGAAGCTCTGGAGAAAAATCAAGTGACCAAACCGAAAAAATATTGGAAACTGACTCGAAAAACCAACAGACTATTCGGTACGATTTTGGTATTGCTCCGGAAGATTCTGATTCTTACCGACAACTTCCTGGAGAAACAAAAAAAGGAAATAAATCTCATGCTAGAAAGGATAAAAGTTCAATTGGGAGAAGTTTCAATGAACATTTATTTGATAGCAACTTTGAAATTTCGGATTCTTATAAAACATTGCCCAGACCACGAGAAAAAACGGAAGCTAGAGACAAATCTCAGAGGGAAAAATCTAAAGGTTCGCTGAGGCAGATGTATAATACAGATTTTTCAAGTAGTTTTGAACAATCTGATTCTTACAAAACATTGCCTAAACCACAAGAAAAAACAGAAGCTAAATACCAATCTCAGAGGGAAAAATCTAAAGCTCCGCTGAAGAAAACGCTTAATGAAGACTTTCCTAGTAGTCTTGAAGTCTCTGATTCTTTTAAAACATTGCCCAAACCACGAGAAAAAACAGAAGCTAAAGACCGATCTCAGAGGGAAAAATCTAAAGCTCCGTTGAAGAAAACGCATAATGAAGACTTTCCTAGTAGTCTTGAAGTCGCTGATTCTTACAAACAACTACCTGGAGCTAAAGAAAAAATTGATTCGCAATTTAAGTCTCGAGGGGCCGGAAGAGGTACAATCACGCCGGGAATGATGCTCGATCAAGATTTCCCCAGTAACTTAGAAGCTTCAGATTCGTATAAAGAAATTGCAAGGAAACCAAGGAATCAGGAAGAAGAAAAAAGCAGGGAAAAATCTCAGCGGGCTGAGACATATAGCGTTGTTGATCAAAATACTTCTCCAAGACCTGATAAAAGTATTACCACGGATAAAAAAATGCCTGCAACACTTCGGGGTAAAGACAAAAGTGTTAAACCAAAGCCTCAGTCTGATGCCCAGGAAAATTTCATCGAAAACGGTTTGAATTATCCTGATTTCCAACGGGATGTACTTCAAATAACGGGCAGAAGTAGTCCTGTTGATAAAAACTTATCTGTGAATCGACCGAGGGATGTGCGGGAAGATAAAAATATTAGAGAACAATCGCAGATAATTAGCGCGGGAACGCGGACTGATGTCGATGAAAATTTCATGGAAAGCATGTTGGATTATTCGGGTTTTAAACGAGATGCAATGCATGGAAGAAGTAGCTCTATTGAAAAAGTTCCTTTAGACCAAAAGTCTTCAGAGCAATTTTCTTCAAAAGATTTTCGAGAACGAAGTCACTTAGATTTTGATTCCAGCAGATCCACTGAACCGTCCCAAACAACTAACCGAGTGGAAACAGATCGCAATTTAGTGGCAAGAGACAGAGCTGTCGAAAGATCTGCTAGCAAGCTTAAAGAAGTCACTCGCTTACGATTCGATGACAGTGACAGCGAGAGCGATAGTGAATCTAATTACTTGGAGCAGTATGAGGCCGTGCGTCCATCTGAAGAAGTGGGAAGAATGGAAGAGCAGCAAAAATTGCAGAGTTCTGCACAAAGTACGCCGAATTTTACACAGCGGAAAGAAATTAATTATGATAGTAGCAGCAAATCAGACTCTGAGTCGATTTTTCAAGCCACCGCAAGAAATAGGAAGGAAGAAATTGTTAGAACTGGAAAAACACCCGCTCGATCTGGAAGATTTAAGCCAGATGATATTGTAGAACGCAGTCATTTAGAATTTTGAAATTTTTTTAATAATTAACAAAAAAATAGAGAAATTATTGTTATTTTTTTTTAATTTCTACATCTGTTATTTGAAAAATAAAAATTTTAGTATTTATTCAGAAGTAATTTTTATGCTAAATTATTCACTCTTCACCTAAGATCAATAATTTTTTACATAATCATTTTAATAGCCTGCAGTTTCGTTAAAAAACTATTAATGTTTATCCCAGATAAATAAAATTAAGTAAGTATACAAATTAAAGTGCAGACAACAATCTAAGAACATTTGATGCGCAATGACTTTTCGTTAAAAATTCCTGATAAGTATAATTAACAAAATGTGCATAATAAATATTTATATTTATTTGACAGTAATGAAGTAAAATACTCATATAGACTAAGGTATAATAAAAATAATAAGTTATTTAAATGTTAATACAGCGATTTATTTGTTAAATACTCGATGCATAACACTCGAACACTGAAGAAGCCTTAGCAGTACGGTGGTAAATCACGATAAGTAAAATACGTAACGAGCGAGAGTAGCCTAACAAAATCATATCGGCACATCGGGTTTCCCGAGTGTGCTGAAAGTACGTTTAATTTTTTTTTTTTTTAATGGACGCCTTCCCCTACTCATTATGGTAAGTAAAAGTGATAAAAATATTAACAATAAATTAAATTCATTAATTAATATAATTTCGTAATCTCATTAGAGTTAAAATAAAATCAATGAACATTACAATTAAATTACACTACACCACAGGTATCACGTTTGATCGGGGGAGTGTTGTGCTGTGTTATTTACGGACTTTTCGCAGTAGAGTGCAATGTAATTGTAAGAAACCAAGACATTTGCGGCGTCCACAACGGCCGAAGGCTGTACCTCGAGCTCGGGGAACAAGGAATCCTCTACGCTAAAAATGTCTCGTCCGTAAAAAACTCTCCGCGACAGCAGCAGCACCCACAAGGATCGCGGTTGTACGCGACAAACAGTTCTCACGAGCATTGCAGCTTGGAGCTCGTGACCTGTCCGTCCTGCGCCATCACCGTGACGTTCAAGAGCCTGGCCTTGCCTCATTCCTGCGGTGACAGTGGCATGATGATGGACAGTCCGTGCAGGTCATGTTCTTAAACATTATCATCTACAATTAGTACTATTCTATAAAACATAACATTGCTTTAAGTCATAACCTTTTCTCTTTATTTCATAAAATATAATCATGTAATATGATGGAAACTTTATAATAAGTCATAAGTTCACTTTTAGGTGTGACTATGTCTGGATCTCAGAACCTCCTTACGAAGATATCTCGGGAACTCCGTACTGCGGATTGTACGCGCCAATTATCTACAGATCCAACACTAGAACCGTTTCGATTACTCTCCTGTACAGCCAATCACATAACCATGCTTTCACGATCGAATATGTCTCAGAGCGTACGTTTTGCAGAACAGAAACTCATTTAATTCCGAGTATTAATTATTGAGTATTTACTTTCAATCAACTGGTACGACATTAAATTACAGGAAATAGAGTTCATTTAAAGGGATGGGACCCTGCAGTCACGAAAGGATTTAACGGGACTGTCGGTGGAATTCTTACCTCTCCATTCTTTCCCGCCAGATACCCAAGAGACTTAGGGATAGAATATGTCATCACTTGTCCGACTGAAGCACCTTCTTGCAGAGTTCGGGTTCTTTTTAGCGACTTTCAATTGGCAACTGTATCGATCATTGAGGTAATAGAAATTTCACTCATGTAATATTTCATTTTCATGTAATTTAATGGTATAAAATTATAAATGTTTATTTATTTATTTGTTCTAAGTTTTATGACTGGAATGGACAAAGATTAGACGTGAGCAGCGGTGCGAGATTCAGACCGCCGATTATCGTCAGCTCGGGCCCGTCATTGCTGATACGGTTCTACGCGAATGGAGGAACTGGACTAGGTTACAAGGCTTTCTATTCTTATGTAATTGGGCACAGATACGACAAAGCGATCCAGCCGATCACCGATTGTGGTGGATATGTCGAGAACTTGGGAGGTACTATTACGATGATTGATATGGTTACCGATGGAGTCAAGACTTATGATTGTGTTTGGCTGATCCGGCCTCCTAAAAATTTTCTTCACATGAAAACACACGTCTACCTCAAAATAGTCACGTTTGCTGACATGGGTAGACATTTTTGTATACTCTACTCTTACTATTCTGATGCTCTTTAGCTTTAATAACAAATCTAATCTTTACTTTCAGCGGGAAATACCGAGCTAATAATCAGACAAGGTCCTACATCTGCATTATTGCCGCTTGAAGTACTGAGACACCCAGCGAGTCAGCTTCAGCCACCAAGAATGAGAGAACACATTACTCCAATCGTCAATGGGTTTCATGTCAGCTTGAGGGGAACTTTTGGAGTCAATTCAAAAGTTGCTATTGCTTATGCAGCTTTTGGTTACATGGGTAATTAATTTTGGCTTTTATTAAACTAAATCAATGATAAAAAATAATTTAAAAAAATTTTTAGATTGCTACGCGGGTTCTGATTTTCTATGTCAAAATCATAGATGTATTCAGAGTCAATTAAATTGCGATGGATTCGATCATTGTGGAGATAATAGTGATGAGCCTTCAACTTGTCTCAGAGGTAAATTATTTTTAATTGTTGCAAAAATTTTTTTAACAAAATTTTTGAGTCTGATTAATAGAGAAAAATTTCTTCTTTTGATTATGTATATTATTTATCAATTAATTATAATTTATGAATGATTAATTATTAGTTTACTTTCAACAGATTGGGGGATGGAACCGCGGGACGGAAAATGGCATATGAACAAAGCAAACTACTATTTCCCGAAAATAGACAGGTATCCCGACCTAAAAACGGCAACTCTGGTCTTCATAGCCAGCAGCTTAGGCCTAATTATTCTAATTTCGGCGCTGATTGTCCTGTTGTACCGAATGGGTGCTCGGTCGCGGCAGCAAAGAGAGCTTCAGTCACGCCTTCAGACCATCAGCGAGTTATTAGGTATTTAATGTTACCTGAAAATACCCAAAGGTCGGAGCAGTAGATATAAGTAGGTGAAAATTATTTCACCTTCAGATCGGACAGTCTTCGATATTGCAGATGGCGCCCGAATCGACGAGGTTCCTGTTCACGACGAGCCGCCGGTCTACGAGGCACCGCCGGGGTACGACGAAGTTATTAAGGTCGGCTTTGAGAATGAAGAAATTAAGAGGAAAAAAAAACGCAACCTCCTCTGGGGAACAAGAAATAGAAGTTCACTTTCTCATTGCTCGTAATATATTTGTCTATTTATGTTACGTGTGTCTTAATCTTTAATTATCTTGTGACTTTATTTTGGATTTTTAAACAATTATTTAAGGCAAGAATTACCTACATCATCGAGTTTAATTGTAGACCTCGCGGGAGTCAGCAGAAATCGTGAAACAATGTCAACCACCACGACAGCATCAACTATTACGACAGTTAATCCTGTTGAAAGAATCCCTGAAAGTCCACCTCCACCTTATATCACACCTCCTGGAAGTGTTCTAGATAATTATGGAATATGTCTATCACGACATAGCGTCACTCGTAAATATTTTAAATAATTATTACTTTTATTATTGCATAATAACAAACCTGTCAATTTTTTTTTAACACTTGTAGGTATTTGAATTATTTAACCCAATATAATATTTTTGCACTGTAAAAAATGAATGATATTGGTTTAAAAACCTTTTTTTGTTATGTCGCATTACAAATACCATAAGGGTATTTAGTAATTATACACTCTTATGGCACCTAACAACCATGAGGACAAATTAGTAGTTTTTTTACGGGAATCGACGTAGTTATTATAATCTGGTCATATATAGTTATGTATGAATGTAGCTTAAAAATTTGAAACTAAAAAAAAAAATTTTTCATTTCAAATTAGTAGATTTGTTATAAATTCTATAGAGCGATAATTATTATAAACTAAGAGTTTAAAAAAACACATGAATACTCCATAGAAATTAACAATATACATTTTTTACAGTGCATAAAATAATGAACTTACGCTAAAAATATTGAACAAACTTTCAGATACTTCAGTGCCAGTGAACCTGCGAGGTAATCATATGCGTCGAGTGTGGAACCGAGCTAATGAACTGCGTCATTCGCTGCCGGAACCAGATGAAGTCGCGGCATTCCAGCCCAGCGAGTCCATAGACTACGAGGCACTTGGTGCGTATCTTCGGAATTACACTTCACGAGGGAGTGCTTCTGTTGAAACCTTTGATCCACAGCCGAGGAGCTTGCCAGATGTTGGTCTAATCACGAGCCAAAGATCCAGCGGCGACTTCGTCGGGCTCAGGGACGTGGACGTGGACGGGGACGCGGAAGACGAAGAAACAACTAACCAAAATCGTCCCACTACCTCTTACGACCGAAGTCAACCACCCGGATGTACTTGTGAAGGAGCTTGCGGATGTGCCAACAATCATCAACTGGTTCAATCTGAAGAAATAAAGGCTAAGGAAGAATCTGAACTAAAAACCAAAAGAATGATTTTGAAGCTTTTCAAGTCCTCGAGCTCCCAGTCTACGAGTAATCCCGACGCTGAGGAATCCGAGCCGTCTGCTGAAAACTCTAGAGACCATAGGAGACCTTCAGTTTGCTCTGGAGACACTTATATGTCTCTTGGTACCATGTTTAGTACCTGTAGCAGCCCTTACGAGTTAGAAGAACACGATTTCACCTCGGAAACTAATAGCATTTTGGAAAACGCGAGTATTTTCTCAAAGACTCCTACGCGCACGCCCGTTAGGACCACGAAGATCACCATCAACAATACCGGGGACTTCAGGTTTAGGAATCGCAAGCACGCGCGCAAATACGCGAGCTGCGATACTGATAGTTTGTTTGAAAGTATCAAGGCGCTGGATAGTTTTCTCGAGAAGCGCAGTGTTTCCATCGCCCAAACGAGAAATACGTCTAACGTTACAACACTTTTTGGAACCCCAAGACATCACAGACGACGAACTCTCAGGCATCATAGTAGCCAGCATAGAATTTTTAATTGCGTTCGCGGGTGGAAGTCCAGCGAAGATACTTCAAGTTGAATTTATTTTATTTATTTTTTTGAAGGCAGGAGACATGTATTATTTGTTGTTGGAATTTGTTTTTTAATTTTAAATGTTAATTAGACTCCTGTGTACCTAATGTAATAAAAATATTATTTATTTAATTGAGATTTTGCTTATTGAGCTGTTGAAGATATTTATAGCCGGTACTTTGGAAAAACTTTATAAGTCAATTTTTGAATATAATTTCTTTTAAGTTTATAAGACGTGAAGTTTCATCGCTTGCCGTTAGTATATACTTTATTATTAAACATTATTAATATTAGAGTGAAGTTAAATATAGCCAATTACATGACATTTAATTAATACTTCGTGATCTTAACTTCGGAAGTTATGAACTAGCATTTACCTTCACTCGTTACTGTAATTATATTTTATGTATTATGATTAGGTGAAGTAATAATAATAATTTTAAATCGTAAATGATGATTATTTCATCGAATGCGTTCAATGATAAATGGTGTCAAGACTAAATATCCACGCGTGATCAAATTGATTTTATTATTTCTGTAAAATAACTACACTATTCATATTGTATGTGTTATTTTTTTAATCAACGATTCAAACAAGATCTTAAAATAAAATAAAAATATTATTCTTTACTTAGAATCACGGAAGTTTGAAAAACCTCTCATCAAATCGTCCTTCATTGTATTATACAACCTCAACGATAATATAATAATTGTATATTTTAATCCATGAATTAAATTTTTTTAACAATTTACGTTTTCTCAGCTCAACTCCTTCATTCGCTTATTGTCTTAAATAATTTTTATTCATCACCTACATATATACTAGCATATATGACAGCAAGACAGCAATTATAAATTTACATCAACAAGTCTTGACATTAATCATTAACTTGTTACTTTGACAGTCAATTTGCATTGTATTAATAAATAAATATTTTATTCTCTATTGTTTTATTTTTAATAATTAAAATATTTGAAATTTTTTATATTAAATTAAAAAAAATACTATAGTATATATTTTTGTGTGTATTAATTACATTTAATTGTATAAAGTATAATAGATAGGCATTTGAATCTAATAAAATACCAGAGTTTAAATACCAATGCAATTCTTCGAGCAGTTTATCAAACATCGTGCTTACTCCCTTCCTCAATAAACTAACATTCGTGATCAACTTTATTTTATTTTATTTGATATTATTATTTTTTGTTTACTAATTTTTTAAAAAGTGAAAAATTTATTATTCGTGGAAATAAAAAATCAACGGCAATACTGTCCGTCATAACTACTATTCATGAAGATAATATTCAGTGTCCCACGCGGTGTCATCATAACTTATTGACACAGTACTCATTAGCGTCATTAAATTACATTTATATCTAACACTTAGTGGATGAAAAGTTCATCATCATGAATTATTGTAGCTAATATAATCATTAGAAATACTTTGTAGTGAACAAACGATTTTATTATTGCTTTCTATCAGATACTGGGTAATAAAATTGTTTACAACTTACTCAAGAACTTAGTATTAAAATATAATGTATACGGATGTTTTCTAAAAAGCTTAATTTAGTAGATTCAGAAGGAGCCTTGACTTTTGATAATCAATAAAATTTATGTAAGATTATGATTCAATAATTTGATTTTTTAATTGAATTATATTTTTGAAAAAGTGAGAGATTCCAGTGATGGCCGCAGGGTCAATTGTTTTGCATAAGATTTTTTATTAACATATCACGCGATCTAGTGTATATCACGACTTAAATATCATGAAAAATGTAACCCGTTAAAAATTAATGTGTGTAATAAATAAACAATTAAAATTGTCTTTAAAGTCTCAACACTGCGTGTGCGGTTATTATTGAAGATGTGTAAACTCGGCAATGCAAAATGGTAGGGTACCACCATACCAGTACAAGTGGGATGGATCAGTAGATGATTGACGAGTAAATTACGGTGTTTATTTGAATATTGAGGTGAATTACGAAAACGTGATGCTAGCGTTATACATAAATTTTATTACAAATAGCAGTCTTTTAAACACTATCGCTTTTGTAATTTAACGTTTTAATCTTAACTAAGATTTCTTATTCGACTGTGTTATATCTTTTGATATTTATTGATATTGTAGATGCATAAAAGTGTAAGTGGTTTTTTTTATATAAAATTAAAAAGATTTTTCTGATGAATTTATTATAAATTCATATTCGTTTGAAAATATTAATTGTAAGGAGTAATCAAACATATAAATAAAATTAATAACAGGCATTGATATTTAAAATTAAAAATGAACAATAAACGATGACTAATCGGTTGGTATTAGAAATTGATATATTCAAATGATGAAATAATTACCATGATATCAATAAATTTCTTTTGCACTTTCGTTAATTGATTACGCTATTACAATAGAAAAATAAAAATAATGCAATTGAATAACGTAAGCATGCTATAATTAATGAAAAGTGATTATTCACTTTACTCTGCAAGCTCATCGCTCACTGACTGGTGGTAATTAAACGATTTGTTGAATTGAATATTATAATTGCTATCGCGTATTGAGTATTACCAGTATAATGTAGTATGAGTACTTGAGCACAAAAATCAATGAATAACGATTATCGTAGTACATTAATAATAATTACCGCGAATTTATTCTGAAGTTTACAAAAAAATAAAATATTAAATTAATTAGCAATTAATAATTATATTCTCGAATAAAATGTCACTATGATTTAATTTACCTACGCTATGTCTTATTATGAAATCCTCATCGTAAATAAATGTGTTTATAATGTGAGCGATATATATATATATATATATATATATATATATATTTATATTCAAGATTCAAGTCATTAAATTGCGCCACAGATGAGTAGAGTGAGAGCGGAGAACATAATAAGTCAAGACGATAAATGGTCAGATGAGAAAATCCATGACCTCTCGAGTTTTGGGATAGGTAAATATTTTAAAATTATACTTAATTAATGTTTTCAAATTTTTTTATGTAAAAGGGCCCAATAATATTTCTCAACAAATGTTTTTTTACTTTTATATTTGACTATTTATTATTTTATGTTTTAATTTGACATGGCGAGTTTTTTATTTTTCTCGAAAACGCATGTAAAAATTATAATAAAAATTTTAATCTTAAAAGAATTTTCTACGGAATTGTAAAACATTAAAAGCCAAGATATGAATAAAAAAATGTTTAGAGATAATTGTTATTTAAATGTGAAGTCAAATCATTTTATGTTTCGTATATTGAAAAGAATTCATTTTCCTCCTATACATCTATAAGACTAAATTCTAATCATGATAATTTCTGTTTACAAAAATTAAAATAAATTATGAACAAATCAATACTTAGATGACATTAAATGGAATAAAAACAAAAAAAAATCACCCCAAATTGATTTTACTAAAGCATATGAGGCAATCGTATAAATTAAAGGAGATTTGAATGAAGTAAAGCTAAAGTTGCTTCACAATTAAAATACTCATATACATACACAAATAACATTTACGGTAAGACCCATCCCAAATTATGCAATGGGTTTTTTGAACACGCGAATTTTATAAGTACCAAGTTAATTTTTGAATTTTTAAATAAACTAAAAATATTTTATTACCTTTTTTAAATGTTATTTATGTTAAACATAATAAAAATAAATATTCGTATATAAATAAACATATTATCAACTATTACGAAAAATTTAATTTATACGTTAAATTCATATATTTTTATATAACATTCATATTGTGTAATAAATTTTCGTAAATAATTTATTAATTCAAAAAAATCCGCGAAGTGAAATACGATATTTCGGTTACACAAACTCAACAAATTCTGACACTCGTTAGTTTGTTTATGTGAAAATAATTGGTAATCATAATCACAATTACAATAAAATTCCAAAGTTTGTGAAATAACAAAAAAATTATTAATTTTTACCGTATAAACATTTAACCTTCTCAATTTACCAGCCGTCATAGCTGGAGGGTAACAATTATAATGAGAACGTCTGCATCCTTAGTGCGCTGGATTGCATGAACATACCAATATAATTGGTTTGTTTATATTATATTATAAAAATAAGGATTAGATAGACTGTACAGTACTGAAGACAGTACGAACCACTCACGCACTTTAACGAATTATTATCCGTGGGGAGCCAAGCAGAGTTCGTTACTCGTAACTCCCGTACTGTGCTTATAAAAGCTTATCTTATAAATGTTGTGATAGGTCTATTTATTTATTTAAAGTTATTAAATTAAATAAAAGTATTACAAGATGAAAAGAAGACAAGATACGTGACAAGACGAGTCGAGTGAAATTTTTATTGGTACGCTTAATCGACCTGACTTCACTCGCAAATTAACGATAAGTCATGTATATTCAGAGACAAATTTATTCTCTGAGAATAAAAAAACTTAGTCAGTCTTTGACAAAAAATTTATTCAATATTAATAAAATTTTATTTTATAGACGTTTTATTTTTATTTGATGGATAAATAGACGATTGTTGATAAATATACGAGAGCCTTATCATAACTACAATTTTATTTCTGGGTAATAAAATTTTAATTCATTCAAATACATGTTTATAATAATCATGACAAGTATCGATAGACTTTTTTTTATACATTTAATATCGTTCTCAGTTTATAAGCATTTGAAATGTGCTTAAAAATAATTATCGATACTATATGTGAGTAACATCTAATTCATTAAAATTATCAGAAAAATTGACTTATTTTGAATAAAACCGGTATTCATGCAAAAAGTTTCAGCACATAATAAATTTGTCTCGGTATAAAGTACGAAAATTGATAAAAAAATACTCACGGATGCGAATATATGAGTCACAATAAAATTAATATTAATAAGCGAACATGCATGTTTGTTTTATCGAAAGCTAACTTGCCAATAACTCTGAGCAAAGGTAGAACCGAACAGAGAAACCGGCGAATTATACAGACCTTAAACCGATGCCGACTTAAGCGATTAAGAGAATAAATGTATAGATTGTGTTAAAGAAAAAATAATTAAGAATAAGAAAAGGAGATAAGCCCTTCACTTAACTTGGACCGTTACCTTTCGGACATTCCCGGCACAAAGTGTCCGTAGCTTGTACCTGTAAGATGAAAGAGAATCTTGAAAAGAAGAATTGACACGCGCACGCATAATTTATTTTATCCTCATAATTCTTACGACGTACCCACGACACACACTCACACCTGTCATTTAAACTGTGTAATTTTAATATTTAGTACACTCTCTCTTTCGCTCTTTTTGATAGTGTAACACGAATATTTCTTCACAGCAATCCGAACTCATCTTTCACTGGGTTTAACAATCTCGAGAAAATATTTAATCATTAATTATCCTCTCGTTATTTTATTATATTGATGCGATGAGTAAAAGTTGTTTTATTTTTTTATTTTATAAGAAACGCGATATTTTTAACCTATAATTTGATAGTTAATAAATTTATTTACTGTAATTTTTTTTTTAATTTATCTAGTCGATTGGAGAAAACAATTTGAATAAAAAAAAAATTTTTTTTATTATGGAATAATTTTATAATGAGTTTGAAAGTTATAAGTCAAATGTACAAACCAAATTATCTAAACAAAATTTGAATAGGTTAACTTTTTTTCGTAAAAATTAGATGTACTTTCGAATAATGCTATAAATTTTTATAGATTCTTTCAAATTTCATTATAAAAATTAAGGTCGAATAAGAAGAAAATAAAATATAATGAAAATTATTATTATGATAATCTTTAGTAATACGTATAATCGTAAAAAAATCATGAATATAAAGAAAACAGAGGTCATGAGAGTAATAAAATAATTTCTGTTAGATTCAAAAGATTCAAAAGTTAGGAAAATAAAAATTAATATAACAGATTTATGATAATTTTTCTCGAAACTATAAAAAATTTCTTATTCTTATTTTTTTAATACTTATACGATACGTTTTTTTTTAATTTTCTAAAAAAAAATAAGTAGCAGTAAAAGTCTCTATGATCTTAAACGTATTCCATAAATCATAAAATATTTATTCCAAAATAGTGTTTTTAAAAATTATAGCTTCTAGAACCACAAGGTAATTTTATGAATAATATATCATTGACTTGTTGAATATTTTATTTTAATCACTTTTTTATTTATATTATTAATCTTCAATCCAACAATAAATTAAGACAAATGTTATTTCTTATTGAGAATTAATATAAGCTCAAATTAAGAAAATTAAAAAAATTTCAAGTCTGAAATATGATCAAGGGTTCAGTTGACGATAAATAGAAAAAGCCAAAATGTTTAAATTAAAAATATATTTTCATCGTTAAAGTAACCATTTACAACAAATAATCACATGTACATTAAAAGACACAATGTAATTATAATTTTATTGTAATAAATCGAGTGTAAAATCAATTGGTTAATAATTTCTTCATTTAAAAACGACGTGTTTGGAAGGGCTTGAAACCTTGAGGTTGTCTGCCAACGACTGAAGGAACTGGAGCTACTGGAGCACTTCTGACAGGGACTGTTGGTTGAAAGCTGCCGTTTAAGGTACCCTCGTCTTCCTCGGGATGAGCCGCGTTGTATTCGAGAGCACGGAGAATTTCTTCGGGGATAGCTGGAGCGACTGGAAGATGGGCACCTTCGGGGTGGAATCCGGTTTCGTCAGCAGTGTAAGTTACTCCGTAAGTAACGCCGTCAGTGCCAACGAAGTTGAATGCTCCGCGGACGGTGATTGGCTGAGTTCCGTCTTTAGTCAATGGTCCAGGTTGTCCAGCCTCGTCGACGTGGATTTCGTTTTCGGTATCGTAACTGTACTGGTAAGAGCCCTCCGGTGAGTGGTCGTGCGATTGACGCAAAATAGCGATCGGCACTGGCTCGGCTTGGTGTTGAGCAGCAGCTACTGCGACCACCGCGAAGACGACAACCTTTAATGTGGATAATTTTTGCCATTAAATGTAATTAAAGATCTTTAAATATATAATTGCTTCATTTTTAGAGGAGAAAGCAATGACTTTTATTTTTTAATTTTTTTCTTGTATTATTAAAACTTTTTTTTTTTTTAATTAAAATTTTCTCAGTTATGTGTTGTAATAATTAACTTTCTATCTACGTTTATCATCAATTGAAATATGATGACTGTTAACTGATGGCACACCCTGTACCCAGTTACGAGTGACATTATGTGCAAATTGAGTTCAATGTAGAGATCAAGAATGATATTGTCACCCATCTTAACGATTTGACGTCTAGTCTAATTTATAATTCTAACGATGTTGTAACTAATAAACTATTTTGCTTTTTTATACTATTTGTTAATGATGACACTTGAATGAATTAAATTATTTTTCAGATCACAAATAAATCATACTGTTATTAAAAAAATTTCAATTTCCTGACGTCTAATTAATTTAATATCAATCACTTAATTATTGCCATAAAATGTAAAAAAATTTTTCCAATTGAAAGAACAATTTTTTAGATTTTTTCACTTGATAAATTTAGGTGTAGATGATTAATTTCTGTACTTGACTATTTAATGTTAACAATAGATAAAAACTGTATTGAAATAATTATTTGAAAATAATAAGGTTACTTATTACAACCAATAGTACTCGATATTATTTGAAATTTAATGAAACTACCGATTTCAGTTAAAGATTAATTATATATGAAAAAAAGAACTCACTAAGAATTTCATGTTGAAGATTGTATGAAGTTCAACCACTGACTGTGATGATTTTAGCTACTAATCAGGGCTATTTATACAAAAACTTTCTCATAACTCATCAATAGGCGGGATTCGTTATTGGAGTAACAAATTTTAGGAATGTCCCGCATCTTCTCAGAGTTATAAGATCAGATGTCAGGCGTAGAGAGAGGAAGGAAGGTGGAGCTGTGTAAAGCTACATTGAATGAATAATGATGATGATATCTAGTAAAGTCGAGATGGACTACTTTGACATTAATGAAATTATGCATACAAACTTGTCTACGAGTGAATGGAGTAGGAAAAGAAGATCAGGACTACGAATCACGAATAAAGAACCAAGACGGAGGCGGCGATTAAAAATTTAAAATACACTTTCAATTTCAGTTAACGATCTTGCTGACCATGTAGCAAAAAAATTAATTATTATGTTGAAGTTAATAGTTAAGTCTAGAATTACCCACTTTCTAAGACATCCCCATTAGTACTTAAATGTCATTGTGTATTAGATCAAAAAAACCTTATATATCTGTAGTGATTGATTGGTATAATTTTTAAGCTGTCAAAATTTGTTCATACTCAAATAAATATTTATAATTGTAATGAATTTTTATTATTAATAATTATCACATGAATAAAATAATTAAATCCCACCGCCAGAGCCTTTGACTTTATGATAATTATTTATTTGAGCAACAATTTGTTTACTGAAAATACAAGGTTGTTTACAAATCAATAATTCTTTAAATATTTTGCTGTTTATTTATAAAAAGTTTTAAAAGTCACTGGGATATATTTTTTAAAGTTGTAGCTTGTGAATTAAAATATTAGTTATAAGTGTATGTGAGGGTCGTAAAAAAATGTTTATTTATTTATCAGATGTATTGAGCCGGTCCTATTATTTAATAAAAAAGAAGCAATTATGTATATACAAGAAGATGATGATAATGATGATAATAATAATGAACCAGCGGAGAGAAAAAAATAAAAATTTTGGAGTGATGTTATATAACACCAACCAGATTCTAAAGGTCATGGCGATATTAAATTTAGTGGCCCCACTCTTAACAAAAAAAAAAAAAAAAAACGATCGCTTCTTTACGTGGCTGTCTAATTTTAAGACCCAAAAGTGGGGTTCATGGGCCTGGTATAAATAGTCACGGAATTACTCTACGAAATCAATCTCAGTTTAAGACTCATCTTTGTACGAACTTTGTTGAAGAGTTTGTAATTTTAAAAATTACCATGAAGTTCATTGTGAGTTTTTATATGTGTTTTAAATTTATTTAATAAACTTCCCATACTTCTATTAATATCTATCAACAGTTTTTTGTTCGTGTAATTTTATTCAATAATTTTAATTAATTAAAATAATATCGAGTGCTGAGTAGTTAATTTAATAATTCAATAATTAAATTTTGATTTAAAAAATGTTCTAGATTGTTTCTTTGGCCGTAATTGCCGCAGTATCTGCTCAGCAGTACTCCGAGCAAACCCAACCACCAATCCCAATAGTCAGACAGAGCCAGGACGTGGCGCCCGATGGTAGTTACAATTACGAATACGAAACTGGCAACGGTATCCAGGCTCAAGAAGCCGGATCAGTGGTAAGCGGTTCAGAAGGACCTTATGTCGTCGCTCAGGGAGGATATCGGTACACTGATGATCAAGGTAACACATTCCAAGTGAGCTACGTCGCCGACGAGAACGGATTCCAGCCACAAGGTGATCACCTCCCAGTAGCTCCTCCAATTCCAGAAGCCATCCAACGTTCTCTTGAGTACATCAGAACCCACCCTCAACCACAAGAACAATAATTGAAGAGTAATTAAGCAATGTTGTAAATTTACTAATATCGAAAGTACATGTTTAAATAAATTTTTTTATAAAAAAAGGATAAGAAATGTTTTACAATTTATTAATCGTTTAAGTCATTAAATATTAATTCAATAATATAATAATAAAAATTAAAATATTTTTCGATCGCTGTTAAAAAGCTTGATCATAAGATTTAATTATTAATCATTTTTACAATTGTAAAAAATTAAAATTTTTTTTAATTTTAGAAATGTGTAACTTCTCGAAATTAATGCCAATAATTCATATTTTATTTTATCTTTTGAAATATATGCATTGCATATTATTTTAAGTGATAAAAAAATGTAAAGTTTAAAAAGAAGTAAAATTTCTATTAAAAATGATAATAATAAGCACAATAGTTGTAAAATTTTTTTACACATTAGCTATTATAAAATAAAAATAAATTGAAAAGTTTAAAGATGTTAATTGATCCGTCGTTATGATTCAAGGACACCGAGTTTTTGAGTAAAATAAACTGGTAAAAATCTTGTTTTGAGAATCGGAGAGGATCGTGTAACAAACTGGTTAGTATTAAAATTTTTTTTTCACAAACCTATGTCCGGGTATTCAATAACACCTAAAACTAACTCATCTACTTTCATGAAATACAATTAAAAAAATTTTTTTCGGTTTTTTTGTATTAGAGATTTTTCTCAAAATGATAAATAAAATTTAATGCATTAGTTCTATAGAATTAATTAAATCAAAAATTACCATTAAATATTGTATGCATAATTTATAATTTAGATCTAAAAATAAATTACTCATCAGCAAATAAAAGGAAAAGGATTATTGAGATGCAATGTGAAGCGAAGAAAGCAAGGGCTTTATCAGTTAAAACAAATGGACATTATAATTTCAACACAAACATTAACACGCAATAATAAAAAATAATTGTCTATAATTTAACACTTGGAATAAATACTTCGTGGGTTATTCGTATAATAAGCAAGTAATAAAACATATATACAAAACGTAATTCGCGAGGAATTCAACCCACTGAATTAGTGACGCAACAAACAATAGAGTAACCCTCTACTCCGTGCATTATTATGAATTCTTTATATCTTACGCATGGTACTTCTTTCTACTATTCTTATTCTCATTCATATTATTATTGTTAAGTTGCCATCATATCATTCCTTTTCACACATATACTCTTAATCAATTTGTGTGGAATAGTTACACCTTTAAATCCATAAACCATTATAACAATATTAATATACTGAAACAAAAAAAAAACTCGTCGCATTCATCCACCCACGGATTCACAGTACAGAGAATAATTGTGGTATATATGACATGACCTATAGATACGAATCGCTATTCTCCAACCATATTTCTCCTTGCTAGTAAGATAATACATTTTTTCGCCTATCCGATCTGTCAATTTTACTTTACGACCCATTCATCTCAATAAACTATCATTCAGTTGTTTAACACAATGTAACCGAAAAAAATTATTTAATTCATAGGTTAGTCATAGAAATTTAAAAGCAACACTATTTCTAATACAAAGTAAAAAAAATATAAAATACTAAATTAATTAATTAATAAAATATATATGTAAATTACCCGCTAAATACTACAGCTTCAGTAGCTCGTAGTTTAACAAATTACAAATTTATTCATTGAAATTATCGTCTAATGTACTAGCATTAAGATAATCATTAAGTAGAATTATAATTTGTTTACCGAGAAGATAAAGTGTCTAAAATATATAATTGAATACAATATCTTAGGTATGTATAAGAATTTTTTTTTATTCATATTAAAACGTAAAGAAGATTATGGATGCAGATTTAATTTCAAAGAGGGCACATTTGTCCGCGAGCTCTTTAACTGACAACTCCCACTCTCAATAGTCAGTGAGTATTCCTATTGAGTAATGCTATCAACATTACTGGGAGGTTACACCTTGCGAGCAGTGATGGCTTTTACTCACCCCGCCCCATCTCACCGTCAGCAGGAGCAGGATCTCTGTTCTCATCGTCATAATCATCATTATCTACATTACACGATATAATACCACTTTAGTACCAGCATAAAGTAAATCCTCAACTGAGTTCTCTATATATGTAATATGGTATGGCCAAAGGAAAGACTTTTTAATGTCAAGGCACCTTTTATTGTTGGAAGATTTTATATTCAAATAACCAACAACGGCAACTAATGTTACATTACATACTAACTTTGATTTTTATCTTTTTTTCGTTTTATTATTATTTCAACCGGGATGTTTTATTTGGTACGCAGGGTACGTCCCTCTGAGATCCGACTACAGAAGAATCTTTCGATAGTAAAGAGTTTAAACAAAACATTACACTCAATCCAACTATTACATTGGCTCACCATGTAATAGAATTGTATACAACAAGTGTACACATAAGGTTTTGAGCAATATCTTTTTATTTTAGTTTTTGAAATTAGGCCGTAGTTCATGGACCGTGCATACCGATCTTCGATTCAAAGTTACTATTTCTATTCCCCAAGACCGGACATATGAATTTTGAGTCTCGCACAAGAACAATCACACCAAATGGTAATCGATGTCGCAAATTTAAATCCTATTCATCTAGATTAGATTTTTAGAATTAAAAGATAAAAATTTTAAGGGATTTTTTGAATTTATATATCCCGGAACGAATTGCTTCAATAGTTGAATTCCTGCGATTGTATTGCGTGAGTAAGTATGTATATACATTTTAATGTACAAATACACGGAGGACTGTGCACTACACTAGAGATAGACAACGTTAAAACTGGCGATACGACCTCGTGGAGGTTTCTCGTCCAAGACAATAGTCTTGATTATCTTTAGCACGCATCTTACTTCATTAACATCGGATAATCTAATCGTTTCTTTCATTATATTAAAATAAAATATTTAAAGGATAAAAATATCCTGGATTATGTTAACGAATAATTTTCTTAAATGACGGAGATAGTTTGTATAATGGCTAATAGCTGATAAACAAGTGTATGCACGTGTAGGTTAATCATGTACGACAAATTATAACACCTCGTTAACTAAAGGTCACCACCGAGAGTTTATTAACAAAATATATATATACTACGACGTCAAATTAAACAAGTCCTTTTTCATGTTTTATTACAAGATTATTTTTTGTATGGCATTTTAATAATTATAATTATGTTATTTATTTATTTTTAGTCTTTTAATAATGAAACATATAAGGCCGCTTATTCATCTATCTCTTTTTAATACAATCTCGGGACTTAATATTCTTAATTGGTTATTAAGATTATTTTTAAATTTATTTCTTAGAATGAAAAACTTGTGGATTAAATTTAAAAAATTGGAAGAATTTGTTTGAGAAATTTATTCATTGAAATAGATTGTCAAGTGTCAAATAAAAAATTTTGTATAAATTTCCATTTGATAAATTTTTTTTTGACAATTGTCAACAGCAATAAAATTTACAGAAAATTTTTATAAATTCTTACTTTAGAATTTGTTTTTATGAATTAGCGAGAAAAAATGCACTTCTAATTAATTTTTTTTAGTGAAAAAAAAATCTTTCGTAATGATTCAAATGAAGAATTGGAGTAAATCAGTGAAAGGTTTACGCCACAAAATGTAATATGAATTGAGATTGATTGAACTATTATATGGTAAGTTATAGTAACAGTTTCATAGTAACAACCGGGGTCGAGAAACAGACACAGATAAAAGTTCTAAACATAACCCCTTGTCTCTGTAACCGGCAATACGAATAGACCCAACCGAGCTACACTTAACTACATAAATATTATATTAGACGTAATATTGCGATTAATATGTGTGTGGCACATAATAATAATGAGCATGCATGGCTCATGAAAGAGCTGGTACCACCTACCAAGCCCGCTTACGTCTCTTACACACAATGTCCATGGTGCAGTTGCTGCTGCTGAGAGCACCCCACTTTGAATTAACAACCTGCACTTACATGTGTGTATTGTAATGCATGTTTTAGTCCTTCCACGCTGTCATGTGTTGGTTTAATCCCCACCTGTTGGCGTAATCGAGCCACCAAGAAGGAAGAAGCTGCATAAGCCCTCGCTGGTATAAATTCCCTACGGGTAGCCTGCAAGAGGATACTCATTCGCGGTAGCTACTAAGTTTCGTCTCTTGGCCATTTAAGTCACTTGTCATTGCATCGTCACGAACTTTGTCGTTTGCTTCATTTGTACTTATTCTTTATAATCATGAAAGTTTTCGTGAGTGTCGTTATTTTTATTTTTACTTTAATTGGATTAATTTTTTTGCAAAAATAATTTTTTTTTGTGACAATTATTTTACTTATTAATTAACTAGCTAAAGTTTTTTTTTTTATAAATTCCAAATTAAATTTTTTAATACACTTCAATTCGAAATAATTTATTTAAAATTTGTATAAAAAGTTTTCCAATTAAAATTAAAACGCTGAATTAAAAAAAAAAAATTAAAACAAGTAAAATTTCAGTTAGCAGTTTTGGCTCTGGCGACAATAGTCAGCGCGCAGGTGAAATATCCTCAATATAATCCAGATTATTATGGACGTCGTTACGCAATTCTTCGACAGAATCACGATCAAAATATTGACGGCTCTTACGCTTACAGGTAAAATAATTTTTTCAATTGAAATATTTGAAATATTACTCCGAACATAATAAAAATAATTTTTGCAATCCATCAATTCTATTGAAACATTACGAGACAATTGTAGATCGGACATAAGATATTATAATGATAATGTGCAAAACAATGGTTAATTAATATCATTTTCTCATGCAATCTATAATCAATCTTCTCTTCCTGCACTCCGCATGAAATAATAAAAATAGTAAATAAATAATTAAATACAGTATCATTGAATAGGTAGTACAGCTACTGTGTAAAATACATGACACCGCGAAGACAAATTGTCGTAGTCATAGATTGCAATAGGTGTGAAAACGTGATTTGAGTCGCGCGACGACTCGTGTACCGCGAGTGATGAATGAATTGTCTTTCACTTTTATTTATACTGTTCAAGAGAAACTAATTATTCTCTCATTTATTTTCATTACTCGGTTATTTATTGACTTGTTGACGTTTGATTATCCAAATCATCTGAATTGATTTATTTTTTGAATTTAATAAAAAATTTGCTATCATATTATATTTACTATTTTTCCTTTAGAAAAAATATGTGAGATAAAATTGTAAATTTAGCTCAATTCTATCACGATCTTGACATTTATGTTTATGGTAATGCGGGAATTGAAATTAAGAATTGTATAGTTTAATTCATAGCAAGCTCGTGTAATTCATATCAAGGGTAAGCGCGTTTTGATGAAAGGTGCAGTACCAACGGGGTGAGAAAAATAAGAATGAAAAATCACACGTAAAAACTAAAGTCAACACCTAGTGTAGGAATAATTAACATTGATGTTAATCATCCCGGGAATCACGGTGAGCTATTGCGTAAAATACAATTACCTTCATTCACTGGCAGCTATTTTTGTATACCTCACTGTTGATATTTATATTTTTGAAATATTGCAATCAAATTTATTGTACATGAAAGTCCTAATCAATATTATCTATTTAATAAAATTTTCAATTTCGTTTATTAATTTAAATTTTATATAATTTATTTCAATAATAACTTCAGCAAAATAAAAAATTAGAATCGATAAAAAATTCGGTTTTTTATTGAAAATTGTATTTAACTCAATATTTAATTAGTTTTTCAGTAAATTTGTCTTTAAAAAGAAAGTCTTGATGAAATTTTCAAAAAATTTTAAATAAAAGAATAACTAGCATTTATAAGCTCTTAGTAAGCGCTTTTAAGCGCTTAGTAGCTCCTAGTTATGTAATTTTCTACAATCGATTATTAGTCATATATTAAATTAATGTAGAAAAATTTATTAAGAAATAAAAATATATTCTATTTTCGAGTAATTTATTGGTGACTTTTTATAAAATAATAAATATTAATTCAACATTCATCAAAGTCGAAAATAATTTCTCCACTGTTATACAAATCGAATAATTTTTCTTTCGAAAGTGAAGGTATCATCGTATAAATTCTATTATATCATGATTAATTTTCTGAATAACATTTAAAAATGTGAATTTATCTGACCGACAGTTACGACACGGAGAATGGTATATCTGTAGCAGAGCAGGGAAGCCGAAAAAACTTGGGCGTAGGAGGAGAAGCCGAAGTTGTAAGAGGTCAATACAGTTACACCGCGCCCGACGGTACACCGATCTTAGTGACTTATGTGGCCGATGAGAATGGATTTCAAGCGGCTGGTGCCCACCTGCCAACACCACCACCCATACCCGCCGCTATCCAGCGAGCCTTGGCCTACAATGCAGCCCATCCCGAGGAAGAGGAGCCTTACAACCGAAGATTCTTCGGGCAGAAAAAGTAATTCGTTTAAAGGAAAAAAAAAGGATTGAGAAAAACTTACAAGGAAATCTTACACAACGACAGAGGCAACGACTCGTTTTCCGTGCTACACATTTCCGTACCACAATAAATTGAATGAATAATTAGGTCGTATGACTGGATAAACAGTTCACTAATATCAGTAACAGTTATTAATAGAAATGCAATCAAATTCGCCGATTACATCGACGGAAAAATTAAATTTAATTTGAAATTGATCTCCGGCTTCCGATCCGAGATTGAGTTAAATAATTGTTAAAATTAATTGTTTGTTTATATACTTACGAACTATTTATACTCATATATTTATTTTAGTACGGAAATTATAAATAGTACAGGTGATTAGTTGAAACGACTTTCTTCAACCGCAGTTTAATATTTAATTAGATTTACGGTATGACTCATGCATTCTTCCATCTCTATTATACTCCGCTATGCTTGCATATTCCATCTATAACGAGACTTTTACGCATAATCTCATGCAGTCATCTTCATCAATTGCACATATAAGAAAAAAATATAACTGGCGATCAACGGCATTTAATGTAATTAAATATATTGAGAAAAAAAATACAATTAAAATTATAATATTGACTTCAGTTGTGCAATCAATTTTTTAATACACATATACATATATTATTTGAGAAATATTAACGAAATATGACGATATCTAATATCATAATTCGCGCTAGATATATAACAGATTATATTTTTCTATGTAATGAAAATTCGATGTCACTCATTATGTTATAAATAAATAAATAAATATACAATAACAACAGATCTTACAAATAGTTATTAATAATCGAGTGATTATTTCTCTTAAACGGGTATTAATTTGTTTTCAATATTGCAGGTTATTCTTAGTTCAAATTGACTAAGCTTCAGAGAATATCGCTGTATTGAAAATATAATAAGTAGATAAGAATTATAAAGATGCATTGATAACACAGAAAAGCTAGAATAGATTCACAATAAATATTGCTTAATATAAGAAATGAAGCTATTCACAAAAATCGATTAGAAAAAAATTTATAACGCTAAAATAATATGATAAACTGAGATTTTTCTATCTGATAGTTTTTTACCCAAAAACTTGGAACCAGTCCGCGTACGAACTCATCTATTTTTCGAACAAATTTATTTCCAACACCTTTACCCATAAACTTCATACCCAGAAATTTAAATTTGATCGCGAAAATTTTTATTACTTTGTAAAGTTCGTCTTAGAGAAGTTACTACTCTATCGATAAGAGCGTTAAAGTCATGCCATATGAATATAGAGGCCGTACCTATACGCAGCATTGGTTTAGCAGACGAATAAATGTTTTATATACGAATAGATACTGTGGATACTTCTCTCGATAGTGACTACAACGATCAATAAATTTTATGAATAAAAGACACCAATCAACTACTTGATTAAATTTTTTTTTCTTTTTCTATAAAATAAAAACTCTCTCCATCTACGCCTACCGCCATTAAACGTCGGATTAAACCTCGAATTTCGATTCGACTACAAATCCGACTCTTCATCAAGTGTTTAAATGTTTAATGTATGTAGACTGTATTATCCTATGTACTTTTTTTAACGAACACTGCAGTTATCAGAAACAGGACAATTATGTCATTGATCTAATAGACATAAACAGTTTTAATAAGCCATTAGTAGCTTGAAACAATAAGAATATCATGATTAATGATCGCCTATTACTGGTGGTTAATGAGCATAAAATATGTCTAGATGAGTAATATAGTGAGTTAGGATAGTTAGATGACTTATTGTTATCACAGGTGAAAGATATTTATGTACAGTCGACATTCGCTAAATACTTTTTCAGCAAGGAAGAACAGAATGAACAAAGTAACATTCCAACCTGATTCCGTAATTTAATCTAAGATCATGAATATTTTTTCGCACATCAATATATCTATCTATAAATGCATGTTCAAGTATTTATTTATATTAATTGACAGAAGGTAACATGAATGAATTCCATTTGTTGACAACGCCTATTGTCTCGTAAAAATCATATTGTATATGCATCTTTCGAACTCAAATTAATTCTTCTGACTATACATCAGAATCTATTCGTATCAACTTGACTTTTATGCGCGCTATAAATTAATTAATCACCGAGAAGTTTTCAGAATTATTTTACCTAAAGTCACCCATGGTCTGAATTTAAATGGGTGATCTCACAAATTACTCAACAAGGTTACGCAATAAAAAAAAAAACTATCTTTTGATTCTTACTATAGTTATCGTTTTCGTTATTATTTTTTTTTCTCTCGATGCAACGTAATTGTTAATGATGATTTACATCGTTTTTAAACTCAGTCGATACTAATGAAGTCAAAAAATATTCATTGGTGAGACAGTGTTCGTAAAAAATTAATGTATACTATTCCGATTTATTCTTTATGATTTAACGACAGTTATATTTATGACAACTAATCTGATCGTAAATTTCAGCAATCATAAATGGTGATATAAATTATCAGGTCGATGAGAGTAACGCAATTATAATAAAATAGCGTTAAATGCTTAATTCGATTGCTTCATCATTGTATAATTCTAACTCTCCGATGAATTACCGAGTCTACTATGTCAAGCCGGTTAGCTAATAAAATAGTAAAGAATGACGATGAGATTTAATTGATCATCAACTGTCCTTTTGCGTCATTTAAGAAGACTTCGATATGATAATTGGCTGTGTAATTAAACGTGCAAGGATTTATTATATTAAAATAAATGTTACAAAAAGAACTATTCAATTAAATAATTTTCTGCCATTAACATGAAACTTTATTGTTCGAATTTTTTTTTCCCCATAGGCATTTAGATTATCATAAAAAATATCTACATAAAAAAGCAATGGATATGTTTTAGATAATTCTTTAAAAAATAAATAATTTTAGTGTTTTGTCACGATTATAATTTTAAAATGTTGCGTTAAATATCAAAATTGATATGATCAATAATTTGAATGGGTTAACAACAAGCAAAGAAAACAAGAAAGGCATGTAGTTACTTATGAAATTATACAAACTCATAGAGGCATGACAACAGACTGGAGAACCGAGTGTAACGAAGCTCCAGATTATAAAGACGGGCGGTATAGCTCGAAAGTAAAGTCGTTTGAACCCGGGTCTGACCTTTCTTATTTTACGGGCACGAGGTGCCTCATCCATTATTATGATCATCTGCGTCACAATCATAATAATAACCATATCACTACAACTATAACTAACTACTGTTTTTTTGTTTTTACGGTCTTACTCCACACTAGCTGTAACATCCTTGCAATATCTCTCCCTTTTTTTTTTTATTTCATTTCTATATACTGTACTAAGCTATACATATCCGTGGCAAGAGGAATCAGTGCACAAGGAAATATTGCTCATTTTAAATAGCAGAGTAAGGTTTCTTATAAGTTAACCGTACATACAGGTTGTGTTCATTGCTAATTGCATACTCTAGTGGTGAAAAGGTGGTGAAATTATTCCCGATTATTAAAAAAATTTTCTGACGTTTAAAAATATTCATGAGGAGAAATTTCAATCTATGGAGATTTTTTTTTATTAATTAGATGAAACTAATCATTTATAATCGTGTTATGTAATTATGTAGAAAAGTTTAAAAACAACCTAGGCTTAACTTTTGAAAATAAATCCAGAAATGTAAATTTACAATTTTGTAATAATATAATATAATACGATATTATCGAGCGATCAATCTAATTTAATTAGGCATTTTAGTCAAATAACTGTCAACTTATGCAACAGCCAATGATTAGTGTAGTCGAAGTACGAGCAACCTATAATATGAAATGCGTGTCATAAATAAGCTACAGGTTGCATCCCATCCTATATATTTATATATTTCATTTTCATTTTTATATCTCATTGTCTGAAGAGAGTAAAACGCGAGTACCTGCTTGAACAGATTTACTCCCTCAGGCAATTGCTGATTGCGCATGAAAAGTTCAGTCCAAACATTTAAATATGAATTATGGGAATTCTTCACTTCTATTAGTACTTTGTATATAAGTTGTTTAATTCTATGATGTCCTTTCATATTGTAATTATACTGAGAATTAATTTTTTCGTTACGAAGAAATTTATTTTTTAATTTAAACTCAGCTAAATAACCTCGGACTTAAAGTAATTAATGTGTCAAAATCCGAGAATTTTTGCTAACATTGCCTATTTTAGTTTCTCTAATGTATATCGTCCACAAAATTTTTAATGCTGTTTCCATTTTTTTCTGACCATCAGACATATAAATGGTATATTATAAAAAAAAAAAAAAAAAAGTATTCAAATGACGATTCATTATTTTTAACAAGTCAAGAATTAAAAAATTAAAAACTGAATTCAAAAATATAAGTCTGTAGAACGATCAAAGTAATTAAAAACTAAATGTAAATTAAATTTGCTAAACTATGTTGCAATTTTTAATAAAAAAAGAAAAAATCTAAAAAGATCAAAACACATAAACATAAATCTAAAATAGTCGCTAATGAACTTGTTGTTAAAAGCGACTTCAAATAAAGCAATAATAATAATAATAAATCTAAACTATGGAACATAAAATTATCTTATACATAGTCAAATATTAATGTCGGATTTTTGAACAGTTTGTTCAAAAATTGGTGAGTTCTTTCAATTTGAAAGAAACTAGTGGGCAGTAAGGGTGGTCTGAGGGCCAATGCAATCAAAAACTAAACTAAAATTCTATGTATGTAAATATTTGCTATTTCAGACTTTTTAAAATTCTTTAGTAATCCGTTTAAGAAAAATCTTAAATTTTTGCGGGCTAGAACCTGAAAAAAATAAATCCTATACACTAGTCTGGAATTCTCAAAATAAAATTTAGAAAAAAAAAACTTTACAGCTAATATATTGGTGAACTAAATGATTTTTGAAAAAATTAAACATACTGTGAATTATTTTGTGAAAATTTAAAACTGGAAAATTTGTTTAACCATTTTGGAGTCGTCTTATTTGAATTTCACGGAATGTTTGATACTAAAGAGTTTATCGAGAAGAAAATTCAACAGACTATGGGCAAAATAGGGAAAATATATTCAGTTAATTATAAAGAATTCCAACCTTTATAATAGACATTAAAAAATGCATAAATAATAATGATATAAGTAGTCACTTACATTCGCTGTCTTCTCTCTTGTACTAATCACCTACCCTTGGTACGGACACGTGTCTGAAAAATAATAGATACCTGTCAGCTTATGTCAAGGAGAACATACATCAATACATTTTGAGAACATATAAAAAATGTTAAACATAAGTACGGCATACTATTGTTGATATTTCCTTAAGTAAATAAGCAATATTTCAAAGTATAACCTTATGATCTATAGAGTCGGGAGGTTTCGCGGGAGTATACAGTTTAAAGTAGTGGCAAATAAAAGGAAGAGTGGCAAGAACACGATGGAGTGGGGTATGTTAGGTCTTAGAACAACTGATCTTTACACGAGAAGGTGCCTGATTCACACACACAAACATAAACGACAATCATCATCATCGCTATTATCATCACCACGGTTAGGCGTTCACACACACTCTAAGAGTGGTAAAATTACAGATCTAGTGAGCCGGTGCACGAGAATGGGAAGGGAAAGATCGGAACGTTTTCGTATAAATGCCGGCGGTGTTCCTCTTCGAGATGCAGATTCTATCTTACCAATTAGAGTTTACAGAGCTACAGCGCTATGAAGTTTTTAGTGAGTGTGGTGTCTGATTTATTTATGGATATAAAAAGTTTATTGGACACTAAAAATTTTTTCTAGTTCTTAATTATTTCTAAGACAAAGTGTTTTGTGTGATTACAGATCATTAGCTTTGCCATTCTTGGCTGCGCATTCGCTCAATTCAGCGGTAATTATCGGCCTTATCAAAGACCTGGTGCTCCGAGACCGATCCCCCAACCGCAATTTCAGCCTCAGTTTCAACCTCAGCAGCCTCAATATCAACCACAAGGACAATTTAAGTAATTTAAAAATTTTCTTACCAAAAAAATAATCTTATGCATAAAATAAAATTCTAATCAATTTTTAATAATTTAGTCCAAGTGGGCCGATAATTCCAATTCGTAGTCAAACTCAAGACTCATCACCTGATGGCTCATACCAATTCAGTTATGAAACTGACAACGGAATTTCAGTGTCTGAAAGTGGAAGTCCCAAAGGAGCACCAACACCAGAAGGACAAGCTGAAGTAATATAAATGAAATTTTTATAAAAGATTATATATTTTATTCGCAATAGTTAATAAAATATTATATGCATTGGATAAAAATATAATTCTATTTTACAGATCGTCCAAGGACGGTACTCTTACGTAGCCCCTGACGGCACGCCAATAACCGTTGAGTATTACGCAGATGAAACTGGATTTCACGCAACAGGTAATCATATTCCGACTCCACCCCCGATTCCAGAAGCAATTCAACGCGCAATTGCCTCACTTCCACCCAGCAATGAAGGCCAGTACCAAGAGGAGCAGTACAATAACCGCCCGTTTAATCAGAACATAGGTGGACCATTCCGTAGATTCTAATAATCAACATCCTGTAATAATTAAAATTATCCTACTCAATCTTAAACACACTTAAAGCACGATCATGAGTATATATCATGTGAATAATATATTTTTTATCAAATTATGTTTTAAATTTTGTATCGTGCTCACCCATTAACCTGTGATTAATTCTATCATAAATATGTAACGTATATATTGTATTTTTTGTATTGTTGTTCTAATTGAGACAAAGGATTATAATGCAAATAAATAAAATTGCAATAAAAATAATTCATTTCTAAAAAATTATTTTGCAAATCTTTCCAAGAATTTTTTTCTCAATTCATTTGAAGGTGACAGATTACAGGTATTGTACCTGTCTAAGCTAGTTGAAGGAGCGATAACAACTTTGCAGTAAAATGAAAAATTTTGACAATGGTAAAAACTCAATGACGGTTTAACAAACTCAGACTAAGAAGCTAATGCAAGAATATCCATATTGAATGGTTATTGTCTGACAACTAAATATTTTTATAATAAAATAATATTCAACTATAAATATTTACTGTAATAATTTTTCTGGTAATAAATAAAAATCTTATATTTAGATATTCTAATTCTGTGAAACTCTCATTTTCCAAGTATTTAATTTCCATATCTAAAGATATTTCAAAAACAAAGATAATAGAAATAAAATAATCTTTTGCAAAGCGATAAACAAATCGACTTGCAGAAAATTTTAATTATGCAATCAAAACGTTGGTATGAGTAATATTTCGAAATTGATAATTGAATGTAAAGATAAGTCTAACTATACGATTAAAATTATATTGTTAAATCACTTGGATTGATTGTTCATTAAATGTCTTTGCAAACCTCTACCAATTAGACAGTAATTATCGTATTAATTAATTATCTAATACTTTGTAATGATTCTTAAATTGTTAATGGAGTATATGTTTGCGAAATGTAAATAATAAAATTTTAATTCATTTTGATTATTTATTAGGATGAAAAGTAATAAATACCAAAAAGAAAATGTACATATTTTCAAAGCATAAAGAGCGTTACGTAGAAATTGCGAATTACTATTTTAAAAAATTATCATTGTTAAATATACTTCTCAAAAAAAAATTTAATTTGATAATTATATATATTTCAAAAATCAATAAATCAGATAGCAGACGTTCTAATTGAAGCAACCAAAAAATTATATTACATAATCCCGCGATCGGTAATTCATTTCTTATAATCGTGACATAATCTTTCCAACACAGATTCCCTGCTTCAAGATCCAACTAATAAATAAATATCGATGTACCTATCGCTATCATAAAAGTAGTTTTAGCAGGTCAGAGAATAATCAACTGGCTAGTCAGCAGGTCACTCATCGGCACTTATGATTAACGTTAGCTTTCCTTCTTGAAGCAATTATTGGCTAAGTTTGTATAAGCTACATATATCTATATGGATATGGATAGTACATTTTTTATAACTCTACCCCTATACATAGCAACAAAGTTATATATTATAGTAACTACTCGATACTTAGCTACTACACGTCGATGTTCGAAATCACGTTAGGTGATTTATCTAACGGGTAAATAGTGGATCTAGACAAAGGACCACTGTTGGTTGTATTATATTTGATCCCTCGAAAATGTCAGTAAGCTACTCAATTATATACATCATAAGATTATACTAAATAGAATGACTCACGCAATTCAGACCTTTTAAAATAATTATCAAATTATAATAACAATCAAGAATACCATTTAATTATTTTTATAATAGCTAACTCGCGGAAAAATAATAATTGTTAATATTATTATCTTTATCGATTGTATCTGGTATTTTCAAGAATATATTGTTAAGATAAATGATAATTTTAATGATGGAATCATTTAGAGCTCTGAAATTATTCCAAACAATACAATTTAAATTGAAAATAAAAAATCTATATATCGATTGGCATTTTAATTAATTTTCTGTAAAATAAAATAATCGTTGATGATGATAATAATTAAAAATAATTTTATTAAAGTATATATATTTAATTAGAAATTATAAAAAAATCTATGATGAAATTAATCGATTTTAAAGTAATAAAGTTAGAGAACCGACTCATCCTGGTGAGGCGTAAGAAGGCGTAGTATTACCACGTCAGTAAAAGTGATAGTAAGTATAATATCGTTCGGAATATACGAAATAGCCTATTGGGGATGTGCTAGTGGCATTTGCCATGCCCTGGCATCTCAGACACTTCATTGCAGTGGAGGATTAATATAAACGTGAAGGGTTTTTCTCACGCACACAGATACACTATATACTATATTTACAACGTTGTTATGTGTAAATGACGTTGCTGATAGATCAAAACTATTTAAAAATAGTTTGTCGTCATCAAATGTCATAACGCGTAACTCGGTCATTAGATCGGTTGGCATATTTAAAGTTATTGTTATTCATTATTCTTTGTTCAGTTGATTCGAATAGCAAGCTTGGGGCGTATTACACTTGCAATAGATGCGCAATCCACTGATCTGATGGAAGTCTAATATTCACCGGCACCAACAGACAATGGAATAGCAGTTGAGGTAAGGCAACTGCAATAAAAGTTGGCGCTCTCACGATGCTCTGCTATTAAAACTAGTTAATTATTGTGAAAATACCACACCTTTAATAGGATAATACTTATTATTTTGTTTAATTAATGGAGCATCGTTATTTTAATTGTTGTATGAATTTGTTATTTTATGTATAAGGAATTTTTGACTTTTTAAGTCAAATTTTATGATCAATTGCTTTGCGCTAATATCAATGTTAATAATTTTTCATTTTTTCCATATTGCATCGACCAGCAATGACATAAGGATTAAAATTATCTAAAGAGTATACAGCGATTCTTATCAGCCGTAATAATATTTCACTGTGCCGATTAATGAACAAAAAACTTTATATTTAATATTATCGAAGTTAAAAATTTTTTAGTTACAAATAAATAACATACTTTTGATTTTCTACAATGCAAATTATTTTTTGCTAGTCTTTTCTTACACATCAATCAATTAAATGCAAAAATATATTATCATAAAAAGCCTTTTTAGCTACTCATCTCTCAATTGTCAAGAGCAAAAATAGTTGGGTAATGCATAAAAACGTTTAAATATATATCATTCCTATTAATAAAATCTTTGATTAACAAAGTATATATTTTTTTTGTTTAATAACTAATTAATTAATTTTCTGTATTGATAATTGATAGAATAGGCTAAGTTTGAATTTAAACGACTTGTAATATTTTCAAGATGTCGCTACTATCTCGATATAGCGCAATAAATTTCAAAGAAATAATAATCGTAATTCTTTTACCAAAAGTCATATCAAATTTTATAGACAATTCAAAAAAAAAATTCATTTTAATGAAAAAAATTTTTTTTTTACTGAAAATGAAAATAAATTACCTCGATCAATTGATGAATGAAAAAGAAGTCATGAGTCGATAATCAGGATTCTCCACTTCTGATCCCACTAGAACGCATTGCTGTACATAAAATTTTTCATGCCTAAAAAAAAGTCTATAAAATTATCTCTGACTTTTTCTTTAGCTATTTCTCAACAAACTCGATTAAAAAAAGACGCGTTTTAATTTTTAATACTCCAAATTACGTTTATTTCCTGTCCAGCTTCGACAGCTAACAACAATGTCGTGTCAATAATTTTAACGGGATTCAAATCTATAATACCGAATAATTTTATGTACATAATTATGTATTCGAGTTTTCTAAGTTTTATTTTCTGTAATTGAGTTTAAATCAATAAAAAATGTACAATAAAAGAACGACAAATGCCGGTTCGTCGAAAGCTGCTAACCGCTGGAGGGAATAAGCAACCGTTGTGTCTCGACGCAGAATTGAATGCGCAGTAGCTAGAGCAAGAGAATCGCGCACTATCTAGTGGCTGTTTCTAGCCATGCGCGCGCATATTCAAAAAGTACATGTGTAAAATAGTACAAGCACGGTTATTTTATTTTTAAACATTAATAAAATTATTTAAATAAAAATAGTTATTATTTTATTTTCTTTTCTTTAGACATATTAGTTAATTATTTCAATAAGACCTAGAAATAAATTATAAATTCTCTAGCGCGTATAAATTTATTTTCAATCATAAAAACAATAATTTCTCTTTATTTTATTCAATCAATATTATTTTTATAAAAATTTTGTTAAATTATATTTATTTTTTTATAATTCAATATTTAAAATATGATGTATATTTTATTTACAGGTACAACAGAAGCCCGCTGGCGCTTTTGTCGCTTATTTTAAAAAGATGGCACTTCAGTCGCATCATTTGTGCTAGTAATGGTCGTCCGTCAATTTTACTAGTAACGAAATAAATACCCAACCTCAATCGTTAAAACCATCCATAGTGTTTGTTAACAAAGATATCATTTTAATTATTAATAATTTTTAGTAAAGTTAATCTGCAAAAATGCCAGATCATTTGGGAGATGATATGAGAAAAGTTAAAGAGGAGGAAAAAGAAGAGAAAGAGATTAAATGTAAGTTATTTAATTTCCAATCCAGCTACAATTAATTATATTTTCAATTTTATTTTCCAGCTCTCGACGAAGGCGATATTCAATTATTGAAGACTTACGTAAGTAAAAAAAAAAATATTCACCTATCAAATAAATTTTATGTGTCAAAAAATAAAAAATTAATTTTTTTCTTAGGGTCAAGGGCAGTACACAAAGTCTATCAAAGGAGTAGAGGAAGACATTCAGACAATTATTAAAAGAGTAAATGAATTGACTGGGATTAAAGAGTCAGACACTGGGTTGGCTCCTCCAGCTTTGTGGGACTTGGCAGCAGACAAACAAACCCTGCAAAATGAGCAACCATTACAAGTCGCCCGCTGTACAAAAATCATCAACGCGGACTCTGATGATCCAAAGTACATCATCAATGTGAAACAGTTTGCCAAGTTCGTTGTTGATCTCGCGGATTCGGTAGCACCTACTGACATCGAGGAAGGAATGAGAGTTGGAGTTGATAGGAATAAGTACCAAATTCATATCCCACTGCCACCCAAGATCGATTCTACCGTCACCATGATGCAGGTTGAGGAAAAACCTGATGTCACTTACAGTGACGTTGGTGGATGCAAAGAACAAATCGAAAAACTACGAGAAGTTGTCGAAACACCCTTGTTACACGTAAATATTTTTTATTGAAACAGTTTTATTCTCAATATTATTAAATCATTAGATTGTGAATTATAAATATGTACTTTTTATTTAATAGCCGGAGAAATTTGTCAACTTGGGTATTGAACCACCAAAAGGAGTCTTATTATTCGGGCCACCCGGTACCGGTAAAACTTTGTGTGCTCGTGCTGTTGCTAATCGTACCGATGCTTGTTTCATTCGTGTCATTGGTTCAGAATTGGTTCAAAAATATGTTGGAGAGGTTTGTTAATTTTTTTATCCTTGAAAATTTACTTAAAAATCGCTACTGGGAAATTTTTAATTCCAGAAAAAAAATTGAAACTTCACGCATGAAAAAAAAAAAAAATTAAATATAAGTAAAAAAAATTCTTCTAAATTTAAATGACAAATTATAAATTAAAAAAAATGTTAAACTAACAATTTATTTCAACTAAAAAAAATTAATTAACTATTATTAATTTTATTTAGGGAGCTAGAATGGTAAGAGAATTATTCGAAATGGCAAGAAGTAAAAAAGCTTGTTTAATATTCTTCGACGAAATTGATGCTATCGGAGGTGCTCGATTTGACGATGGGGCTGGTGGTGATAATGAAGTCCAACGTACTATGTTGGAGCTTATCAATCAACTTGATGGGTAAGTCTATCAATAATTTAATTATATTTACGTTTACAATGTATAAATTAATCACAATAATTAATTGATTGATACAAAAATAATAAAATTTTTTCTCTTGTAGTTTTGATCCACGAGGAAACATCAAAGTACTGATGGCGACCAACCGACCAGACACTTTGGATCCAGCGCTCATGCGTCCCGGTCGTCTGGACAGAAAGGTTGAATTTGGTCTTCCTGACTTGGAAGGCCGGACCCACATCTTCAAGATCCACGCTCGCTCTATGAGTGTAGAACGTGACATCAGATTTGAGCTTCTTGCACGTCTTTGTCCTAACAGTACTGGAGCTGAAATCAGGTCGGTTTGCACAGAGGCTGGAATGTACGCGATCCGTGCCAGACGTAAGGTAGCCACCGAAAAAGACTTCCTTGATGCCGTCAGCAAGGTTATCAAGTCCTATGCGAAATTCTCCGCTACTCCTAAATATATGACTTACAACTAAACATTTACAAGAAAAAATACATAATTATCATAATTAATATTATTTAACTCTTTTTTTTTATTTTCAATTTTTGCTATATTATGTGATATTTAATGTCATTTAACGTTTAGTATAACAGTTCACGTAAGTAGTTAATCATTGTTTTTTGAAGTAAACTCCATTTTGATAGGTAAATCTGGTTTATTTATTAATAGAGATACGTTATCAAGCACACCTCCTTTCCATTTGAAATTATATTCTTTACTTAGCTGTGAAAAAATTAATTATTTGTTTAATATTAATATTTATATAAGGTGATGAATAATAATTGAAATTTTTTTTATTTTACCCGTAAAAGAACCATTTGAAGGTTTTGCTCAGCTAATCTGCGTGCGATACATGATCTAGGACCGTGTCCAAATGGCAAAACTAAATAAGGATGTACAGAAGCTCCCTTATTTGTTTTATTTTTATCATCTCGCAACCACCTTTCGGGTAGAAATGAATTTGGGTTGTCAAAGTACTCTGGTAAACGACAAGTAACTTGATTTTGCGTTACCACAATTGTCTGTTGGTAAAAATATTTCCAATCAATTGAGTTGGATAAATTTTTATTTTTAATTAAAAAATAATCTATACTCCTGCGGGTATGTGGAAGTTATTTAAAACAGTATCCACAGCAAGGATGCGCCCAACACCAACAGAAATTGGATTCATACGAAAAGTTTCTTTGATTACAGCCTTTGTGTAAGTCGCATCACGCAGTGTAGCTACAGTTATCGGAGCATCATCGACTAATAGCCTCGCAGCTTCAGTCTGGAGTTTCTCTAGTACTGTGGGATTATTTCCCAAGTGGTAGAGTGCAAAAGCAAGGCTGTAGCTAGTCTAAAAGTATAATTCAACAAGACATATTTAAATAGTCGCTTTAGATTTAGATTATAAATTTAAATTCATTATTTTTTACTGTGTCGACTCCGGCCAGTAACATGTCGCAGGCCATTCCCACGACGTCTTTTACATCTAAATTTTCGTTCTTTAAATAAATTTCTAAGAGAGATTCATTGGTGGACACTGGCTTATTTTTCATTTCATCTATTTTTTTATTAACCAACTCAATGGCGACTCTAAAAAAATTCAATTATTATTTTGTCTAAATTTATTTGAAAATAAAAAATAATTGAACCTGTTGCGTACTCTTCCATTAACTTTTGGCTCGTACACAATTTTTTGTACAATGGAGTCTTAAAATATTTCCAAAGTTGAATTCCATTGTCCAACTTCAATATCGCGCTATTGGTCGTCAATGCCGCGTCGATTAATTTTGAACTGCGAGAGTCAACTTGCATTTCTGCTATGGAAAAACTATTCATCGAGACATCGAATGCAACTAAGCATGTTACTGAAAAATTTTTATTAATAAAAAATTAATTTTAAAGTCAATTAAAGAGTGATTTAATAATCAATTCATTTTTTACAAATGAACGATTAATAGAGCGTAAACAAATTTACATTCAAGAAAAAGTCGCGATATCAATGGTAAAAGGTCATCGTATTTTTTGTCTCCACATAATTTAACAAATTGTCGCACAACATTATCAATTACACTGATATAATTAATTATATTCTGTGGCTTACTCAACGCCTTTTGAAATTCTTTTCTTATTCGCCACCAATCTGACCCATTTCTTTAAAAAAACAAATGTAATCATCAAAATTAATTAATTATAAATATTGATGCGTATTTAAAAAAAAAAGTAATTACGTGGGCAAAAGACCTCCAGAGTTGTATACATGGCTTCTATCTTTTCGGTATTTAAGAAGCGCTAAATGACTATGTCTCTCTGGATGTTTTCCAGCCTCAGCTTTGAATATTTCTGCAATATCTTCCGGTCGAAATACCCAAACTATATTAACACCGGGTACTATTTCTTCCTTGACTAATGGACCATATTTACTCAACTTTTTGAAACCATTTTTGTGCAATTTGTTAAAATTGTATTCTCCTAGTAATTTTTAATTTAAATTAAATTACAAAAAACAGTATTTATTTTATTAAAATCAATAATTATTGAATAAATACTACCTATGTGAGGAAGATACTTATACAAAGTGCCAATAATAGGGAGTGATTTTGGTCCAGGAATATCTTCAAATGGACGAGGATTTAATTTAAAACCGGTTGCAGTACACAAGCTGTAATTTTTCGCTCCGCCGAATAATCGCTGACACGAACGATTTAAATGCATCTTCATTAATTTGAATATTACACAACTACACTTTGGAATTCAATCAACTGTTTACTTTCGCGTTTAATAATTTTGCAATAATCTTCGATAAATACGTTAAAAGTTATGAAACATACTATAAAAAGTTTTATAGTTATATCAGTGTGACTTTGTGGACCTGCCGGTTTAAATACTCGGTCTAGAGTGAATTATATTAAAAAACGCCAGGTACAAATGTGGCCCAGAAAAATATGCGTTTGAGATTTTTAAGTGCGATAATGACATTCTCAACTGATACCATAGACTAGTTTTTATGAGCTAAAATTTTTTAGTCAGCTCCAATTTCCAATAATATTTTTTTTTTTAATTTCAATTATATTTATCGCGATAATTAAGTCATTAAATTATTGATAAAATTTATTTTGATGTCTTGTAAAAAAACGCTGAATTTTTTACTAAAATTCCTTCATAAAAAATAAAATAAAAAAGGTGTAAACTCATCAAAATTTGAAATATAATATTTAGGTATCATAAATTTTTAAATAATTTTTTAAATCAATAAACATACGTCAGAATTATTTAGTTATTTAAACTCTACATTTATCTCTATTTCTACATGATAGTATAATTATTATTCGAGCAAAAAAAATCTGGAGTTATTTTGATGAGTTCAAGTACAAATATGAAATAAAAATTGTTTAAAAATCCTTAATCTGTATCGGTAGAGAAGGAAAGGGCCTGAGAGTAAAGATTACTTTCCTGGTGTGGTTTCCCCCCACGGAGAGACCACGAGAGAAGAACCACTGGAAACCACACACTCAACACTTGGTTAGAGTGTTGAAGTTGCTACAATCCCATAACATTTATATATAAACTAGCCAAACCAAAGCAAACTTGACTCCCACCCGGTACATTGATAACGGTACTCAGTACAAGTAATCCTTATGCTTTCGTTGCATTAACAAGATATGTGCAGTGCGATATAACGGGTTTATAAATAATAATCTCTCTATGACAGTTATGCTTGTAAAGTTTTTGTTGTCAAGTATATCTCTCAAGATTTAGTACATAATAATATAAATAATAAGGATCAAATTTAAATACAAGAGTGGATCCTATCATGTGGCCGTTTAGCCGTACATGTCAAAGTAAAATACGTCTAGTAGGTAAAACTGTCGTTATCACTGGAGCTAATACTGGGATTGGCAAAGAGACTGCGCGAGATCTTTACAGAAGAGGTACTTTTGTTTATTATCATTTTTTATTGTTACATCTATTAAAAAATAATTAATTTTCAAAGATTTATAATGAATAATTAAATTAATTATTTGTTAATTGAAAATAATGTAATTTATTTTTTTTTTTTTAAACATGCAGTTTGTTAAATATGTCGAAATTTTAATGTCAGTTTTGACTTGAAAATAAATTTTGGAGTATTTATAATTTATTTTCTTATGTTTTTTTAATGATGTATGTGTAATTCATTCTTTAAATGTACAAAAATAACTTATAGTTATAAAGTACTATCTATTGTACTTTAATGAGTAGTTATATCTATACTATCAATCATTATTAATCTTCAAATATTCAAGATAAAAAATTTAAAACGCTTCAATACTATTACAAGTACTTTGATTCGCATCACTAGTTCACAATTTTTTTTTTCTAATTGCCTTGAGTCGCTTGTAATAAGCAAACTTAATGAGACCGGATAATAAGAATGACCTTGAAAGACGTATGAAATTAACTACCGGTGATTGCGAATGAGTATTGAATTTAATTCTCCATTGATATTCCGATCACGTCTCGCGCTTCTTTTTTACTAAGGCATACTAGGTTACAAAGTACAGATAAAAATACGCAATTTTGATATTATGTAACAAGTAATTAATATTTTTAATCTCGATATCTAGGTGCGAGAGTCATTCTAGCATGCAGAGATGTTGCCAAGGCCAATGCAGCTGTAGAAGAGTTGAAAACTACGCCTCCGTCCAAGTAAGTAGCATTTTTGATTACTCATTTCCTTCGTCGTCATTCAAAAAAATTTTTAACAGTTAAAATAAAAATTTAATATTTTTATTTTAAGGCCAGACCGCGAACAATTCCAAGGAGACCCAGGTGAATTGGTTGTATGCAAGCTAAATCTTTGCAGTTTAGCAAGTGTACGAGAATGCGCGAAAACTCTAAACGACACCGAGCCGAATATTCACATCCTCATAAACAATGCCGGTGTTATGATGTGTCCGTTTGGAAAAACAGAAGATGGATACGAAACTCAACTCCAGTCTAACCATCTTGGACATTTTTTGCTAACTCTTTTATTGCTTCCGAAAATAAAAAATTCAACTCCAGCACGAATTATAAATGTTTCTTCTATGGCGCACTCTGGTAAACTATAATAAATTTTTTTTTTAATCATCTCAACTTGGATGTCATGGTGATGCTGGTCGGTATACGGTTTTCATCGATTTTTGTTTTCATTTATTAACTTTAAACTGTTTTTAACACATTAATCGGCGTCACATTCAATAATCATTCATCATTGATATAAGTCATCAGCTTTTTAATTTAAGTTGTAATTAATAAAATATTAAAGATTTTTAAATTAGGAAATTTAAAACGGAGTCCAGCAAAACTTTGACATTTTTTTATCAATGGATTTTTTTTTTATAAATCAAGTTCTAGGTGGAGACATTTATTTCGACGATATAAATTTGGAAAAATCTTACACTCCATTAAAAGCTTATGGCCAAAGCAAACTGGCTAATGTTTTATTTACAACAGAGTTATCTCGTCGTTTAAAAGGTTATTTATTTTTTATAATATCAACAATAAAATTTTAATCCTCACAAAACCCATTTATAACAAATAATTTAATTTTCAGAAGCCAAAATAGAAGGAATTACCGTTTATTCATTACATCCCGGTGTAATTTCAACGGAATTAGGACGTCATTTAGACACGGCATTTATCAGAGGAGCGAGAGTTTTTTGGAAATACATATCGGCTCCTTTTGTCAAGACTCCGGAACTAGGTGCTCAAACCACCTTGCATTGTGCTTTGGACGAAGCGGCTGGTAAAGAAACCGGAATGTATTACAAGTAAGAACTTTTATTCCGTAATTTCTGATCCAAATGTTTAGAATACCGTAATTAATTTCGTTTTATTTTTTAAGGGAATGCGCAGTTACAACTCCATCGGCCAGAGCTAGAGATGCAGAGCTAGCGCAGAAGTTGTGGGATGTAAGCTGTAAAATGGTCGGACTTGAACAGAAAGATAACTTGGCTGAAATGTTGGCTATACTCGCACGCGACGTTTCAGCTAAATAGATTAGCATTTTTTTAAAACGTACAAAAGTATTTTCGATACAAATTTTTATATTTTTTTCATAATTTATTCAATTATACGAAGCACAAACTTTCATGTTTAATTTAATCTAAAATCACTAACTAATTTTTTAATTAATTTAAAAAAATCACTAATAACTGCACTAATTACATTATTTTTCACGTACTTTAATTTTTAAATCACGAGTTAATTGTCAAAATCCTAAAATTATAAATATTTTTCCTCGAAAAAACTGGAAACGCTTAATTTTTATAAAGATAAATATTTTTATGAATCACCTGCTCTATTTTTGAATGATACATAATTTATTATAAAAGGAGTTTTCAAGTATTGTTAAGAAAACTATTTGTATACAAAAAAAAAATTACTGTACTGTTGAATAATTATTTGAATGAATAAAGGATAAACAAAAATTTTTCACGGAGATTTTTTACTACTTGATTTTTTGAACCCGTATGTGTGTACTTAATGATTTATTACATTTTCCAAAGATTCGTGATGTCACTCTTGAAGGAGATAAACATTTCACGCGATGATGATGCACAAGGCATTCTTGAGTTAAGAGAGATTGAAACCGCGGCCACCCAAATCAGAGAAAGATCACGCAAGCTCTAAAGGTTTATTTCGTCCTTTTAATCTTTCTCCATTTCTTCTTCTTTTACTTCTTGATCTCAGCTACATTATACTAATACTACAACATGATAAGCTGAGTAGAGAGTAGAGACATTAACGTCAGCGAGATCTCCGCAGATAATAGTAGAGCATCAGTGAGTGGATAAAAAGGTGAGTCTACTGAAAAGGTAAATTGCACGCGTGCTGACAGTCCGTTTTACATCTTCTCTTGTATGGTAACTAAATACTTTTGTATAAAATTGTCTTTGAATCATATCTCGCGACTCGTGGTTTAAATTTGAGAACTACGTAATCGACTCCCGTTTATCAGCAAAGGATTTTAAGAGTTATAAATAAATTTAAAAAGCTCGTAGGTCACCTACATTCATTTGAAAGACCGTTATTCTACTTCGCAAGTCCTCGCGCATTTAAATAAAAATATTTTTATGTTATCTCACAATCTTAAAGTCAACGAACTATACTTTACGAAGGCGGAAATCTGTTGGTTTTTAAAACTGTTATAACCTTTGATTTATGAATTAAGATTGTTAAACATCCAGTTCTACATGACAATCCGTTAAAAAATTTTAATCACCAACAAAAAAAGTAAGTAAAGTCTGTTAGACATCGAGAGATTAAAATTTTTTAAATAAGTTTGTTGTTATTAATTGGAATGAAATAATATAGATAAAATAAAAAATAATTTAACGACCATTTAGATGTAATCAATCTAATTTAAATATATGTAAGTGTACGGTCAATTTAAGATGTCCACTCGTGACGAAAGTACCTTGGGTCACTTTCTCCAGCTGATACAGTCGTCGAAAGTAATGTGATATTATATATCGGCTAGGATCAAGGAGAGAAAGACGATCACCTTGACTTGAATATTTTTGCATCGCACTCTGTTTCCTTGTAAACACTGCCGCCCACAATGAGAGATGAGATGACAATAATAATTAATTGTTCAAAGACGAAAATAAAAACAATATGACTGTAAAATTTTTACATTAGAAAAATTCTAAAAATTATCTTGTTGCATTTTTCGACAAAACAAAACTAAAATTGCTCACACAGAATTTTTGTATGCAATAAGTAAATAAATAAATTTTTTTTAGTGTGCAATATTTTACACGATTTATGATTGTAGATATTATGCATTTAAGAAACATACAATGGAGATGATGAATTGCAAAAGTTTTGCAATACTTTCGACACATCCTTTGTTGGCCACATGAAGGCATTGAAAATATTTATTTCAAGTACATTAGACCAGTTAGGTTTTTTTCTGTGATATTTTCCTGCTAAACCAGTCGATTGATAAGACAACAAGCAGCGACAATAATGATAAAAATAATAATAAACATTATTATTAATAAATGTTTCGAAATGTCAAGTATCATTGAAACCCGATCAAAAAAAATTTCGAAAGACTTCCGACTAAAAGACTTCCGCCTATAATATTATGAATAAAACAAAGTTTTAAATTCAAAGTCAAAATTATAATTTTTTTTGGGATTTAAATTGAGATGTCCACACAATGTCAGCCGACCTAAGCGGACAATGCCAAAAGAGAGACATCACACGGTTGTATTTTTATTTTTATATTATTTATTTTCATTTAAACTAAAAACTGAAAAAGGAGAATCGCGAAGGCGTGAGGCCAGTTCGGCCCTCCTGCCAACTACTCACTCGCTGCCCCCGTAAAAGAATCAGTTCTGCAATCCGGCTTTTAATGTGACTAGTCTGTTCAGTGCTTCAGTACGATTAATCCACCATATGACAGCTTCTCATTCTCGAATAATTCCCCAATCATATTTTACCGAAAGTCCTCTCAAGTGTCAGTTTAAAAAACAAAGTCTCGAAATATTAAATTTTTATTTCGAAATAAAATACAGCCTGTTAATCTACTCAAATGTTTGTAGAAGTTATTAATTTCCTTTTTGTTATTATTTGATGATAGATTGATTCATTCTATTTCAATATGAATTTTTATTTACTTCTGGTAAGTTTAATATCTTTACTCTATTAATAAAAATTATTTTTTCATTCAATCAATATTCTTTTCTTAATAACAAACAGGGTTAATTTTTATTCTCACGTTATTGCATTAGCGAAGAATTTAATTCTAAACTTTTTTATGAGATTGTAATCCTAATCGACGGATGTAATCAATGCTAACCCTTTCGCAACATACATACAATATAAATATATGAACTTGAGAATTTTATTGCTGGTCATACTGGACAATAAAAGTAATGTATATAAATAATTTATTTAATAGCAATAACAACAACACGTAACACGCAAAGGTACAGGCAAAATAAATGAAATAATTTTAATAATACCTTTTTATCATGAAAACAATCGATACATATATTACATAATTTTATTAATAACGATCTTTCAACGCGGGTTAAAAAAAAATAAATACGGCAACAGGTTATAGTTAATGGGTGTGAGAATTTTTTTGATCGTAGAAGGTAAAAATATATTTAATAGAATGGACTTCTTGGTATTTATATCACCTTACAAGTCAAAAACTACTTTTATTTAGGTCTATGCTCCCAAAGCCTGAACGGTTTTAAGACACACCCATTATTTATCCGAACTCGAATTTATTTATTTGTGTTTTTGTACTGTGAAGTGCACCTGTGCTTGTTCACATCATGTCAGAGTTAAGTTGTATCATACAAATAAAAAAAACATCACATGCATTATTGAGTCGTTCATTGTTTACCGTCATTTAAATTCGGTCAAAGGTTCACTGGAATACGCGCGACTCTCACGTCTATCGAATTTTAATCAGCAGTCGAAATACTTTCATATTTATTTTTAGAGTTTTTGTCATAAATGAAAAAACAATTAAAATTTTTACGATTAAATTTCATAAGAAAATACTTTCGTTATCGTAAAAGTAAAAATTGATTTTATTATTTATGACCGTGAGACTCATAAATCAATAAAAAAAAAATAAATTACTATAATACATAAAGAACTGACAAAAAATGGTTATTTCATAAAAATAAAATTACACCAATAACATATATTTATATATATATCTATGAATCTAATGGTTAAAAACTAAAACTTTCTCTAGATCAAGAGCACAACAATCTCCGATAATAACAAAACGTCGGAACATTAGATCGAGCACCGTTTAATAAAAATTAGTGACCGGCAGCCTTTCTTCCGCCAAATTTCGCGTGATAAATACCACGGTCACGTTTTAATAAAATATTGTAATCAGTGAATTTAAATATTCCGAAGAAAAATAATTAATCATCGCATATTATGTTACATTACGTTGGTTGCGTCCCAAAGCAACGGCCCTACTACTGACACTGTGTAGCATGTATCCTTAGTTTGTATATCCGGCGCCTCGTTATATTGCTCCCAGCATCTGTATAGTATACAGACTTAAGTTAACTTCGCCGCTCGTAAAAGTGAAAGCAATTTGGTGTAAGCGTATATACGTTGTAGTAAACGAAGGAGAAAATATGTGTGCAGAAACAGTCGACGCACATGCGTTACATTTAATATATTTAAAAAAACAAAACAAAAAATAACGAATATGTAAAAAAAACACAAGTCGTTACCGATCCCTTAAATTTAAAATAAAATTTATTATTTATCCATTTAATTTAACTTGTTAATTTATGTCCTTCTCACTATCTTATGCTTTATCATTTTCATTGCCGGTAAAATAATAAGTTTGATAAAAAAATAAAAAGCTCGAATAAGAAACAAGTTTTAAGGGATTTTACGACCATAGATCGGGCATACGCGTGTACAATTTCCTGCAAGCTAAAGACAACTAGTGGGTTTTTGCTCGCGGCTTAATCATCCGCGTACGTAGTCGAGATAGAAGTTTAGTCTAGTGGTGTATATAATAGTATAGCTTCGAGTACATTGGTGTAGGTCTTTGTTTGAAGAACAAAAAATAAAATCCAACAAGAATCGAGCACACTCCCACGCGTCTTGCGAATCTACCGGATAACATCACTAAACCGTTCTTTTACTTTTTATTTCATTTTATTTTAGATTTTATTATCCATCTCTTTTTCTCTCTCATCTTTTCTATATAATCTTCGACGTTTTCTCAAAACTTCCGCTTTTCATTGCATTATTAATTACGCATAGTTACTTTGTTGCTAAATGCAACAGCGACGAACAATAAAAGGCGCGTCGTAATTCATTTTATTTATTTTTTTTTTCTCCTGTTATTACTGCTGATAATAATAACAATAATAGCAGAAGAGAAAAAAAGTAAATTTAAATATAAAATTAGTACGCGCAGTGATATCAAGTGTAATTTGCACGCATTTAGTGTAATGCGTTAGTGTGTAAGTAGGTATGAGTAAGAAGGTTATGACGACTTCAGTATAAAATCTATCCAATACAAATTTCTGCGACCACGTACCGGATAATAAGCTCGAAAGTTTATTTAAATATAGGTATACAATACTCTTCAATACATTGTATTCGAGAGGGTGTGTATATTTCTGTCTATTACATTATGTATTATTTTTTCTTACAATCATACATAAATTTATTTAATAGCTCAATTATAAAGCTACTTAATTAAATCCATTAATTCAATATTTAGCCTTCCATACATTGTATACCTTTTAATTTATTTCCTTATATTTTATCTTAATTTGATGATACATTTAAAAGCCAATTAAAAGCTTCATAACTCCTTACACAAATAACGTAAACTCATTGCGATGACGTTTAAAAAATACCTCTATGATCTAATCTAAGGTCTGAGACGTCCCGCGTTCTTGAAAAATAATGAACGTATGTGACACTTTGAAATACCTACAAGGTAACGCGGTAGCTTACTCATTAGCTGTCTAATTTTTTCTAAATTACGATACACGTCACGTTTTTTAAATAAATATTTGTTGATGTTTTATAAAAATAATTAGATGATAGTTAAGAATTAAAGTGTGTCGTTAAAATGAATAAAGAATAAGTCGGTAATAAATAAAATGTTACGAATAGTCGCCTTGAACTCTCGATGTTCTGATGGGTAGCGACAGGGTTCATAAGCAAGGACGAGCTTCACTATTTAAACTTCAACTCTCAACTCCTTTGTAATATCCTGTACATCGTTTTTTTTTTCTTTTTTTTTTTTTAATTTAATAAATATCTCGTGAAGCTAAGTGACAGAGTGGAGTATAAATAAATGTACTATCGAATGTAATGTAGTGTGAGCGTGGGTCGTAATCAGAGGACACCTAATGTAATGTAATGTAATCATATTTATATACAGAGCATAAGTAAACTGACTTGCCCCTCTATCTACATATTTGGTATAGTACACATTAATATTATATTAAAAACTAAAGAAAAAATAAAACCGATCAACTCTGCTGGTATCTAAGAACAAATTAAATGTCCATCTAGTTACACTACATTATACTCTAGACCAAAGTTAAGTCTATACAGAGTTAATACCACAGGAGTGTAAGCTTGAGACCAAGAAGCGAAGGTGGAGGCAAGCTAAGTGTGCAGCCAGCCCAAGTGATAGCGAGGAAACGTCGTCGTACCTCAGTCTCTCTCGGTATCGCATCCTCTTCGTGCTACTTAGACGTAACTTGTGATTCTATTAACCGGCATAGTGCTTAATGACTTGGTGAATTATTTCGGCAATTTGTTTTTGTAATTAATTATTAATTTTTTTTTTTCGTCGGTAACTTCCTCATAGCCGGACAAAAGAGAAATTTGTAGAAATAGTAATAATAATAACATTAACATTTTATCGAATTGAGACTCGGTGAACTTGTTTGCGGTATTGATAGCAGAAAATAGTCAACGATAATCATGAGAGTGTTTTATTGATGTACTAATAAAAAATTCATTCAGAGGCCAGTGAGAAAAATTAGTGAAATGTCGAAGCTCTGGATAATTATTGCGGCAATTTATTTAACTAGGGTGAGATTGTTGTTTTAATTAATAATTATTTTCTATTTAGCGGTTAAGCTGTTTGTGAGAAAATAAAAAATTTTTTTTTTTATTAATATAATAGCAAGTTTGTGGGTAAATATAATAGTAATAATTTTGTAATAAAAAATTTGTTATTAAAAAGTAAGATCGTAGTTATAGTAACGAGACATTATCTCTCACAATTAGTAACGCCAGGATTAAAGCCTAACTCTTACTCTTAGCACTCTGCTCTCATATTCGGAGTTTGCTCATACGGTACGTCGATTATGAGTCCATAAAAAATTAAATACGGGGATTATTGCTGTAAATAATTTAAATTTTAACTCCCTCGTAAACAAACAAATAAATAAATAAGTTAAAGTACAAAGATGATAATATGTGTGTACAATTACTCGACTTGGTAATTAGGTAATTATTAATGAGCCGTGTCTTATTTAATAGACTCGTATACGTCTTAATAAAGTGAGGCTGGTACTAGACGATGAAAGACGACATAAAAGAAAACAAAACGTTATTGAGTTTAAATTCATGTGAGATCGTGTTCACGTAGTATTGAAAGGATCAAATGCCATTGCCACACTGATTTACTGATCTCACTTCATTATACACAACACAACTACCACCACCGTTAACTAGTATAATCTGTCAGACTAATGCATGAGAAAATAATTTACGTTTAATGACTGAGTACACCAATAATTTACAAATTATTTTCTTTTTTATTGAAAAAATTTTAAATCACCAACCATAGCTTTGATAAGTTAAATTGTAAATAATTATGATTATTCAAAAAAAAAAAATTTAATCGTCATTTTTAAAAAAATACAATACAGACAAAATTATATAATATGAGATGGAACCAAATAAAAATTAATTTATCTGGCCGCTTTTAATTATAACATAAAAAAGCGTGACCATTAGTTGCTAAAAAAAGTCAACTATTATTATGAAATAAAATAAAACATTTATTTATGTCTGTACTCAGGTTAAAAAAAATTAAAATCGTAAAAATCTATTGTTATTATTGCTGTAAAAATTAAAGTGATGGCTCGTCTGCCGGCGTTCAATTTTGAAAACTGACAGATTTATTCACAATTTAATGGGGCCTTAAATCTAGTCTATCGCATCACGAATTTGTGTGAGATTCATTGCCAACCCGTTACCGCGAAATACGTAGTGCTCGTAATATAAGTATAACTATACGCGGGATTGTGTTTACTCGCTTGCCAATACAAGAGCACTCAGTACAAATACTTGGGAGCGTACTCGTGTATTGCATTACCTGTATGTGAAGTTTGATGTTTTAGTTGAGAAGTAATGTAAGAACAACCGATGCAACCACTTCGGTATCGCTTCTACCTCCCATAACCTTTAACCCCACGCGATGACCGGCAGTAACATTTTATACTGTCGTTTTACGGCACGATTTCAGTGCATACCGTTGTTATTATTTTTTAGTTATTTACCACAACAATTGCCACCGATCTCCAGTCTCTAGCAAATAGAACCGGTCTTTTATTTTTTTGTGGATTTTTTGTGGTTCTATGAATAAAAAATAACCGGGAATTCAATTGAAAAAAAAATCTGACAAGTTTCGTTTGATAAATCTTATCAATTTCAAATTTAATTGCCGCAATAAATTAGTTTGAAATTTTTCTCTCAATGAGACTGCTCGAGATAAATTTATTTACAACTATAAACGATACGATTGGCAAAATAAATAAGACCTTAACATTGAACTTTAAAAAATAAATTCCTCGGAATCTTGATAGTTTCTCAAGGTCTTTAAAAGTAAAGCCTTTATATTCAAGAATGTGAATTAAATGCAAACATATCAAGCAATTGCGCCGGCTGACCGGTAACTGACCTCGACAATGAATTTTATCCGCTCGTCGCGTGCCTTCGTTGCTGAGGGCTCTTTATTTCCTTAACAACAACAATAACAACAGCATGCATATACTTATTTATATATGTGCTGGGTTTATATCCTCTCATCTTATTATTGTGCAGTATATTTGAAGCCCTCTCTCTTTCTCAGCAAATACATATGTATAGCTAAGACATAATACCGTGGATCTACAGCGTGACGATTCATGATCGTAAATCACGCTCGTGAATCTGAATGCTCTGGGCAAAATGTTGAGTGCATACTTATGTTTAGAGGTCGACGGTGTTACGAATAGTACCGCAGAGCATCATCAGGGCCAATCAGGAATTTACTTCTATTTATTTATGTCTATATATATACATAGACATGTACGTAGATATATTTGATACAATACAAAGATTAAAATTCTGTATAAAACAGACACATTAACACATATGCAAAACGATTCGTTCACTTCCAATTACGGTTAGGCCGTTGCAATCGAGAGTGGGCTTTCAATGTGTATGTAATATATATATATATATATATATATATATATATATATATATATATTAATATAAATAGTCCTTTAGTGCATGCTGAGTCAGGACATATCGATTCGATCGATTAGCAATCAAGAACATTTAATTTTTTACTTCAATCTTATTTCCACAAAAAAAAATTTTTTTTCATACATAATTAAATTGATTAAAATAAATTTTAATTGATTTTACTATCCCAAAATAAAAATTGAAAATTAGGTCGATAAATTTGAAGAGCAATAAAAAGAATCGATAAAATAAACTGACATGATGTGACGTGAAGTGGAAAAAAATTAATAATGTAAATTTAGTCCGTGAGTAAAAAAAGAGCTTCTGAGTTGAATCTCGTTGATTGCGCGGATAAAAAATGCTTTTAGTGCACCCAAAGACGGTGATTATAATTTACAATCTCTTTGAAGTGACAGTAAACGATTCGGTTTTGCTAAAAAGCTATCATTTATAATTATATCGATAGACAATGGGTACAATTGTAGACATCAGACCTGTTGGCTGATAAAATGTATATTGATAATAATAATAATAATAATAATAATTTTAATAGTAGCAGTTATAGTTGTATAGTATGTAAAACGAGGAAAAGAATATGACACGTAATAATTAGGCGTTGAAGTTAAGATAAGAATAAATTGTATATAGATCTATTTACGTACGGTTTGTTGTGATTAAGACATAAGAAATGTATTTTCTCATGATAGATTATTTTTTTTTGTTAGAGTATATGAAGTATAAAGGGATAGTTATCGTCAATTATCCGGTTATGCAATCGTATGATTAGTTGTATGTAAATGTGTGAAAGAAAATAAGACACAAAACTGTTTAAAGTCTTCATCATTAGAATACGTTATGGTTTATGCTTGTAATTGTGATTGTGATTATATTATTATTTAATGTATATTATAAATTGTAATATAAGGATAAAAGATGCAATATGTGATTAGTTAAATTGAATTTTACGAAATTTGCGGATAAAAAATTAGCAAATTTTTAATGATGAGAAACAAATTATATATTGATATCTTTATAAATATTTGCCTATGAAAGGATAAAGAACTGTCGTGATTTAAAATTGGTATTCCCTCGACATTCACCTTAACCTGGAAGCCGCTTCACCTCCAACATCTACGTAATAAGCAGTTTAAGCTTTTTTTCGCTAAAGAGTATTAGAGTGAGCCGTTTTCAGCAGTGGTTTTGTCGGATAATAGACTACTCGACTAAAAAGAAAATCTTACGCTTCTGTGACTTATTGTCAACTTCTCTTATTTTATTTTGTCATTTTCATCATACAATTCTTCTTTCGCTTACTGATTTTACTGCTTCACTTAACTTTGAGATTTACTAGCGGAAGGCGTCGCTTGAACAACTATAAGCAAACTTATCATCTTGAGCTCTTTCAAATAAATTTTTTAATTACCGTCATGACAATTATTTTTTTTTTTTTTCATGAAAAAACTTATAATTTTATGTTTCCGGTAAATTTAATTTAAAAAAATTGAAAAATTAAAAAGTCTCACTTTAAAGTTCAGAAGGAGTTAAAAATTAAAAATTACTTGAGGCAATAAAGGAAATATGTAACTTCTTTTATTAAATAATTAAATTTCAAAATAACTTAACAAACCAAAAAATTATTGCCATTACAATTATTAAATATTTGAATTAATAATAAAGTTTGGAATAAATTTTTTAAGTTAGCAGGTTTAATTATTAAGTTAATTAATTGCTTAATATTATTACAAAATTTCGCAATTGAATCAAACAATAAACCGTAAAAAAAAAACATTACTTTAATTTTATTTATTGAATTTTTGGCTCCAAAGGTGTGCAATCATTAAATAAGTAATTACAATTTCTAATCAATTAGTAAGTCAGTTAATTAACGTACATAAATTTGACATAACTCAAGACATGACTTTATATTTATAATACTAATAACAAAGGCCATGAAAATAAATGCCACTAATTTATTCAATGTATTATGTTGGACTTAAGAATGCGAGCCGATAACTAACAAACGGAACAATGAATTGATTGCCGGAAAATAATTAATTGTTCAATCGATCTTCTTGCACTCTATTGAATACGAAATAACCTAATGGCCTTGAGCCAATCCCTATTGCACTTCGTCATACTCATGTTAGCTGCTCACATTATTATTATTATATATTATATATTTCTCATGGTACGCCAAATATTAACAATGAAATGTGCTAAGTAACTAGTATTAATCATCCGATACCGAACGACGGTAATAGATTGCAACAACTAATTGATTCAAGTTTAAAAAAAATTGCTGCGCATTATTTACTCAACCAGCACCATATTGATTATTATAATTAGTAATAAGCAACAACTTTCTTCTTAATGTTTTTATTTATTTGACTGATAGCTGCTGTTAATAAAAATAAATAAATGTATAATTTAATACGGAAATTTAAATAATTATGTTGTGACCAAAGACGTATCTTATTTACATAACCAGAAGTTTCATTCATTGATTCATTCGGAAATAAGTTTGTTAAAAATTAATTTATAGCTACTTTTTGAGAAAGAAGAAAGTTTGGACGATAAATTAAAAAAATAAAAAAATTATGTAACAATAAATTAAGAAAAGGTCAAAAGAAAATATTTTATTTATTTAAAACCATGATAATTTATAGAATTTTAATAATAGTAATAATATAAATTCTCCTGACAAACGGTTTAAATTTGATAAATTTTTACCAGATAAAATCGACTATTGTTGATAATTGGCTTTTTATAAATAAAATAAAACAACGATGATGAATGAATAAAAATAAAAAGGCGGTGAATGACAAGCCAGAAAATCCATTTCTACTGGAATCATCTTTCATCAAGTGCAACGAAAGCGTGTCTACATAATCACAATCACAATTGTTAGCATTCCTCAATCTCGTCTGATGTCTGATGTCTCTACTACTCTTACTGCGCTAAGCGAGTTGGTACATCCCGTTGCTCGTTACAGTCACTTAGTAATTCCGTTCGCTGACTATGTAGTTGAGTTGTATACTTCTGATGACAATAGTCTACTTCCGTTTTAGAAAGTAAAAAAGTTATTAAACTTGTCAGAGATACTTATTGATGTCAAAATATAAAACAAAGAGGCTAAAAAATTGTTATAAATACTTATGAACTTTTATTTTTTAAATAGAGTTATTTGAAAAAAATTTAATCAACATTTTATTGAGATGTCATGACACTGAAAAATTTCAATTGAAAAAAATAAATCTCGTAAAAAAATGAATAATATAAACAATATGAACCTTCGTAATTATTAATAAAAATTAATATAGAAATTACATATATACTAAGTATACTTCGAATTTTAACGTGTAATAAAAAAATAATTAAAATTATTGATATAACAAAAGATACTCATTCGTTTCTAAACAACAGCAGTAAATCATGACAAGTAATGTAATCATTATCACCTAAACCGCAAGTACGACCCTTTCTCTTGATATAATACATAATAATTCTCAGTACAAGAGAAGACTGAGTAGAGTATGAAAGAGTAAAGCCTGAAGCCGAAAGACTATTCCAAGCCTTTAGAGAATGGCCGTGGGAAGTGTTCAGGATATTTAACCACCCACGCTGGCGTCAACCACTCGATAATGAAAAAAATAATTTTTAACTCTTCGCGACAAATGACAAACTGTATAATAGGTAATTGTCCAATGATGAGACTCTTCAAAGACCAACGACCGCGTAATTGGCTATTTGCACTTCTATTTCGTTCTATTCAAAAAATTTACATACTTTGTATAATAATAATTATTATTATTATAAACTTTATAGGACATTTAGAGCATAAAGTTTCCTGGGAAACTTTATGAATATCATCGTAACGCCGCCTACAGATGACAGATATCTAAATAGTTCACTCAGTAACCAGATAGTAGATGTAATATTTAGCTCACTATTTCTCATGTATTTAATAATATGTCTGTATCTGAGTGATAAACATCGTAACATTCATATCCATTATACAGTTATAATCGTGACTGCGATGATGTGATAAAATACTACCCTGTTCTTCCAAAACGCTATCTAAAAACGAAGTATGAATTAAATTTAGCAATCTATTTAAATAGTGTAGAGTATACATAAACTTTTTAGATTTTTTCAGTTAATTGGCTATCCAGTCTAATGCAACAATTTTTTCTCCAATTTTTACTTCATATTGGTTAGCCTGTATTTCCCTCCAGGCATAAACAATTTAGCCATAATTCATATCTAAATTTGTCATTAAAGATAAATTTGACTGAACAAATAATTCGGACGGCCCAGTATATATAAAACAAACTTTTTCCAAATTGTCAAAAAATATTTGGAAAAAAAAAATTTTTTTTCTGACTACAACAAAAACAATGTTATATTTTTCTTCAAAAAATTTATTTTTTTGCTCATGAATTAAAAATTATTTACAAGATACAGAATAAGACAAGAAAAATAATTTTTTTTCTAAATTACCTAATTGTGCATAATATTTAATGTTACATAAGTTGAAAATAATGAAGATAAAAAAATATTTTCCTCCGTCGTTATGTTAACCCCCAACACTTATTAAGTATCAAGTGTTCTCTTAGTATAAAGTCAATAAATAAAACGAGGATACCGGCAAATAAATAGTGCAATACATAATTTAATATAAATTTTATTATGTATGTCTCCTGGCATCCAAAGCCGGGTGATATGGGATCTCTTAATATGGACCGTAGGCCGGAGACTTTCCCAATCCCACGCACGCCTCTCGTAAAGAACCCGGAGAGACGTATAGCAATAATATAACATGACATCTAAGTTAGTATTCGCTTACTCAACTTTGCCGCTATACCATGAAAATACTATAGAAATATACATAGAGATAAATACAGCACACCAATACAACTCAAGTACAAACGAAACGCGATATTAAAACTCCGCGATGTGACTCAAAGCCTAAGATGGAGTAAAGAAAAATAATCACAGTACTCGTAATTTTTTTTTTTTATTTATTACCCTCAAATTAAGTCGATCTTTCGTCATATGTGAATGAGCAATACTTAATAAAGTAATGGGAGAAATCATCTTGACATTGTTTTATTTTAACATTCTTGACATCAATTTAAATTCTCTCGGAATCTAATTCGTTTTACGTGAGATTATTTTAATTGTAAAATAAAAGAATTGATTGAAAAAAAAATAATTTATGTAAGTACGTTATCTAATAAGTATAACCTTGAATTAAATAAAGGACGTAACATTTTTTCAAGACCACATCAAGGTAAATAACATTTATTATAATTTCGAGGTTTTCCCAACGCCCACTAATTTTCGCAGGTCAAACATTAAATTATGGTACACCCACGAAAAGTATCCGTTATTTATACATGTATTTTATTTTCAGATTGTCAAGACCTTTTGAATAATTCAATTGATTATGATAATATGATCACTTGATCCCGATACAATATTTACCAAGATCGATCTTGTTGACGCCTCTTAATGATGATTCTCCTTGATTTAATAGAACAATATTCAATAAAATAAATTTAAATAAAAATTTTTGTATATTCAATAGAATCATTGGATCATTAATTATTTATCTGTATTATATTTGAATGTAGAATAAATAATAAACAATAAATAAACTAAAACACTGACATTGATAAAGTCTTAAATGGCCAGCGACATTGTTATGCTTATGTCACATTAAATTATTGCCGAGTTATTAAATTTTTCCATGTTGCTATATGCATAAAAAAAATTATTTCAAAATTTCTCTGCGCTCAATTAAATAAAGCGAGCAAAAAAACTTAATTAGCATTTAATTTTAATCTGATGTGACATTTATGACACTGGAACTGGATGCTTAAATTGGTATTGTTTTTTGTTTAAGATTTCGGTATTATGTCTGACACCAGACGAAATCGAAGCTCAAAGAAGTGGCTGGAATGTCGATCCAAATACCCAGTACCACATACAAACTGACGAGGGACCAGAGAGATACTTTCGATTTCAAACACTCAATGGACAATTTCGTAAAGAAAAGAGACTCGAGGACGGTACTGTTGTCGGTACTGAAGGATGGCTTGATCCCCTAGGTTATTTAAGAATTAAAGATTATATCGCTGATCGCGAAGGCTTTAGAATACTTAAGTAAGTTTTTTTGTTTATTTTTAAAATTACTCGGTAAATTAAATAATTATTTTTTGAATCTAAATCTTAAATCTCAAATTAAATTTAATAATAAAGTATCTATTATTTTAGCAGTGATTAAGGTCACGAATAACCACAAAATCATGATAATAATAAGACAATTATTATGAAATACCTTGAGTTATTTCCGTAGGAAGACAAAAAACATTCTCGTTGTTATTCTAGTAGTAATTTATTATTACTCGTCATTAAACAATTAAATTACGTACGTGACCGTGAAGACTTAAACAAATTTACTGTACCTAGTTTACTCAATTAACAAGTCTCGTTAGTTCGAAAACAATTATTATTAATTTAATTAATAATACCATCACACATTTTTTATCAGATCTAAAACGGTTTACGTTGGAATCAATCGACCGATTGACGAAGCAGTGACCGCCAGTAAACGAGTACCGCCTACAAATGGAGTTTTGGTTAAGCCACGACGACCTCCTAATCCATTTAGGTTTGTATATTGGTTAATTAATTATTAATGAAATGAGGTATATAAATCTATTATAAGGAACTGAATTATAATGCTAATTGTTTTGCAGACAACCAGTATTACAAGACTTTTCAAGCAACAGCATCGAAAGTAACACGATAAAACCATATCGAGCGTATTCACCAGCAGATTCACGAAGATTCATTGTACCTTCAACTCCATCGTATCCGCATTCAAATTATTACTCAACAACAATAAGACCAATAGCAATAGCCAATGAATTACCAAAGCCTACAACGAATAAATACATTCGACCGTACCGAGTTTACAATCGATCTTACAGAAGATCTTATCCATACGTTGGATCACCTACTGTTGAAATAGAACCACCAGAAAATAATAGCAATAATAATATTATTAATAGTAGTAATAATGACGAAGCAATAAAAGGAACTCCAGAATCAACATTTGGACTTTATCGGGCAGACAATCGGCGATACCGAGCTGCCCTAGCGTCAGGACGTTTTAACAGCACATCTCGACAAGTACGCACCCGTCGACCCAATTTCACAACTGAAAACTCCGACAGTCAGACAAAAGAAACAACAAGTCCCGTTTACTACACTCTACCGCCAGCGAATCCACGAACCAGACAGGCGCGACTTTCTCAGGGGATTTCATCAACACCAGAAGAATACGAATTTCCTCAGTACGATGGAACTCACACGACCGCTGATGGTTTTCAGTATTACCTAAAAACTCACTATCATGAAGAAGAGCAACAGCCCGATAAAAGCGTCGGGTCATTCGGCTACGTGGATCCCTTTGGAATCAGACGAGTTGTCTACTACAAAGCTGATGGACAAAATGGGTTTGTTCACAAGAAAAATAATCGGTATGTAGGGTTCGACGCTACTCCATACGATCCCGTGCCACCGAAATAAAAAAAAAGATAATAAAATAACTGAAGTGTTATTATGCTCAGTTGTGAATTTTAGTCAAGAGCCTCCGTTCTAGATGCCTTATTTGTGAAAATTAACTCGACGTGCCAGTCGATAGTTTTATGGTTGTATGAGTACGTAAATGTGTGAATGAGATTCATTTATGGTTTAGAAAATAATAATAATAATAATACTGACAATAATGATGATAATAATAATAATCCTTAAGCTTCGAATTCACACAATCATTTATTTATCTTTATTATTATCATACTGCTTCATAATGATTATTATTATTATTCTTTTTTTGTCTACATGTTATAGTGAAAGATTCGTTACGAAAAAAGGTGCTTCAAGTCTTTAGATATTCATTTTAAAAAATACGCCGTACCTAAAAGTTTGACGTGTGCGTACAGAGCGCGAACTAATGTAACAGGATTATCAATTATTATTTTTTTGAATCACGTGGGAAGATTTGACACGTAACAACTAATATAACTGGACATTGAACTCTTACTTGTCAATCTTTTAAACTCAAGTATCTGACGCGAGCATGATTAAGAAAAAGAAAGAAAAAAAAGCGGGAAGTTGAATAAGATAAAAAATAAAATTTGCATTTAATTTGAGAAAATTTACAGGGATTGTCTCGTCTTGAATGGAAACTCGTAATATCCGGAAATAATTATTGCGTGTAATTTTCTCTTATGTATTTAAAAACACAGGAAGACTAGTATACATACTTATTTATACAAGTAATGCGTATTGTTTTGGATTCGTGACCTACTAATGAGAAAAGTTATTTTTAAATATATTCCGAACATGTCGGAACAATTGACATTTTTTCTCGCCAAAACTTTCTTTCAAACTGGACTGCTCATTGTAATTGCGCTCGCGTGCTCATCATTTATATCGATTGACAATGACGCCATTTAATTTTCATTATAAAAAAATCTCAGTATATAAAATTTTAAAAATACTAGTAGTTAAAGTACCACGTAGATAAAAAATAAATAGATTAATAATTAATTTCATTGATTGATTGAATGAATGAATAATTTATGCGTGTCAATAATTTATAATAATAAGTATTTAAAAGAAGGAAAATTTCTAAGATAAAATTATGAAAGAAAATATCAATTAATTATTCATTAATTGATCATAAAATTGAATGCTGTCATTGCCCTGACGACCACAGTGCATTTTATTTAGCATAAGAGTAATAATAAAAATATAATAATAAGAAATAATAAATAATTAATTATTTTAATGCACTTTGTTCGCAGGGCATTAATTAAAAATTGTATGTTTGTAAATGAATTACAAGATATACATTTGCAATCAGACAGCTTTCTTGCTCTCTTTATTGTTTTATCGAATTTTGTTCCGTTTAGATGTACTTACTACCTCTTCTCTGTACTTAATACTAATTTACTTGCTGGGGAAATCAAAATTGTGTTTAAATAGGTCTTAATTTTTTTATAAACGATCTTGATCTCGTTGTAAGAAAAAAAATGTAACAGATTCTTGTAAGGAAATCCAATCAAGATCTCTCGTAAATAATAATAATAATAATGACGACGATAGTAAAATAATGATAATAATTATTACTATATATTTATGATTTATTCAACTGAGTGAATACTCACGCTAACATTTTATCCATAACTATCAAGATTTTAAAATCCGAATACTCAGATTTCTTTACGCTCGTGCGCCCAATTTTTTCGTTTAGTTGAGGTAAATTAATTCGATTTTTTTTCATTTTATATACATTAAATCTGATTAATAAAATGCTTTATAAACAATGTAATGGATTTTTTATTTATTTTATTGCTATAATTTATTATTTTTTCGTTATTTTCAGTTTCAATTCACGTAAGAAGAGAATAATAAACTTGTTTTTATTTTTCAGTAAACTCGACACCTCAGACTGCTACTTAGTTTAAGATAATAAAATATCCAGGAATTGTGATCACTTTTACTGATTTCTACTTTCAATTAAATGAAAGTGATATTACAATGTATAGGTGCATAAGCAATTATTAAATGCATATATAAATAGATCAATTATATGATTATTGAGACCTGATAATTCAGAAATTGGTGGTTCAATAATGAGTACATTGATGGTAAATGAAAGAATAGAAGAATGAAACTCGACTTACCGATCGCTGGCCTTTGATAGAGGTGGAGCTTCTCGTAGCAGCATTGCAGTTCTCTGGTCGCTGAAGAGATGATGATAATTTCAAGATGTTCATTCATAATTTTGAAGCACTGAACACTAAATAATAAAAAAAAAAAAAATTGCATTCAACACTAGAAATAAAATAGTGAATAAAAAAATAAAAATTGACTTACCAATCACTAATTTCTACTGACAGAGATGTTGATACTTTTAAAGAACACCATTTTAGATTTAGAGCAGTTACTTGAAATCTTCATTGGAAGTGATGGTTCATGGATGATTTTATATGTCCCTAAGATTTAAAAATTTTTCTATTGGTCAAAATATCCCGCGCGAAATTTCCGAACCCAAGATTGGCCAATTTTGAAAGTTTTTAGTTCGAGAAAAAGTTACCAGAGCTATTTAGGAATTTTATGATAATAAAATAATAATAATAGCAATTTTTCGTTGTATTAAATAATGCACCAATCTTTCTAATGAAAATGATTGAAATTTTTTTTAATTAATATTTAAAAAAAAATTAAACGGACGACTGTTTACACAGAAAAAAATAAATTAAAAAATATGCTGAGATACTTGTTAATTTTTACTATTTTAAATATGATACTGAAGTTAGCTGACACCTGTTAACTTTTTTATTTTTATACACGTCAATTACAATTAAAAAAATGCTTCTAAAAATTTCGACTAGGTACTAATTTTTTTTAATTTTCATAGGTGGAATTATTTTATTAAATTTTTTTCATAATAATTTCATTGCTATAAAATTATAAAAAAAAATTTCTAATATCTGTTAACATCAGTGTCAATTTCAAATAGTAATTTGGAGTTTAGATGGAATTAACTTTTTTTTTTAATAACAAATATCTCAAATTAATTCATTGAAATAACGACTTTACAGTTTTAAATAGTATTTATAATCTATTTATTTTTATTATAGTTTATTTTTTTCTGTGTACTATTGAAAAACCATTTTTTGAATTGATTTAGGAGAGGGTCGGGAAGAAACGGCGCGAACAGGTAGAGCAACGCTCAATAGGTTCGGTGGTGTACCCGCCAGGCACCTCAGAAACGCAGCGAGCTTTCGATGACAGGGAAAACACTACACAATACAATGTATCTCACCGACATCTCCCGAATGTTTTAAACCATCATTCACTTGCACAAAACTTGCTTCGATTTATATTTTTTTATAACAGCATAATCATAACAATTTAATGTCGTATTGAATTAAAACCCGTCGATGATTTCGAATAAAGAAGGCGATTTATCTCCGCACTATTTCCACGTTTTGTTCTAGACACATACACAAACTTATTTCGCATCATTCAATTTCAAGAAAATTCTATTATTTTAAGCTGCATTCACGACCACCAGGAGCTCGAAATCTCTGCTTATAATTTTGATTTTTTTTTATCCGCAACTCTCCAATTATTTAGATCAAAATACTCATTTTAAGTTAAATTTATTCGACTACAGGCATATTTTTTATTTAATTAAATGTTAAAAAAAAATTAATTATTTGAAACGAAATAATTATTATTTTCAAGTATAAAGTAACCCGGAAAAGAATGTTATAGATGACGGAGCAATTACTATGAGATGCTGCTATGGCGAAGTTTTGAGAGCGAGTGATGTCTTGTGGGTAATTTTCGCAGTCCATTAAATACCAAAATTTTTCTATTGGCCAATATCCCCCGCGTAAAATTTTCTAGCACGAGATTGGCCAATTTTCGAATTTTTCGGTTACAGCCAAACTACGCTACAAAAAAAATCACTAGAGCCATCTAGTTATTTTTTATTCAAAACCTAGTTCCTGTAAAAATTATCATCTTCCTTCTTTCTCTTTACTCGAATGAAGTTTGAAGTAAAAGCCAGTGCCAGCCACTATAGTTAAATTCTTAGAATTGACTTGCTCGACTGTTTTTAGAACCCTATTCTTCTTTATCGTAGCAACGCTCGGATCTCTCAGTTTTTTTATTCTACACACGATATACGCTTGCTTGCAGTTTAGTTCTCTAACGAAAATTTAACTTCATTTCGGTTTGTTTTTTTTTGTATTATGGTTAAACTCAGTGATTTATTTATACATAAAAAAAAATATATAAAGAAATTGAATCTGTATGTTGATTTTTTTTTCTTATTAATTAATCTGGTGAAATTAATTAAAATTTTTTTTATAAAATAAATCTCAGTGAATTAAATTAAAAAAAAATCTATAAAAATTAAGCATTTGGTGAAAGAGTTTTAATTAATGACATTTAATTAACATAAGAGTAATAGTGAGATAATTTTGGTAAGTACAAGGAATATTGATTGATATATTTTTTTTTTATAAATTATTCTATTAAATAAATTTTTTTTGTAGTTGATATTCAAGCGAGCTGGAGTAAAACATCTATTACAATAATTATGGCGATTTCAATAGTCAATTACTAAAGCAGTAAAAACGTAAGTAACTAAATATTTATAATTTTTTTATTCCTATTCGAAAGCTATCAGCATGTAATCATAGTTCGATAAAATATGATTATTCTTGTTGTCAATTTTAAAATTTATCTTAAAAATAATGATGCTGAAATTAATAGAATCTAATTATTGCTTTTTATAAATAAATTAATGATTACTAAGAAAATATTGAGAAAAAATTTTGTCAATGATTTTCTAAAATTTCTATAACGGCTAAAAAAAATCCACAAACTTATCAACTAAAGATGTTAAAATAAAAACAGGTATATCAATTTAGAAAATTCTAAATTACTTAAAACTAAAAATAATTATTCAAAAATTTAATATGTATATATATTTATTTTATAAAATTCAGTTTATCTCTATAAAAAATACATTTACATGATAAAGTACACAATAATAGTAATAAAAATAAAATAGCCGATTACAGAGAATCATTCAGTACTATCATCTCGATCGATGAATGAAAAACACGTTAAAATATATAAAAAAAATATTTAATGAAATTGAGTTGACAGTCCACTATCGTAGTCTTCATTTCACATTTTATTTATTAAAACAAATCAATTATTTTTTTTTTTTAAATTTACTCTTTAATTAATTCTTTACAGACGGTATTTTTTGTTGTCTTCGTGTCTGTCGATCTGTTGGTTGTAAGGTTGTTGTTGTTTCAACTGTTGTTCATGTGCTGACTCTTCCTGTAAAACCAAAAAAAGAAAAAAAATTAGCAAATTACTACCAATAAGTATAGAATTAATGAATGAATCAACAGTAACCTGTTGCTTTCTGATCCCAGCGTAAATAAGATCCAGTCCTTTTTGGATTTCTTCGCTGACTGGTGGTGGTGTTGGAATATGGTCACCAACGGGGTGGAATCCAGTTTCATCAGCAGTGTAATGCACAGAAATTAATTGACCTTCAGGGCTTGTGTAAGAGTAGCTTCCCATTTGTACCAGTGATTCGATCTTGTCTTCACCCTCGCCTGAACTCTTGATGTATCCACTCTCTTCAGAGATTATATTGTTGCCAGTCTCATAGCTAAGTAAATTAGATAAGAAAGTACTAAGTTAATAGTGTGCTGTTTTAGATTATGTAATACACATCGATAGATAAAGTAAACGACCAGTAATACGTGTATCATCTATGTACCAAGATTGGGATCGTTAAAACTATAGTTCAAGGATCTTCTTTACTTTTAAATAACAAGTTAAGGGAGTGGTAATAAGAAGACGAAGAAAAAGCTAACACTCCCATTGACTTTTACCTTGCTCGGTATGTTCCATCATGTTCCTGCTCTTTATTCCACTGCAAGATTGGAATAAACGTTGTTGTGCTGAATTGCTGCCTGTCATTGTTTTGCGGTCTCTGTTGATCATCATCTTGGTATTGTTGTTGCTGGCGGCCCTGATATTGATTTTGGGCGAGTGCAGTACCAGCGATCACCAATAAAACCTAAATTAAAATCAAAAAATTTTCACATTAAATAATCATCAATAATTATTTTAATTTACAATATACTTCACTGGAATTTTTTATCAAAATAAATTTAAAGCAATAAAAATAAATGAAAGTTTAAAAGCTTTAAGAAGATTAAAAAAATGAAAGTTATCCTTGATTAACGTAACAACAATATCAAATGGATTTAAAAAATATAATTTATCGGTAATAAATATTCAAACTGATAATAATTGAAGATGAAGATGAATAAACAGCAATGATGGAGTTTGGGAAAGCCCAACTACCTGGTACACTACATTACAGCAGTATGAGATGAAATTATGTAACGCGATGCAATATAATGGAATGGGATATAAAGTCTATGGCATTATAAATGCTCTGCGATGACTCGCAACCTCCTACTATGACTTCCCGGTTTAGTTTGGGTAGTGCAGGGTATGGTATTAATCTCAGCAGGCCACACCGGAGATGAGTGAAAGTGAAAACTAAATGCCAACGTGGGTCATTTAACTCGTGACCTGCTAACCCATCAGCCCATAGCCATACATACATACATACATATATTTAAATGATCGTATTTGAAACCCATCCCCTTTTATTTGCTGAAATATTTATTAGCTCGAATGTTAAAATACCGAGACGTGTAGTAGAGTCTTTATCTAATTACAAGTGTTACGGTGTTGCCGCTAAAACCTCTAGATAAAGATCGAGATGGAGATAAATGAACGAGAGCTTTATTCAAATTTATATTCAATGTGATTTAATAATTAAATTGAGAAATGGATAAAGTTATCACGCGTAACCATCTCAGTTAATCACCAGCCAATCTTTTGCTGCTTTACATTCTATTGTTTTTTATTTCATTTTTTATATTTTTTTCGTCAAACATTTTTTATCTTCAAACATAAACTCTTACTTTCTTTTACTACTTTTATTATTGATTTATTCTTTAATTCATAAATTAAAAAGTTTATTCAAGCTATAAGCTTAATTATAATTGTATATAAACTATTAAGTTTATTACATCGATGATTTTTCTATGACATTATTAATATTTCAATTAAAATAATTATTTAATAACAAACCGGTATTAAGAATTAATTTTATTATCTGAAAGAAATTACTTTAACTAATGAATGAATCATAAAATTTTCTATTAATTATTTAAAAAAAATAAAATAAGATTTTTTATAGTCAAATTTATTTCAATTTGAAACTCTCAAGTTTTAAATGCAAGTAAAATAAAATTTATCAAATTAAATGAAGCCAAACTTACGAAGAATCTCATAATGTATCCTGAAAGCTCGAAACACAAAAATAAATACTAAAAATACCGTGAGTTGTCGTTAAATAAATAAATAAAACCGAGTATTGATACGGAAGATCGGTTTTGGATTAAAAAATAATCAGCGAACTGCGAAGAAGCAACACTGAACTGTGTTTTTGAACAGGAAAGAAATCACCTTTTATACTTACTCTCACTTTATCCCTTCTTCGGAAGATCCATGAATTATGAAGGTAAGTGTATGTGGATTATACACAGGTCGACGCCTATGTGTATGCTCTTCTCCCATCCCTACAAGACATAGGACACTTGCATTCTCATTGCAGGTATGAATAATTTTAGCTATATAAGCTATAATAAAAGAATAAACGCCTCTGTAATTTACAGCAGCATCACTTCCAACAGCAGCAGCAAGTCTTTAATCATTATTATATTTACTCCGACGCATACTTGCAATATTTAGCATCTCTACCTTAAAGCGCATCATGCGAATTCCTCGTCAATCAAATGTCTCGTTCAACGTCACTCATACTTTTTTATAATTTATAATATATAATTTCGATTACATTTATTTACATTGTCTCATCAGCATCAATTAAGTGTACGAGCTTTCAATTCTATCAACTGTCCGTATCTATCCTGTATTCTATTACAGATAATTAAAGGTCACTTTCTTTTACTTCTTTAAATAGCAATATTAATTAACTTTTACCGGTATATTATAAATATAAATTTAAATAATCCTAATGATGCTAATTAAACGTGTACACACAAATTATGAAATTTAATTCCAGACATAGAGATTAATCATTAAAAATTGTATATGACATAAGTACATAAATTTCTCTCAAGCTATTTATCTTTATTTGATTTTTTTTTCTCATATACTTTTTTACATTTATTTATTTATAAATAATATAATATATTGCGTAGTCATTACAGATTCATGTCGACGATTATTCTATTGATGTTTTAAACATATGTTAGGTAATTTATTTATCAACCATCTTATTTTCCGGCACAATTTCGTCTACTCAGCTATTCTTTCCATAATTTGTTTTTTATCAAATCTAATTTTATTACAAGTCATTAAAGATTTGACATTAAAAATTTTTAAATAAATAAGTACAGAATATGTTTATTACATAAATTTATTTCACACTTAATCGATTTATTTATACTTATAATAAAATTGCTCAATAAAAGTACAATAAAATAATTTCTTAATCTTTAAATTTTTGAGAAAAAAAAATTATTATTCAATTCATCATTTTTATTTATAAAAATATTTAAATTAATTTTTATAGACAATCTTTTGTTATTAATCAGTTTATTTAACAATTCTTCTTTAAATTTCATTTAAATTTATCGAAAAAATTAAAATTCAAACGAAATAAATTTATTAAAATAATTAAAAGTAAATTTATTACCACAATAATTTGAAAAAGATTTATTTTTTGTCACGTACAAGTGTTAAGTATTAACAGAAAATAAATTATGGAAATAACGTGAAGAAATTTCGATAGAATTAATTAACTCAGTAACGGTGATGATACAAGAATAATCTGAAGCCCCATTAAATGGTCTCATAATCGAGTACCATATATATAAATCATATCCACCTTTCCACAAAGGTTCAGTACACTTGGTCACACCGTAATAGTCGTCGTCGGCTTGCTCGTAATATATGTAATGATATTTCGTAAGAGTAAAGACGATGTGATGTTGAAGATACTTGCACCAGGAGAATTGAGCTAAGTGCGAGGAAGCGACCGTTACTTTCACATGGCCTTCGTAAATGTGGATCCATGGAATTCAGAAGCTGACATAAATGACTGATCTTCGGAATCTTTGATATTCACCCAGGGCGACTGATTGTACTTCCATAGTATTTATATTTATATTTTTTTCTGCACCAATCCTCCGATAATAATATATAGTTTAGCAACTTAAAGTCTGCCGCCTCATCGCAATTCGATTTGCTCAAAGACTCATTCTTTTTGCATTATTTTTTTTTCACCCTTTGTTACGAAATGCTTTTAAGACCGTTAAATATCCAATGTTCGCCTTGCTTTCTCTCAAAATCGCTTATTTTATTTATTTATTTATTTTTTTTTTTCAATTCATTAAAATTTTATTTGTCATAAAAAATGTCAATTATTTAAATATAAAATATTAAGTGCTAATAAACAACACTAAATATTTGAAAAATAAATTTCATTGCCTTCACGACGAACATTCTGAAACAAAAGTTTTTTAATAATAATTATAATTATATATCTTACAATTCCTTTTTTTTTTTTTATCTTTCAAGCAAAAATTATTTACCTGCTATACAATAACTTTGTGGATATGCATTACACGTATCTGTAATTATTTAAACAATCAGATAATTTGAAAAATAAAAGCCGATCAGGCGTTCACGAATAAGTTTTTTAAATTTTACCTTGACCCATGTCTGACAGCAATTGAGGACAGGGTTGGTCACACGGCAATGCCTCCAAAGTACCCGGAGGAATGTAACTGAAAGTTCAATTCATTTTTAAGACATCATTTTTCCAGCAAAAAAAATAAATAAAAAAGAATTATTGAACAATTTATCACTTTATTACAATATGAATAACTTTGAATGATAATAATAAATCTAATAATTGTTATTATAGTAAAAAAGCACCTTTGGTTGTAAATGGTATTGTCTTCCATAAGCGTGAGCGGTGGGTGATACTCAATCCTCTGAGCCCACGGTTTTTCGCGCGGTAAGCAATCCACGGGCTGATAACTCAGTCGCATAGTTGTGGCTTCTTCGAACGGAACATCAGGCGGCCGGTACCTATTGTCTGTGGGGGGCTTGAATGATTTGCTTTTTATCAACCCTTGAAGATCATTGGGATAGTATGATAATTTATGCGTGGTGCAAGCTAGACGAAACTTGATTCATTAATTTTTTTTCAATAATAAATTTAAAACAATTTATATTTAATTTTAAATACATTCAAGAGGTAGAGACGAAAAGCCGAGATTATCCTCTGGTTTTGAACCTGTTGGTCCAGGTTCACTGCACTTCCATGAAAAATCTTTCTTTTGTGTCGTTAATTTTTGCATTGGTCCACTTTCTAACCAATCTTCTATAGAAGAGCTCGGTAGTATTGGTTCTTCTGGTTTCACTCCGTAATTTCCCAAATAACTCAGCTGAAATCATTATAAATTAATAATTATATTTAATTAAATCAATTATATTAAAATATAAAAGACATTTGAAACCTTTATTGCATAAATAATTTCTAAAAAATTATTTTTCAGCTTTATATAACAATTTAAAAATAAAATCACCTTATGAATAGTATCATCATTCAATGGACCTTTAGAAAATTCGCTAGGTCTCGCGACAGGTCTAATTGGCTTCCTCTGAACGTTATCTCCACAAGCGAAATAACTGAGCTTATAAGTAGTTTTTTCATCAAAACCTTCTCCAGTGTTCAATAAATTTTTCGTCTGTTTGGCAGAATGACTGAACGGTTTTCTGACGCGTTGATTATTCGGCCAATAGCTTAAGTTATAAACCGTGGTGTCATCAAGCGGTGTTGATGGCACTTGATACGGTACTTTTTGATTCCACGGATAGATTTCCTAACAAAATAGAATTCGATGTTCATTAAAAAAGAACGTACAGGCTAACTATCGGCAGAAGACGAGTAGAGTATTGAGCGTAAATAAATACCTTGGACGGTGTTTCGTAAGGCCAATAACTGAGCTTGTAAGTAGTTTTTTCATCCATCGGAACGTTACTCTTGGTATATATTTTCTTTGGTTTGAAAGATTCTGGTACTGGAATGCGACAGCCTGATTCGTAATAGCTTAACTTGTAGGTTGTTTTATCTTTAGATATAAATTAAAATAATCTATTTTAGTACTTTATTTAAAAAAAAAAACAAATTAGAAGAATATTAGTCAATGTTTATTTTTTTTTTTTTAGAATTTTTAATTATATTTATTTTTATTACTTATTTCAATTACCATCTATAGAGGCACAAGGACAGCGTAAGTTGGTTGACGCTTTGAAAGGTTTAGATCGTGCAATACACTTCCATGTATAAGCATCTTTGCTTGTTGTATTATCTTGGATTGGTCCTCTGCCTAGCCATTGTTGAACTGCTCTCCACGGCCCTGATTCATTCGGAATTTCTCGTTTCACAGACCAATTACCTAAATAACTTAGCTTGATAAAAAAAATTATTTGTTAATTTATTAATTAATTAATTGCTTGATGAGCTAAATTTTTAATGTTACTTTATGAATTGTTTCGTCATTTAATTTTCCATCACCAACTGTTAGAGAATCTTCTGGAAGTACCGGCTTAACTGAATTTCTACTTGGTGTTGGTCCGTCTAAAAAGGACAATTTATAGGTTGTATCAGCTTCAAACGGTATTTCATTGCACCAATAATACTGTTGATGAAAAATTAATATTACTATTGTTTAAATTAAAATATAATTATTTTTATTAATTTTTTGACTTACTCGGACGGGTTTGAATGATTTTGGAACGGAAGGTTGAACATATTTCTGGAATAATTAAATATTTTAGGACAAATTTATAAAAGTAATAATTAGAAAATTTATTTATAATTTACGAGGTACGCTGGCTGAGGATTAGAGCAACAGCAACAATTACATGTATCTTCATGACCTAACTGTCGATAAAAAATCAGAAATTAATTAAATTCATGTGTTTATATATAAAAAAAAATTATTGAGAAATATTTAGTTAAAACATACGCAAATAGTATTTCTTATCGTGATTATTGAATGGGGAATTTCCGATCGCGTTACCCTGAAAATTAAATAAAATAATTTCAGTAAATAAATATAAATACTTGACTTAAATTTTACTTACGGCGCTGGACAAATTTCCATATTGAAAATAATTGTTAAAAAAAAAAAAATTATAAAATTTAGGTGTTAAAAAATAATTGACAATCACTTGAAGTTTTCGTTTTAATAAAAGTTATAAATTTATATATATAAAACAAAACTATTCAGGATGTAAAATAATTACAAAACATTCTCATGTAAAAAATAGTTTATTATCGTATTTATACATATTATTATTAAATAAATCTTTTATCAACGTGTACCTTTAAAAAGTTACCAACATATAAGCACACAATTAATTTTTTACCGGAATAAATCCTGATTTAAAAAAATTTTAAATTGTACAAGTGCAACTATAATCAAAAATATATTTACTTTTTTCAACAATATTATAAATTTACCATCACAATGTCAAGTTTATATAAAATTATTACTTAATAAATATAAATTTAAATAATCACATTACGTATACTATTTTTGAAACTACATGTATGAGAGCATCAAGTGAATTTCAATATTAAAAATCTTTTCACAGCGATATTAATTATTCATCTTAATCATTCATCCGTCTCAATCTTTGAAATAAAGTATTAATAATATTTATAACTAGATTAAAATCTTAAGTAAGCGTAAGCCCAAATCGTTGGGCAATTTGTGGTGAATGAGTGGTAGCAACAGCGAGTAAAAGTGGTAAATCGGCAGCATCAAGGTCTAGAGTGTTCGTTAAATTTGACAAGCTCATATCGCAAACATCTCCAGTCATTAGTATCTTAGCCAGTACTTCGCTTCTCAGCCATATTTCTCGCATTTTATTTTCCAGTAGATTCAAACACTGAAATAAATAACAAAATTAATAAATATAATTAATTATTCAATCAACTAATTAAAAAAAAGTTTCAATACTCACATGCCCAGGTGACCGATATTTAGTCCACAAATAAACGAAAGCCTCGAGCATGTTTGAAACCAACGCAGACATGCCAATCGGTAGTAAAGGACTTTTAATCGGCGAATTATTGGATATAAGTCCAACTTGCCAATTATCAACATCAGCAAGTATACAAAGTGACTCGGAAATGGTGTGATCAACCATTGAAAATTGTGTATTAATACTCATTTCTTCTCTCAACTCATCAACCAACCGTTCTACCGCTTCGTCTTTTTCATCATCAATTTTTCGCTCTTTACAATCATTCTTATCCTTGTTTTTAATTAATCCTTGTATGACTAGACCTGACGTATACCCTGAATCTAATTTACAATTATTCATAACTTTAGTAACCGTTCTACGTAAAAGTGTGTCTGTAAACCCGGTTACTTGTTCAAAAATATATTTATTATTTGATTTATTAGCATTAATGACTTTAGATCTTGGCATTGGCAGTTCAATTACATTATTGGCTTCTAATAATTCATCAAGTGAATCAATTCCTCTTGGACGGACGGTAACTTTTTCTTTGCTTCCACCGGCATTGCTACTGCTATTACTACTGCTACTCCCGGCACGTGTACTAACAGAATTACCGCAAGTTCTCAGTACTTCAGTAGCATTTGTCGGCGTTTCTAACAAGAGCTTACCGCTTTCGTAACTGGTACTTCCGCTACCGTTGCATTTTGGACAGGAGCCAAGAAGATTCGTACGATCTTTCTGCCCGAACGATGTACCTGGTTGCCTTTGCTGAATACTTTTCGATGATTCTGGAAAATTTCTTTGCAAAATTTTACGCAACACACCTTCTGGTAGCTGAGCTGATGTACTTGGGACCCGATTAAATGCAAGAGAACATTGACAATTATTGTTATTGTTAATATTAATATTATTATTATTATTAGTACTATTTAAATTATTATCTGTAGAAGGAATATTATCACCAAGTGTTTTATCTTCTCCACCAAGTGTAAAAAATACTTGGTTTTGTTTATTGTCATCTTGTTGCTGCTGAGTATATTCAACTTGAGAGTAGTAAACTTCTGTTGTTGCATTAGACGCACAACTCTCTTGAATATTATCGTGTAAGAATGAAAATTTTTGTGCCAATGTCGGGGATTCGGAATCACTCCAGTCATTTTTCTGCTCAAAATCATCAGCTCTTAATAATAATCCATTTGGAAAATTTTTATCTTTATCTAGAGTACTGGTTTGCGATGCTATTTCGCTGACTATTATTTTTACCGAACTTGAAGTTTCTTCTTTGTCGGAATCATTTGAACACATTGTTGAGTAATCAGTAACTAAATCGTCTTGACAGGATTCAAGCTTTAACGGCAAATTGGCTGTTTCGGGCTTTAAATAATTAAGATTTTTGTGCAAACTAACGGTTTTACGTAATTTTGGAATGTTCAAATCAACACGTGTCTTGTTAATACTTTTAGCTTCTGCATTAGTTGTAAATGGGTTGCTTTTACCGTCATTAGATCTTGATTTAAATGAATGTTTTTTACTGCTTTTGGTAATTGATTTTCGTTGGAAAATTTCAATAGCTTTTTGTACTTCTTCCTCAGGTGAATAGCGCACCTCATAATTTTTTTCAACAATTGCACTTCGTAAAAAGTATGACAAAAATGTCAGAATTGCATTTATAAGTGTTTCTTTTTCTGGATCACCAATAATTACTGTATTGACAAATTTAACTGGATTACCTAGTGTTCCATATAAATCACCCAATTGAGCCCACAGTGGATTATATGGATATTTTAATTTTATGTTTTCTATCTGAAATTATAAAAATTTTATTCAGTTAAATTTAAGTAATTTAATAAATTAATTTTTAAATTAAGTAAAATTAAAAAAAGAAAATATTTCTCTTTTTTTAATCATTGTATAAATTGTACAAGGCGAAAAAAATTCCACGCAGTTTGATACTTTCTCCTTACAACTATAAATTAAAAAAAAAAAAGTGATTACCAGTGTATTATCATGTGATGACATTATGGTATTGACCCAGCCAAGATGATAAGTTAAAACAGCTGTTACAAGTGTACTGAGAAAGCTAAAAACATAAAATAACTCATACAATATTAATGAAGATCGTAAATGACAATCTAATTCTGATGAATAAACCTTACAAGTTGGTTGATTTAGTGTCAATCTTATTTAATAACAGAGACATTTGATGAAAACTACGGGACAACATATTAACTCGTATTTCCATACAAACAGAGGAGTTAAGCAATACTTGATGCCATATAGATGGTATTCCAATGTTCTCTGTGGTCATAAGCAACCGCAGTAACCAGAGAGTGCACCGTAATGCGGTCTGGTGAAGTCTCACAGTCGATTCTTTGCGATCAAAATTTATTTTTCTCCTGGTAGGCTGGATGCAGGCGTAACACAATCGGTTCAACATCGCCTCAAGCTGAGCCGCGTGCTCCAGAAGTCTCACTTCCATCAACCTATGCCCAAAAATTTTAATATATTATTAAATAACTGCGCAAAACAAAACTATTTATCATTTAAAAATACATACCGCTCTTGGCCAAGTGTTAGTTTAATCAAAATAGCCAATCCGAGTCTTGTTTTATGTCTTCGTATATTAAAATCACCGGATGTATCGCCACACGGTTGAAATCCAAATATTTCATCTGACTCAGTGATACTTAGTGACGTTGACATGGCTCGTAGCCATCGTCTACGTAGGCTTGATAAACTACCAAATCCTGACGACGAATTGCTATCTATTGATTGCGAACCTATTTTTTAAAATTAAAAAAAAAAATTTTTTTTTTTTCTAGTTGATATATTTATTTAAATAAACAACTTACTCCCCAATAAAGGAACATCTATGTCCCATCCACTACAAGTACTTGAACAAGTTGAACTTTTTCTTAAGCTACCCGTTGATAAATTACCCGAACTAGGTGATGAAACTGAAAAATTATTATTATATTAAATTGAATGAATTTAAAAAAAAAAATTTTTTTTTTTTCTAGTTGATATATTTATTTAAATAAACAACTTACTCCCCAATAAAGGAACATCTATGTCCCATCCACTACAAGTACTTGAACAAGTTGAACTTTTTCTTAAGCTACCCGTTGATAAATTACCCGAACTAGGTGATGAAACTGAAAAATTATTATTATATTAAATTGAATGAATAATTATAAACTAGCAACCTTGCAGTCACTATGTGACTGCCGTGACTTGTGAACTATAAATAAATAAAATTTTGCTTCATTAAATAATGACTTTTGTTAAATTGCACTGTACTTTTTTAACTCTTGACATTTTTCAAGATATAAGCTCATCCCGATGTTATACTCATCAAGGGCTTTCATTTGAGTACCCACATGCATTTTGATATATTTTTCATATATACATATATATAATATATATAAATATATGAAAAAATGATGTGGGTACTTAAATGAAAGGTCTTGATGAGTATAACATCAAGGTGAGCTTATATCTTTAAAAATGTCAATAGTTCACAAAATACAAGGTCATTTCTTAATTATGTTGAATTGCACTGTACTTTCTTAATTACTGACATTTTTAAAGATATAAGCTTACCCCGATGTTGCACTCATCAAGAGCTTTCATGTGAGTACCCACATGCATTTTGATATATTTTTCATATATACATATATATATAATATATATAAATATATGAAAAATTGATGTGGGTACTCAAATGAAAGCTCTTGATGAGTGTAATGTCAGGGTGAGCTTATATCTTTAAAAATATCAATAGTTCCCAAGATACAGGGTCATTTCTTAATTATGTATCTAGAGATAGAGTACTTTCAAATTCAGCCTAAAGACTTATCATTATAAATTGACTATCGGTTAGAATGATATGAAACTATGAAACTATTTTATCGTATAAATACATTGGCCCCATAATTTTGCTTATTCTCTTAATAATATAGATAGTTTAATAAAAATACTTACGAGTATTACGAATACTTCCATTGCTAGAATTAGAATCATGACTACCCAGCGCTTCATCTGACAATCTTTCACTGTAAAGTGAATATAAAATAATAATAAAATAAAAAATAAATAAAGTAATTAAAATATAAAAAATTACATTTGTTTATGAGGATAATGGTCAGAAGCAGGAAAAACTTTACAGCACATAATACATTTAGTATTATCAAAAGTGTGAACTTTGAACAAAGGTCCTCTGTATGTCATCGCTACTGTGCCAAATATCATTTCGCTCAATAGACTCACGTTATCACAAGAATCCTTTTCATTCTAAATAAAGCAAAATTATTTCAATAATAATTAAAATTTTTAAGTAAAAAAAAAAGGGTTATTACCTCCTGCGGTAATCCATTTCCGTTTCTTGGACATGAATTGTCATCATGTGATTTGGTATTTCCATTTATTTTATTAGATACTGAGTCAAACAATAATCTTCTTCCTCGCCACTCGCACTCACGGAATAATAATATTCTTATTTGATCAGGCCTAAATTTTAGTTTGTTTTTACTGAAATAAAAAATAAATTTTAGTTAATTTTTTTCCAAGGTGTAGTTTGGTTAAAAAATAACCCATTAAATTATTTGACATTGATTTTTTTTTCAGTAGCATAAGTAAAAGTTTATGCGAAAAAATAATTCAAAAATGAAGACAAGTAGTGACATAAATCATTGAATGTAAAACATATGAATGAGACCGAGAGATAACAAAGTCCTCGGAGTAATAAAAATAAATAACTAAATACTTACACTAGTGTGTAGATGTGTATTGTAAAGCTAAATATAACAATACAAATTGTACAAACTAATGGATAAATAATAAGATAAATTAAGTAGACTGAACGACAAAAGCTGTGTTAAAAAAAAGTGACAGCATAGATCTGTGTGTATGAGTTTGTATATGTGTATTTATAATTCTTACCAATCACGAGGAGGAAATTCGATCTTGAACGGCAGTAAATCATCAAAATTTTTGCAATTATTTTTTTTCCCGACCAATAATTTATCGAATAAAGGCATTATAAATTTACAATAAATATTATTTAGTGATTACGATTCCGCATCTCGTGATTGAAGATAGATTTACGGTCTACCACCGCGGCAGGAAACTGTCCCATACATATTCACAATTTATAAAGTATATAAACTGTAAATAAAGTCACGTGCATTACAGTCATATGATTCCCACGAGATAATTACCACCACTTTCAGATAATATTATTCTGCTGAATCTATCCTATATACTACACTCTCTTTTTAGCAATACCTCCATTAATAACTGCTAGATAAATATTTATCTCGCTGAAACTGACGTCATTAGGTAAAAATCAAAGTATGATATTATTCACGTGATTTAATCTCTCTCTTGAGTAAATGATCTGGGTCACTTGATTTTGTCATAGACATATATTGGTTCGTGTATTTACAGGTCGAAGTACATGTATTAATAAAATTTTTGACTCTCCGTTGTTGTTATTTCGTACTTATCAATAATAAACGTATAACTGTTAAAATTCTGAGGTAGCAATGGACACTTGAAAAAAACTTTGGTGAATACAGTAGATTTCATTTGTACCAAGTGCTGATAAAATATTTAAAAATTTATTCTTTTTTTTTTGTTTATAAAATTATTTTATTGTTAACTTTTTTTTTTTTTAGTATTAATTATAAATAATTTCGTTAAATTTGATTAAAAATTCATGAGTGTATATAATAATGCTGCAACTTTTAATGACAATTAGAATTTAATATTTTAGAGGAAATATTCTACATAAAAATGAATATAAAATTATTTTGCAAGAGAATACAAATTTTAAGATTAATAAAAATTACCATTTTGAAACACATTATAAATTTTTTATTTAAAAAAAAATAAAAATAAGAATCTTTTTTTTTAATATTTTTTAGAGAAAAAAAGATTTTGTAAATTTAATTCAATTTAAATTCCGACTAATTAAAATATTATCATCAAAACTTTTATGTAATCGAGGAGCCGACAAAGATTGATTAAAGTATTTACTGTGATCAATATTTAAATTTTCTTGAGTGGTTTTGTCAAGTGCTTTTTCAATGTAATATTTACTTGTAATCGGCAAATAAACTGGAAACTCGATTTTAAAATTTATTACAAGGTCACCGCGTTCTTTTTCATCCTTTACAAGAGGTAGTCCTTCGTTGGGTATGCATTTCCGATAGTCTGGCCTGTAAAAAGTAAAAATTTTCCGGGGTTTTATGACCCTCGTAAATTATGAAAGCGAGTCAAATAGATCAAAGATTTCCGTTCTTTTATTTCAGTGCGCTTTAATGGCAAATAAAAATTTCAGCAATATAATTTATTGAACGAAAAAGAAATTTTTTTACGTACGTGACTATTGAAGTTATCGGCACACGAATAATTCTGTCGTCTAGAGTATTTACAGTAATAACTGTACCAACGAGTGCATCTTTTAAAGAAACTGAAGCCGTCATTAGCAAATTATCACCTTCCCTACGAAATATCTCATGCGGACTATCTTCAGTGACAAATATTATGTCCGCTGTAATAATATATAGCATATATACCACCGTTGAATTTTTTTATGAAAGAATTTTTAATAAAATAAATAAACCGATTTATTTACCAGGTATCCTATCTAGACTTTGATCACCTTCTTCACTAAAGACAATTTCCGTTCCTGTCGCAAGACCTGGTTTTATGGATATAGAAAGAATTTTTTCTTCTAAAACCGTATTCATTTCTTCTCTATTGACAATTACTCGTTTTTTTATTTTTATTTCTTTTAAAGTACCAAAAAATATCTGAAAAATTATAAATATTTCAAAATAAAAATGAAATAAGCAAACATCTGAAAATTTTTATAATTTTTCTTAATAATAAAATTATTACAAAAAAATAAAAATAAAAATTTCACATCTCTAATCTATAATTTAATGAATGAAAAACAAAAATAAAAAAATGATCAAATGTCTGCGGATTTAATTATCATAACAAATAAACACAATAATTACCTCTTTCAATGTCAACGCTAAAGATTTTTTAATCGGGTCATCTTTGGGTTTATCGGCTGTCCATTTTTTATAAATAATTTCCATTGTCTGGGGGTCATTGAGAATATTAACCAGATCACCGTAAGGATTTAGCGTTCCAAAAAAATCTCTGGAATATTTGCAAGTCAATTACCACCTTTCGCATGTCATTGAGTGTTAAGTATTGTAGCAATAAAAGGAGTAAATACGTCGTTACACCGCATAAAAATAGCTTAAGGGGCAAATACCAACAGCTTTTTATAGAGTTACAATAAAGAAGTAAGTTTTGTCGTAAAAGCTAAGCCGGGTTAAAGCTTTGTACCTTAAAGTACGTTGTGGTTCTCCGTGGAATACGTAGGGTGGTATATGACCATTTGGTCCTGAGATTCCTCTTTTCAGGCCCGTCTCACCGTACTGGTCATAGATAGCTCGCTTGAGTGGATCTGAAAGGACTTCGTACGCCTCAGCTACCAGAGCTAAAACTTCTTTAATATTCTCATTCCTCTTACTCTTTCTCCCGGGATTCTGATGACGTATTGCCAGACGTCTGAAGCTAAAAGATAATGTTTTGTTACAGAATACTTATTCTTGTTTTTTATTACTTATTTCTTTTTTTCTTTTAATTATTTCTACTACCAAAAAAAAATTTATTAAAAAAGTTTTATTCAATTGTCTTTAATCCTCCAATAGTAAAAAAAAAAAAATATTTATATTTACGCTTTTTTAATGTCAAAATCATTGCAATCTCTGTTCAACTCTAATACCCCATAATAATCCGTATCGAATTTATGTTTATAATGGTTTAAGTTACTTCGATGCATTGTGTCGTCAAAAATAATATTTTATCAATAGATATTCATTATTATTTTATTACAGAGCGATAAAACTTAAACATAAAATAAAAAGTTTTATTTTATTTTATTATAAAAAAAAAAAAGAAATGGCTGTCGTAAAAAAGACAAAAATAGAATTGAACACAGCAGCATGATAACTACCGACAATCGGCAGTCCTTTGTCGAGAACAATCGGAAGTGTAGCACACAAGAGTGAGACGCAAAGAGATGGACCGAGGGAGACCAAGCTATCCCTGAAAGCTTTTTTTTTTGTTACTATTGAAAAACAAAAGAGACATTCGACATTAACCACGGAACGGTTGACAATCGAGATCATATATATATATATATATATATATATATATATATATTGATTTTAACAGAGATTGTTCATTATTTTATTTAATTATAACAACTGAGGATTATTATTTGCAACCATAGTTACGTTTATCGTCAGACCAAGTTCGTTTAATATTAGTAACACTAATTTTCATTTTTATTGAGTTTTATAATTGACAGTTGTGATTATTATAATATATTATAAGCCCATTGTCTCTGTAAGAAGCAATTTAACCTAAAATTCAGCCGCAATAATGAGTAATTATCAGTTTGTTGTATTCTCAGGCAAAAGTAAGTATTTTATATTTAATTATTTAATTTTTTTTTTTATTACTATTGTTATTGACGAAATAATTTGTTCAGATAAAAATAAGTCAACAATAAAAGAAGACGTAGAATCGGAAACAGAAGAACTGTCAATAAACCAGCGTGAAGTTGATTCCTCGTCATCGTCGTCGCTGTCAAGAGCCTCATCTTCTAGTTCGTCTACGTCTTCAAGGAAACAACTGATAGTCTTAACGACGGCATCAGACGGCATTAGCAATAGCGCAACAATTGAAAGTGACTCAAAAAAGCGAAGAATTAATAACACTGATAAGCAGTCGTCATCTTCACGGAAACGTGACTCATCTGTGTCTGTATCTGGAAAGATTTTAAAAGTTGATATTGGCCAGAAGCAAGTGTCCGTCGACGCAGGCGCTTCCCAGCTTGGCGGGAAGTACTCCAACAGCAATGCACTGGGTAAAGCTAAAATTCCTCGTCCAGCAAATGCATTTATGCTGTTCGCAAATGAGTGGCGCAGAAAACTTGCTAATGAAAATCCGAGGGAATCCAATAAAGATATCAGCGTCAGGCTAGTCCTTTACTTACATTACTCCTTTCCTTAGCCATTATTACTAATTATTCTTTTATTTACGTCTTTTACTACTTAAAATCCTCTCCTTTGAGTCCTATGAGTCCTCTGTTACCCTTGATCCTTTGTATTCACTATCCAGGTTGGGAGTCCTGTGGAAAAATATGGAAAAAGATGCCAAAGAAAAGTACTTTTCCCTCGCGCGACAGGTCGACGCTGAGCACAAAAGAAAATATCCTGGTAAGAGTTTTTTTTTTTTTATCATTAATGGTTCATTTTAAAATGGCTTGATAGATGAGAGGAGATAAAAAATGAAAAAAGTGGGTTGGGAAACTCCAGAGAGGTAAAAAGTTAAATATTTGGTAAAATAAATAAAAAGCTTTTACGGTTATTGAAGGGCTTCTGTGCTTAAAGCGACGTGTAGAAAAAGAGAAACAGAATGAGCATGGGCATCAACGGAGGTGTATCAGAGGACAATTGGGTCGTTCGACAAGCCGGAGCCGTGCCTAGATTCTGAGTCATGCGTTATCTGTACCACTAATATATATCTATGTACATAAATATATATTTTAAAAGGTGCGCGCGGCGAAAAAATCGATAGGAACATCAAGAGGAATTAAACGCAGTTGCTCTTTCAAAATGATCAATGAAAACTACAATTGCATAAAACTACACATATATTTGAGCCTTGGTTATGATGGATACTGGATACTGAATACTAGATAAGCAATATCGGTTTACCGTAAAAACGCTTGGACATGTTCCAAACCATACCACGGATGTATCCAGCGGGTGTAAAGAGATAAAAGATCGAGATTAGGCTGAAAGTTTTGATCAAAACAACGTGCTCTGTCTCTATACTACCCATTGTTTTCGTCTCTGCGTTTGAAATTTGAGGTAGTCTGGAAGTTTTTTTTTTTTTAACCAATTTTATCTTATGAAAAAAAAAAAAAACAACTAGATACTTTAAAAAACCAACTAATTAAGAAGTTTAAAATAAAAAAAAAATCTATCTACTTTTTTTAAATTTGACATATTAACTTGATAAATATCTAATTATTATCTAATTATTAGATTAATTTTGGTATCTAATTATTAGTCTTAACTTTGTATATCATAATTCAGGTCCATAGAATCTCTATTGCTACTGTATAATTCGTTGAAAATTCCTCGCAGATTACCGATCAAGACATAGATGAGATATGAGAACAAGACGCATTATACTTAACGTACCAATGAAAGAAGAGACAAGGACAGTGATTCAGTAAAACAGCAAAAGAGGGTTTATCGACACACTACCGGGACTTTGGGGTCATCGAGCTGTTTGCCAACTCGCGCCAAAAGCTTTAGAAGCCCTTTACCCTTTGCCCGTTTTAGCGACACCCACACTTACACTATACATTCTATATTCGTCAGCGTGGATGTTGGTGTTAGTGTGAGTCAATAAGTTAAAGGGAAGATCGATTTATCCAACTCTAAACCGCGATGACGTGCTTTTAATAGTCCTGTCTGTGTCGTAACTCTGCTCCACCGTCGAGCAATGTCACGGTCTTATTCCTTGTCCTCGCAGCTTCTACTCCAAAACTCATCAAATTCTCATTTCATTTAATTTTATCTGAAATACTTATCACGTAAATCAATTTCTCCGAGATAAAAATACGTTCTAGTTTGATGGAAGAAATATATAATACATATATTTATATAATATATATAAATATATAATATATAATATATAATACCCCGCTGCGGAAATAAATAATAAGTTTTATTTTATTACTTATACTGAGGTATAAATAACAAAAAAATAATAATGAGAAAGAACCGGGTGGTAACTAGTAGAGTAGTAATCAATCAATCTAATAAAGTGATTAACATCCAATATATTAACGAACAACTTACTAAAGTATCTCTACAAGGGATAAAAGGATCGACGACTGACTGTCGTACGTTTCTTCCTCTTTTACTTTCTTATGTCTTATCTGCACATTCTGCGGTGGCGGGTAAGTATGGTATGGTATAAGAATAGACGAGATCGAACACCGAGGGATGGAATGGGATGAAAGTGTAGTATACGTGTCGCGGCTCCATCCAGTGTACCTTGGAGTTGAAAGATGCGGGGGCGTAAAGGAGGCTAAAGAACCAGTACACCAACACACCCGCATAAGCAAGCTCAACACCGATAGAACAGAAGTTTAGTCACACAACAGCAACGCATAGTACACCAGCACAATCAAGGGTGCAAAGAACCTAAGTGGTGACGAAGAGTGAGTCGCGTATATAACAGTAAGGTTTTTCGAGGGTCGTACAAAAAATACCAAAGAGTAGCATGGAGCAGACCGTGGAGGATGCACAAGGAAAACGCCGAGGAGCAGAGTGAAAATTAAAGAGCAGGGGCCGTTCTCGAGGAGATTGGCGGCTTGCTGGCAAGCACAGGATGGCAAGAAAATGTAAAAAATAAAAAATAAAAAAGCTGGGGGAAATATTCCCTCTCGGTGAGCTAGAGGTTGTCGGGTGAGTGACGGGGGTCGGGGACCAGAGGTATTGATTGCGACGCGACTACGGTCATGCTACTTCTCTCTTCTCACTCGGTCGATCTCCTGCTCGCTTCTCTGACCGACAACTGCCGACTACAGGGTCGCATATATAACAGGGCCAGGCGCTCGATGTGGGTGGTTATAGTTACTCCAGGTGGAGGTGGAGGGTACTGTATGGCGGGCATGATAAAGCGCGAGCGCGAGCGCGGTGCTGTGATAACACGTTGCTTTCCACTAAGCTTATATTTATATATATATATATATATATATATATATATATATATATTTAATATCTTCAGGTGTTATGGTACTTTCTCGATAGATTTTTATTTTTATCCTCTGAAAATTTTGAAAATTCAATCTATCATTTTGATGTTTATTGGGTAAAAAAAAGCTCAATCATAGAATCTTTAAGTTTTTTAAATTACACTTTATAGCAAAATATTTATATTAAAAAATTACACCGAATTTTTTTTTTTAATCTGAAAGGTATGCATGTTTGGACAATACCATCAGCAGATCTTCACAGAAAGAAAGGTTCACTTGAGCCAAGAAAATATTTTTCTTCCTAATTATTTTCTTGAGCGAAATAAAAATTTTTTTTTGACACAAGAAATTTCACTTATTCCAACAAAATTAATTCTCTTGTGTTAAGAAATACGTATCTTAATCCAAGAAAATTTATTTAAGTCAAGAAAATTTTCTTGTTTTGAGAAAATTTTTCTCTTGCTCCAAAAAATTAAATATCTCGATAGTAGTAAATTTTCATTAATATTTTTATTGATTAACATGTCAAATGGCAAGATCAAATAATATTTCATCATTTTTTTTCATTCAATATGTATAATTGCACGCTAAAATAATATAAAAAAAGTATCAAATATTCAAGAGAAAAATTTTCTCAAGGTGAGAAAATTTTTTTCTCAGCTGAAGTAAGTTGCGCTGCTTCCCTAAAGTTTCTAAAAATCTTGATCAAATATAAAAATTTATTGTATCAAGTATTTATGATAATTTGAATTAAGAAAAAATTACTTCCATCAAGAATAGAATTTCAAGAAAAATTTTTACTTCGGCCAACACAACTTTGGTTTTCCTTCAGGCACCTGAAAATTTTCTTGAGCCAAGAATTTTTTTCTCCAGTCAAGAAACTTTTCTTTCTGTGTTGACCACTTTTTGATTTTATTTATAAAATAAATTACACAGAAAAAAAAAAACTTATTGCACCAAATTTTAAGGAATACAAAAGCTATTTTGGCTCAAGAAATTCTCAATATTCCTTAATATTTTCTTGAGCCAAAAAAATTTACCCTCCAGTCAAGAATTTTTTTTTTTCAGTGTATATTTATAATATTTTTAAATTTCTGCAAGTTATATTTATTTATGTGTTAATAAGAATAATCAGACGTCTCCTAATTGCAGTAAAGTTTAAAATAACAATGAAAAATCTGTTTTTACTGCTCCTAAAACTGTAATTTGTTTGTAAACATTCCATAACATGGACCATATAATTTTAACGATGATACTCCTATTTGTTGGCATGTGCAACTGTGTGTACCCATAGACGAAAAAAAAATATGTAGATCACACTTTGTACCAATGATGCGTCCAGGCGGCAAGTGAGAGAGTGTCTGGGTCTGGTTCTGGTATTTGGTATGGTGTAACTGCGACCGGGTAGTAGCAGTATGCCCCAGCACTCTCTATATGGTGCTGAACTCATACTATTTATATAATACATAACAGTATAATACTAGTACTCGTGATAGTGTTGTCGATCGACCGAGAAAGAGGTGTATACAATAAAATAATGGATGTTGAAGCTAAACAAGTACAGAGGATAGGACCAGTAGAGACACAGATACAGAGAAGTGAATACTATAAGCGATACGAGACACGAGGAGAGCGAGCGAGAGGAGAGAGAATCCGGCCTGACGCGTCACCGTCAGTAGCGGCGTGCATGCGTCGCGACGGTTAGACGGTATTGCGAGCAGAGGTAGAGCTGATGGAGTTTTAGCAGTATAGAGTACAGAGGAGAGCGAGAGTACCAAGGCGGGTTGCGGGTTGCGGGTTGCGGGCGGCAGAGTGTAAGAGCAGTGGAGAGAGACAGACTAGAAGCCAGCGAAATGTCAGGAAAACTACCAACGTCCTCCTGGTTATCTTGCTCGTCGTCGCGCCACGGCGGAGACCTACCTAGTGGGCGTTGTTATCACACCACCAGCTCCAGTAGTTTGTTGTCATCTAAGTTGTCATCATCTCAATTGACGAGGGTCTCATCATCATCATCACCATCATTGTTATTGTCATCATTATCACTGGTGACTTCATTGGTAAGGATCACCAGACCCAGCCGACTTGCCAGGACGTCAAACTCGAATTATTTTGCCAAGTACCGGCCTGGGGAGGAGGTGTCGTTGACCACCATCTACCATTCCAGTCACAGTATAGACTTGATTACACGCCGCTGAGTATGAGGGGGAGAATGGGGATTTCGATGTTCAGTTACCGCTTGCGTCTTCGACATTGATCTCCTATCACACATCACACACTTAACTGCTTTGCGTTATATATTACATTAACTATATGTACATATTTAGTTCTGCGACGACAACATAAACTTTGTCAACCGCGAGTATCTTATAAATTACCAAGAAAAGTTTGAATTGCAGACGAGGTAAAATACTGCATCAAAATATACCATCAGTTAAGTGTGAATCTGTATTAAATAAATAAATAAATAAAACCGGATATCGTGCATCGATAAAAATATTAATATTAATATTTTATAATTGTGGAGGTAAATTACTTTGAAGATTTTAATAGATCAGTGATATCAAGGAAAGGTAGATATAGATAAGAAGTTTTATAATTAAATATAATACAGAGAAAAATAAATTTATACAATTAAATCTCTTGAATTATTTAATATTTACAGTTGCAATTCCACGTGTGCAGTGTTGTTGTTTTTGTTATTGCTGAGAAGAATAGAAGAGATAATGAAGGAATAGAAATCTAAGGATTTATTTATATAAAAATAACGAATTAAATGTTTAAAAGTAAAGGATAAAAAAAGTTAAATGAAGAGAAAAATTGAGTTCCGTTGAGTAAACGGAAAAAGTACTGGTATGTTTTATTTGGAGCGGATCGATTACACACTGGTAACATCCTTGATAAAATATAAAATTTAGCTGGTGGTCGCGGTTTTTATCTGGTAGTGAAAGCTCGTGTAAGAGCTAAGAGCTGTTCGCACGGTACTCATGTGACGACGGGGTAATCCCTTGGACAGAAAACTCTCCGTACCGGCGTCGTTGATCCCTTCAGCGTTGACCTCGCGGAACTTGGCTACAGCATCTGGCTGGTTGGCAGCCGAGCACACCACGCAGAGCCAGAGCCAGCTCTGAGGGATTGGAGTAGAGGGAGATCGATGCCTCAAAGACTGCTGCTGCTGCTGCTGCTGCCTAGTTCAAGAGAATCCACGACTCTCGCGTCAATCTGTCAGCCGTTGAGCGGCAATCCACATCTAAACATCCCAGTGTGATAATGACTCGTTGGAAAATAATGCCGCCTATTTTTAAATCTACTGCTAATACAAACGATAATAATTATTATTTTAAAAATATCAATCATACTGATAACAATAATAATAATATTAATAATAAAATTAAAATTAAAATAATAATCACAATAAATAATTATAATAAATTAAAAATAGCACCCACACTTGCCGTTATATAGTTTTGGCGGGTTCATTTCAACAACGCCGGTAACGTTTTTGAGGGATGTTTTTGATAAGGGATTGCAATAACAGTTTATAATTATTAATAAAAAATCACTGGAATAATTAATAATACAGTGGCCAATTTCCTCGTATCTTCCATTGATAAAAAGTGTTTACGGATGCGGACGTTTAAAACTTTAAAAGCACTTCCTGTGTTAACCAACAATAATAAACATCAGATAAAGAATAATAAGAAATACAAATAGCAAGTTTAAAGTTTTTATTACGGATATTATTTATTGTTTGAAGATAAAGTTTGTTACTGTAATACAAGAAAGATGGATTGTTGTAATTACGTCCAACCGTATCACCCTGGACACGGTAATTTTTATCAGCAACAGCACTTTTGTTATGACAACATGACCGGCTACGCGACAACCTCCACGGCCTATGGTACGGCTCCGATTTCTGATTCGATCGAAGTTAATGCCCGATACGCCAGGCTCCAGGCTGCCTATCCGACAGGTAGTACACATTATAAATAATATGTTCACATATGTACATCTTTGTTGTGTTTATCTTACCTGATTTTTTAAATTGTTTTATGAAACACTGTTTAAAAATTTCAACAGAATTTGTGTAAATAATTTTTTTATTTATTAATGCAATATCAGTAAGAAAAACTTTTAAATATTTATAAATTTATTTGCATGTTAATTATTTAAAAGTAAAACTTATCAAGCATATATATATTTTTTTTAGTAGTACAATGTTTTTAAATTCAAAAGTTTATAAAAAAAAATTAAAACATTATTAAAGATTCTATACTGTTAAGTTTAATTTTCTCTCTGTACCTATCACATAAGTTGAAAGAAAATATAATAGAACTGAACGGTATATTACATTAGTAAGTAGGTATGGTCAGTTAGAGGCAGACATAGGCATCCGGACACCTGCAGATACTTGTCATTTAAATCCCAGTCGTTGTGTGCACTTTGTTAACATTTACTCAATTTATCGATTACAAGTCGGTATAATTTAATTGTTTTATTATTACCGTTCTCATTACTTTTATTATTATGTTCTATGAAATCCAGAAGTCCGGCAAATGTTTAAATAGTTTTAAGTTATTGTCATTTTATATACCTATACATGTATATTAGTTATTGTATTGATTAACGAGTTAACGATAAGTAATAATTCTAAAATCAATATCTTTTAATAGAAAGTCATGGAAATTTTTAATTGATCTAATTAAGAAAAAAAAAAAAAAAAATTTTATTATTAATTAAATTTTTTATTTATTGATTTTATTGTTTAAAGTAGGAAAGGATGGAAGTAATATAATACAAGAATAATCGATTTTCTGGATAATATATAACATTATTTAATATTGTATTGCATTGTATTGTATTTTACAGATTACGTGTACAACCCGAAGGAAGCTCGACTTCGAAAAGCAATGCGTGAGCAGTGTCGCGAATTATCGCGGCAATCTATTCTTCAGAGTACAGTTACGACGACGAGCGGCAATGCCTCGGCAACTGGTGCAAATAGTACTAATGGATCTGTTGGCGAACGTGGAGTAGCTGGAGTTGGAAGCGGAGGTGGAGGAGGCGGAGGAGGAGGAAACAGGAGTGGAAATGCCGGTGTTGAGATTTCGGGATCCGGTAATTTTCTAAATCACCCGATGTCTTCTGGTGCGTCACCGGCCCCAGCAGCCGCAGTCAGTGTTTCTTCATTACCTTCCAGCAGTTCAGGGTACAACTCCGGGAGGATCATCAACCCCTGGTTCCCGGTCGGTCACACCGGACCTGCTAGTCACATCAAGCCAATGCTCTCGCATCGGGTCAGTTTTATTTTTTTATCATTTTATTATTTAATTATTGTTTATTTATTTTTATTTCAAATACAGGAAATAAAAAACTTAAGCATAAAAGTATAAATAAATATTTTATTTTTAGTTTTAAGAAAAATATCAACCCAAAAATAGACAGATAAAAAATATTGCGTAGATAAGAGCGAATATTTTTTATCTAGTAAATATATATATATATATATATATATATATGTATATATAGCCTGTTATCAGTGTGATTCCGTTTGAACGTTATAGGAGGTTTAATATTAGATTATCGATTCCAGGTCATGCAGGCCCACCAGCGAACGTTCGATAAGACCAAAGAGGTTTTGAGAAAGCAACCCGAGTGCGCCGGTGCTTTTTCCGCAGCCTCCGCCGCGGCGGCGTCGTGTTACCCCGGTGATTTTACTGTTCACGGAGCGCCCACGCAGGCGGCTAGCGACACGAGTGTCGGTGGCCTCGAGAGCAACGATTATTGTAGCGGTGGCGGTATCGGGGAATTCTCCGATGCCCAGAAGTGGCATCCTTACCAAGTGAGTGCCCCTAAATATGCAAACGGATCGATTGCATTGACATCATTATGTATTGCTAATCCTCTTTCTCCTCGTTCTCCTTTCTTTCACTCCATTTAATAATAATAACAATAACTAAATTCACTCTTTACCTATCAATTATTTACAATGCATATATTTTAAATTTACAGAGTACTGCTGCTTATCATGCTAGAGGACCAATTAATAAAATGACAAGTCGTCATGCCATGCAAAGTATTAACACACATGGTCATGGACCCTGGAATCAATTTTGCGGCGTTCCATTGTGTGAGACACTTTTTATTTTTTTTTTCTTTTAACTTTGTAATTGTTCAGAGAAAATATTGATTATTCGTAGCGGTCATGTTACCGGAAAAACTTAAATGTCAGGGAATTATTAAGTTAAAGAACTGGAAAAGTTTTTATTGATAAAATTTGTTTTTTTTTTTTTTTTTTTTTTTTTTCAATGTATAAAGTTTTAAGAAATATTTATTAGAGTTGTTATCCATTTAATGATTTAAAAATTAAACCGGAAAGAAAGATTAGCTCCATTGAATCATACTTGTTATTTTATATATTTTGTCTTACTAATTTATTGCTTTAAGTTTGGGCCCTATTCGGTATTTAATCTTAAATAAATAATCTCTGTTGTATAAACAGATTTTATGAAGAGTAATTTTATTTTATTCTGCAGTCTTTTCTTTCAAATAAAGTGTTGAAAATAAATATGTATTGAATACCATCATAGATTAAAGTTTGAATTCTGGCGTCATTGTAATACGAGACTAAACGATAATACTCCACTTTAAAAGTACTAAAATTTCAAATTAGTCACGGGAAAAAGTTTTTTTATGAATTTGAATAAATATAATAAATCATAGTCTATGGTAAATATTATACTTAGGTTGTAAAGTTTTGTTATTTAATGTGTGTACGTTTTTAATATTATATTATGTAAGGTAAAAGACCCAGTTATTGACACTGGCCTAGGTGTTAGACACATGCAATTTTATTCTAATTAAAAAAATTAAACGTTCTCAAAAAACCAATTTTCTTAAAATTTATAATTCAAAAATTATATTTATTAATTTATTAGAGTTGATTTGTTTTTTTTTTAATTAAAATAAAATTACAAGTGTCAATAACTAGGCCAGTGTCTGTAACTGGATCTTTTACCTTACTAATAATTAACTAAAATCTTTGAAAATTGTATTATTTTACGTAATTTAAAATATAAAAATTTATTTTTCAATTAATAAAGATAATTTAAATAAATGAACAAATTTTAAAAATTAGTAATTGCCATGTTTATTAATTTAAAAAATTAACTTTCAGTTTCTATGGCTGCCCAAAATCAAATGGTTCGTGGTCCGAGACACATGGTCTTTCTCCAAGACCAGCAAGAACGGCACTGTGGATATCCTGATGAAATGCCAATGAATTATATGACTAATAAAATAGATAGTCACCGATTGCAGCCTAGTTACACGCAAAATTATCAAGTAATATATTTATTTTTATTAAGTAAATATTTTTTTTACAATGAACAGTATAATATTTACACAAATCAAGTAAAATATAAAATTAAAAGCATTAAATTTTTATCGATAAAATTAAAATAAAAGTAGCATGAAAAGTAACCGTTACTAAGTTTAACGAGTAAAAAAAAGTCTATCGACTAATTTATTGTTGAGCGACGGCATTAATTTTTAACAAGATAAACATCAAGATTTCTTAAGTTAATTAGCTAACTTTTTTAATAAGACTTTTTTTCCTACAAAGTTTAAACTCTTTCCTTGCAAGTCAAAGCTTTTACGACCTTTGAAGTCTAGTAAATTAGCACAACTTTTGTTCTTGTCGTTAAAAAAATTAATTGACTCGTAGCCATATTTAATGAGATGAAATAAAACACCGAGCCTCGAAATATAATAGTAAATATTAAATTAAATAAATAAATTCAGCAGGAAACCGAAAAGTGTATCGAAGATGCATCCAGGTGGGAGCCGCCTTCTGCCGAGCCGGCGATAACAAACTTGGTGAGCTCTCCCCGGGAGCAAGAGCGTGAAAGAGTTAGAGAAAAGCACCCACTGAAAAAGGAGGAGTCTAACAATAAGGAGTATCAAGAGAATGTTGAACCACAGACAAAAACTCCGCGGAAACAACCTCTCCCGGGTTTCCATCAAGCTTTTGGTTCCACGGAGATCGGAAGGTTCTCGAGATCCGAATTTTTCGCCAGCATGGTAGGCGATAATAATGTCAGCAGCTCTGGAAGTGTCCCCAGCAGCACCAATAGCAGCGCAATTGGAGTCGGAGTTGTCGGTAGTAATAGTAACGGAGTAAGTAAAAATCGCAATTCTAGTATCGATACATCGTCAGACATCAACAGTCAGTCGTCAAGAGTAGATTCAGTAGATCTTGAATCATTGTCGAACCCGTCGGATGACGTTATTACCAGCGACGATGTTGATAATACGTCACCGGATAATTTTAATAGCTTGTCTAGTTTGTCGACGATGACGAGCCACTTCGACAGTGTTAAAACAACAATGCCCAGGTGGCATAGTCCTTACATTAGTGCTATAGGCAGTCAAATATAATTTTATTTTTCACTTTATTTATATTTAGTAAATTTTAATATCATTTTATTAATTAATTATATCATAATTATCATTTATAATGATATGATGGTGATTAAAAGTTTTAAGATAAAATTTATGCATATTGCATTTTATTGACATTGATATATGAGTTGTCTTGTGTATCGTAGACTTGTCATGTTAACATGAAACTTAAAAATAATAAAATATATATATATATACTGTCTTTTTAGACACGAAACTGTGAGTTATATCATGTGAACTCGATTCCAATTAGGTGATACATGAAAATATACATATGTAATATATATATACAGAGACATAAATATATATATATATATATGTTTCGTTGAAAGTTTATATGAGACAGACAACTTTATAATAATTGAAAGATTTTTATTTAAGGGTACTCTTAGACGGTATCTTTTTTTTTTTATTAAATTTAATGATCTTGAAATATTTTAGCTGTATTGTAATTTTATTTTTAAATTAAAATACTTGTTTTTTAATTTTTATTAAACCGTGAAAAAAGTACTTTTTGTTTCTAGAGCTTTCACCAAAGATATTCATTACATTTTATCTTGATAAAAAATCTTTCAATAAATTTTTTTTTTATTAAAAATATTGCTTTAAATAAATCCGCGTTTTATAAACTTTTTTGGAGCTTAACGCGGTTGTGAGTTTAAAAGAGATAAATTTCATTGTAGCAAAAATTGGCTATCAAAATTGTGCCTTTCGATGGACTGGATATATATCTAAGTATTAACGATAGTTAGATGAGAAAATATATATGAAAAAAAAAAAAAAAAAAAAATGTTTAGAACCAAAAATATTAAAACAAATCTCATCATTTTCGAATAAAATGTCTGTCTGTTTGGTGATTACACATTATTTATTTTGATTGAAAATACTTTAATAACAAATTAATCAAAGTTTTAAAATATATATTTATCTAGATGCTAGTTATTTCAATTTAAATGAGTTTTCCATTGCAGATAATTCAATAGCGCCTGACTATTTTAAAATGTTTTAATACTTGATGAATAAATAAATAAATAAATAAACAATAAACAAACCAAATATAAACTGCTGATATCGAAAATATAAATATTAATGAATAAATATATTATTTTCGAGCAGCAATGTACGTACGTATATTTGAAAATAAATAAATAAATTAGATAGATCAATTATATGATGTCTATTAATAAATTGGATAATTGAATAAAAATTTAATTAAATCCATTGGGCGTTTCTCTGTCAAGTAATGTTCATTATATGTGATCTTTATCAATTATAACATTAAAAAAAATTAATATAATTATATGACGATAAATTTATAAGTACGTGATTAATTAAAAAATTAAATCAATTCGCAAGAATGTTTTTAATTAATTGTTTAGATTAATTACGGTAATAACTTGACATTGAAAATTCTTTGGTGTTACTATGGATAATTAAAAAAAAAGACAGCATGAGTCTTGTTCAATAAAATAATCAAAATTTGGAGCATTCATATTATATATAAGTAAATAAATATGTTAACAATTTATTGTTAATAGGTTTAACTAATATTTATTATCAAAGAATTAAATATGTGATAAAAAATATAATTATAAGCATACATATAAATATAAACATATATATAGATATATATTATTTATGTATATATATATATATATATA